TTTGAGAAAATTTTTTTTTCATTTTCCATACTGAAGCCTTATAAAGTGGTCAGTTTGGGGGACGTTTACGCAATAACTTTTGCAAATCTGATTTGAATCGTCTGAAACCTCACCAAAGGTCTTCATTTAACCCAAAGTTGTTGTTAACGGGGGTCTCAGCAAATAATTTCACGTTTTGAGAAAAATAATTTTTCAATTTCCATACTGAAGCCTTATAAAGTGGTCAGTTTGGGGGACGTTTACGCAATAACTTTTGCAAATCTGATTTGAATCGTCTGAAACTTCACCAAAGGTCTTCATTTAACCCAAAGTTGTTGTTAACGGGGGTCTCAGCAAATAATTTCACGTTTTGAGAAAAATAATTTTTCAATTTCCATACTGAAGCCTTATAAAGTGGTCAGTTTGGGGGACGTTTACGCAATAACTTTTGCAAATCTGATTTGAATCGTCTGAAACTTCACCAAAGGTCTTCATTTAACCCAAAGTTGTTGTTAACGGGGGTCTCAGCAAATAATTTCACGTTTTGAGAAAAATAATTTTTCAATTTCCATACTGAAGCCTTATAAAGTGGTCAGTTTGGGGGACGTTTACGCAATAACTTTTGCAAATCTGATTTGAATCGTCTGAAACTTCACCAAAGGTCTTCATTTAACCCAAAGTTGTTGTTAACGGGGGTCTCAGCAAATAATTTCACGTTTTGAGAAAAATAATTTTTCAAATTCCATACTGAAGCCTTATAAAGTGGTCAGTTTGGGGGACGTTTACGCAATAACTTTTGCAAATCTGATTTGAATCGTCTGAAACTTCACCAAAGGTCTTCATTTAACCCAAAGTTGTTGTTAACGGGGGTCTCAGCAAATAATTTCAGGTTTTGAGAAAAATAGTTTTTCAAATTCCATACTGAAGCCTTATAAAGTGGTCAGTTTGGGGGACGTTTACGCAATAACTTTTTGCAAATCTGATTTGAATCGTCTGAAACTTCACCAAATGTCTTCATTTAACACAAAGTTGATGTTAACTTATAAATATAGCTTTATATTGAATGAAAAGAGAACAGAGAAAGAAAAACGAACATTGCTTCGTCAAGTATATAACGTTTTATTTAGTCTATATTGATGCCAAGACTGAGATACAAATTTTTGTTTGGGGGAAGGGGGGCAAGCCCTGATAAATCAGTGTAACAACAGCTATATTTCACAAAATGAGAGTATTTTACTTAAGGAACTCAAGTTCTTTTTTGGGGGCATGCCCCCCCTCGGCCCCCGGTATCTCGTTCTTTGCAGTGATGTGATATTTGTTTACGATTACATTCAGCTCAAGCATAATATTCAGAGTCCTGAAGTCTGTTTGCTCTTTTTTGACCATCAGGCCATTAGGAATGTTTCTACAAACAGTATAAAAGGAGTTGCAGTGAGGTTACGGTAAAAAAATATTTTCCTTCCAACAATTATTTTAGTGTTACAGTTGTTGGCCAAGCGGCTGCCAATTTTTCTGAGCTCTAAATACTGTTTGCATACACAAACGATAATTTGATGCGACTTCGTCCAGGAAGTTAATGGCCTGTTTTTATCAACAAACTGTTTTATTTTCCATGTTTGCTTTCATGGTCTTATACAAATACCTTGGTTATATGGCACGAAGACTAGTTTCACTGACTGCTTGCAAGGTGATGTGATACCCTGTTGCGTGGTATAACGAATTCTCATGAGTGTAACAAATTGTAACCAGAAACGTAATGTATGATGAATTAGATTTTACGAACTCCCGATATAACGAACTATTTTCTGGTTCACTATTTACAAAAAAATTCGTTTTTCATGACGAGTAATGGTAAAAACGTAATGTATACTTTAAAGGAAGATAATGTCGCAGGGAGAAAAAGTTTCGGAAGAAAAACTTGCGAGGAAAAACTCACAATGTTCGCAACTTTTTGTTAAAAGAATATTCATTTCTCAGAATCTGCAACCTTTTCCCCGCAACTTTTAAATTTGTTCATATTCGCACCTTTTTTCCCGCAACTTTAATTAATTTTGGCAGAATTTTGTTTTCGTTTTTACCTGTATATCATGGTCCACACGCAACATAACTATTTAGATGATGATTTAGATGAAGAAGAAAAAGATGAAGACTTTGGTATGTAGACCTTTTATCTTATGAACTATAAAGTAGATCTTTAGCGAAAAAGGTGTATTAATGATTTCTACATTCTGAGTTCAGGACAGAAAGTCCAGTCGTTTCAGAAAATTTTGCCGAGCAAACTACGAATGCTAAAATTTTTTTCAAACATATTCATTTATCGCAACATTTAATGTTCGCAACTTTGTGAAAAAACAATTTTTGCAACATTATATTCCTGCTTTTTTTTCATTGAGAAAAAATTATGGTTTTTGGCTTTGCTCTCCTTTTTTAAGGAATGTATAGCAAAAAGAGGGGTAGTGTGAGAAATGATGTCACTGGCAATATAAAACAGGGGTGTCAGAAAGCTGCTGACACAGGGGGATGGGGGGGGGGGTTAAAAATCTTTAAATTTCAGGTAACGTCATTTATTCATGACCCCCAAAGTAGTGTGCCCAAATAAAAGTGGTGTGTGTCAGGACACAAATACCAATACACTCCTTTTATAGTCATATAAAATGTTGTTTGAAAACTTGTGACAGTGAACCGGCTGTAACACTGTAGTGCTTAATTTGATTGAGTAGTTTTGCATATTTGGGTCTGAATTTGATCTGAATATAACCAAGTGGAGTGACTATAAATTGAGACGAATATACGCTGCTTGTAACATCTATTTTGTTATTGGGGATAATATAAGTTGAATTGTATAAATTCTTGTATGTTTTCAAGCTTGTGGTTGAAAGCTTTAGGGAAGTTTTAATACCCTCATCTAGTGTAACGAAATCAGTTAGATGCTTGTGTGCCTAAGTGGGTGCAACCTACCTTGCGTATTAATTTAGCGTTACGGGAACCGAGGGCTAGTTCCCTACAATTTCAACTTTGGGCAGGGGCCATGCCAACGGCAGAGTACTCTCCAGGTGGTCGGACGGTGTGAGGGACTTATTTCCATCCATGTTGAGAAAAGTAAGATTTATTACCTGACATGAATAGATTCAATAACAGTAACATTAATTGCGTCAAACAGTGACAGGGACTGTGGTCCATTATATACTTAATTGTATAGCAAATAAACCTCGAAAAGGAAACTGTTACGGGGCGCGGCTTTGATGGCAAGCATGTTTACGGCTTTCCCTTTTGCTTAGTTCTCCCTGATGGACGGTATGTTTAGGACAAAATGCTACACAGGGAGAACGTACTCCAGGCTGGCGTTGCAACGCGAACCTGGGGTTTCAGGGGACCAGATGGTACTGGTACTGGAAGACGGTCTTCTGCAAGGATATGGAAAAGAGGGAAGAGCGGGAAGCAAAACAAGAGCATAAACTTTCCTGCTGGACAGGCGGAGAGCGATGATTTGGTAAGGGTTCAATTATAGCAGTAAAATGTAACGTGAGGATGCAACAAGTGGCGTCGTGTGGCCATTCTCGCTGGGGGGGGGGGGGTGTAAGAGATGCAAAACCATATTTTACCGACATAAACTCTTTTGCTACATTAATGTTTTGTTATAAATGTAATTCTACCGACGAGTTTTCTGAAAGTTGGGGGGGGTGTACACCCCTACACCCCCCCCGCTCGCTACGTCCCTGGATGCAACAATGTACAGGTGTTGTTTGATGACACCACCTATTCCGATATTTTGGCCATTTTAACAGAGCATTTTTGTTGAGGGGGTGGGGGGGGGCAGCTTGAGCTTAAAATTCGGTAGGGTAAAATATTTCTTTAAAATTTTGTAATGAATATAGTCCCGTTGATAATTGCCATGTGCTTCCCAATCAAATTTAAGGCCATTATCTAAAATGCATGATATTCAATTGGTTATCCTTATTTATTAGTGATGTTTTTTCCACTGCTCCCGCTTCAATGCAAAGTGTATTGCCCTGAATAGATGCATTCTAGATTTATTGTTTATTACAGATAGCGGTGTTTTCAGATTCTCAGCTCAGACCGATCGTTCAAGGGGATGTTCCCTTCAAGGACGGTTGGTTTGTCAACTCGACTCCTGGGGGCTGCTTTCTGGACGTCGCAGAAGAAGTCAATTCGGTGGACTTCAAGGGCGCTGATCCGCGTGCTGTGGTTCTCCTGGTCGGAACAAACGACATGAGCAGGCATTATCTGCTTGACCGTGCCAAGACGCATTTCTATGGTCTCTTGATGACGGTCAAAAAGAAATTTTCATCAGCTCGGGTCAGAATATAAGACAATTTTTATTGCCAATAATTGACTTTTGAAATACCTGAAGCAGAAGCAAAATTGAATGCATTTGGGCCCTTAATTCTAGATACACCTCAAATTATAGGTTCAACATTTACCATAAAGTTCCTGAATGAATTAACATCGCAAATGCATATAAAAGCAAGTTATTGAATAACACACGTTGAGATTTTGAAAGAACGGCCTGATAGTTTTGTGCCATATCTCGAAACTGCCAGAGATTGAAATACGTTTTGTGAACTCTACATTTATTTTCAACTGTGTTACAGTTCCTTGATAATTTTTTTATCTAAAATTTTTGCAATATGCGCTGAATCTGTCTTTTGTGTTTGCAGATAATAACTGTGTCGATTTTGCCTCGGCTAGACGAGTTTGACAGTCGACTCATTAAATACAATGAGCGTTTGAGAGAAGAGTCCCGACGATTTGGAGCGGAGATTTTAGATGTGTGCCCTAACTTTGCTAAGACGGACAGACGTTTGTGGTCTTGCAAAGATGGAGTGCACATCAGTGAGGACCGCGGCATACCACTTCTGCTGACACTTTTGCGACAGACCTTGCAGTATGGGCCTGCTCCAGAGACGCAACCCGGGCAGGAAACTTCTGGTGGCAGGTGCCCTGATTGGTTATGGAGGGAGCTTCGCTCTCATAATCCGCACCCAGAACGTAAGTTTCGTTGAACGTACGTTCTAGTTTGCATTGTGCATTGTCTTTGCATTGTTAAAAAAGGCAAACATGATTTCAAAAATCGTAAAGTATCCTTTTTCATGGGCGCATCAATAAAAATATTCATATTTTGCAGGGTATATTGCAGAAAAAGTCGTGGAGGCAGAATCTCCAGAAGTCGCAAGGTAATTCAATACTGAAATAACATTTATCCCTATTTTGCAAAAATAGTTTACTTGACCAGAATATTTATTTCGCAAAAATAAAAGAAAAACTCTTTGAAGCGAAGCAATGCACTGATTCAGAAAATAATGGTGATGTCTACGGAAGAGTGCTTTTTCAGGAGATCGAAATCAAGTTCGAAAAGCCATGTACTATGAAGGCTGTGTGGAAATTATCTTGTAACCTGTCTTGGTAATAGCCAATCAGGCACCCGTATACTGGAGTAGGGGTGGGCAGCCTTTTAGGAGACTGGGCCAGATCCTTCAAACCTTTTCTATAAGCGTACCAAAGATAAAAGAAAAATAATACAATAGTTGTAATAAAATGATAAAAATACTAATGACAAACTTTCATTCAAACTCAACTACATCAAAATTGCAAATCTCTCGTTTACATAGATAGTATGCAACGATAGATAAGACTATTACACTCGTATATGCAAAAGGGAAAACTGAAGAGAACCAGTCAACATTAAAAAGTTTGTTATTCAGGTTTTGGAGAAAACATCCTCGGAAGGAAATGCAGAATTACCCACCAATCAACGCTTTGCATCAACTTTTAGCTCAGACAATTCACTTGTATTTACGTAAACACCAGTTTATCCAATAGCACATTAGCCCAATAGAGTCCCCAGCACATTAGCAGCTGAGACATGACAACCGTAAAAACGTGAATCGTTCTTGCTGCATTTGCATAAATTACATCTATTTTCTCAAAGGATTCAAACATGGCGAACGTAGCAACGGAGTGTATCGATGACGGAAATCCCATCAAAGCTTCTTCTTTGATTTGGAACTTTTCAAGTTATATTTGGATAATATAAAATACTAATTGAAGTCCTCGACTAATTGACCCTTATTAATTGTCTGTTTATCTACGGACAGACATGTGAAAGAGGCTTTCGGTGAAAAGAAATATGTTTGGGTTGCCGATTTCTCTAAAGAGCGAAACGCAGCCCAGTGGTCACGCTTGACCGATGGAAAGACAATTCTTGGAAACGTCGTTTTGCAAAGCCCAAAGCCTGGGCTTTACAACCAAGATAAAAAGGTGATATTTGTTGTTTTAATTATGGATTATTCGCTAATTTTAATAGTATTGTATGCTTAACATTGTACTGTATAATTGTCAAACCACAATTCCATCGCTTGCCTCTCATCTATGGGCTAGGTGCAGTCATTCAAACGATTTAAATGTGTCACATACAGCTAACGTTGTATTTTAGTGCGTAAAGTTGATAATTGATTATTATTTCTAATTTGATTTTTAATGCGCATGCTTTTCTACAGATATTTTGCAAAGAGGCGAAAAGGAAGTTTAAAAAGAGAGCTCGGCCAACAAAAGTCAAGAGTGACGGTAATCATTTCATTGCATGCTGTTTCAAAAAACTTTTGAGTGTTCTTCCAATGTCTTGTGCAAAAAGTGTCGCTAATCAATGTTTGTCTCTTATCAACATTAAAATTTATCAACATAATTTCTTTTCATAGCTAAAAGAGCAAGAAAAATTGACATGGCGGAAATGGCTGCGATTATGGAAATTCGCGACGTAAGATCTACCATATTTAGTCTATTTGAAGGGGTCTCCGTCTGATCAAGTATAGTTTTATCGCGTCCAGTATAATGGATTGTACGTACTGGTAACACAAAATTAAATTCATTAAAATATATCCAAATACAAATTTGATATTATAGATGTTTGTTACATATACCTGCATTTTACACATAGGTCGAAGAAGAACGAAAGGAAGATTATATTCACAAGAGACGTACTAGCAGTGCAAAGTCTCGTGGATTCAAATCGCTCGGTGAGCAAACATTTTTTTCTTTCTGTATGTGATTTCAACACTTAAATTTTCTTTGTTGAAGAGAATATGATTATTTGTTATCTTACATGATCAATGCTCCTAGTAATATTTGCTATCATTGTCAACTTGGTTGGTTAGTTAAACTGAGTAAGTTCTGAAAGTTAGTGAGGTTTTGAAGCTCTGGCTACTTTCTTAAGTTTTCGAAATTTGTCGTTTTTAATTATCCTTAGAAAGTATCAAATATTAAAGCCACAGCTTCTTATTTTTGCGTACTGAGCAAACTGTTTTTGTATTTCTGCAGGAAGGGAAATTGATGCTCGATTGCCAAAGGTACGGCAACCACCAATTAAGGGTGAGGTTCAACTGAACAGCGCAAACGAGAAAGAAGAATCAGTTCTTGGTATGATTCAAACAAATGCACCTTGCAAATTTCATTATGTAATTCTTATCTGTATCAAAAGGCAACCTCACATTATGGCGAATTTGATTATGATAGTGTATACCTAAATATAATCATTATTAGTAGTTTAAGATACCAAAACGTATTTCAAGTTTAGATTCTTTACAGGTCAAGCTCCCAGATTTTCAAGCTCTAGTTTCAAATTATTCTGCCAACTACTCAGTCGCAAAAAATTTTTAAAGCCTCAGAAAATCTTTTCTACCCGTGACTTTTGGCATCGTTGTCTATCTTCATGCTTTGAACTTTTACAATTTGGTTATAAGCGCGTTTGTCTCTCTTTCAGAACACTGTGCAGTTGTTACACGACACAAAGGAGGAGGAAGATTAAAAAGAGCAGCAACCCGCGATATCGGGTGCGTTGATATCGACCATTTGGGGAAAGCTGTGTTTGAAAACTGTACCCTCGATAAGAATGAGAAACCATCTCAGTTTAAATGGGTGCGTATATCGACCATGTATTTTGGTGGGTCAAAATTTAAACGGAGGCACAAAATTTCGACCGTAAAATATCTGTATTATAAGAATAAAGCCGTGGTAGATGATATAGTGTTGGCCTTGTCAGCGGGAATAAATGAAGCTAGCATAGCTTCTGAGCCCCAGAATACCTTAAGGAGTTCCTACACTCATGTGCAGGGGTCAGAATGCGTTGTCGCTGGGAAAAAAACAGAACTAGATTTTAGAGGTTCCGACACAGAACATTATCCTGACAGTGAGCTAGGTAAGGGATCCCCAATAGAGAGTAATACCGAGACCCTCTATCATGAAGAAGAAGCATTAGTTTCTTCCGAATCAGACGTTTCACCGCACTTTACACCAAAAAAAACTGCACAATTCCACGAGTTAAGTGATAGCTTTTCTGCGTACCCAAATTCAATTAATGAACGCAGTTTGGAATCACCCCAAAACAAGTTATCTGAAGATAGTGGAAAAGTGTCTAGAAAACGCCGTTCTGAATCGATTGACAATTCACAACACGGTAAAATTGGTATCATTCTTGGAGAGGCTGTGTCTGTCTATGCACGCAGGGTTTTAAAAGCCACATACGACAGTGACGAAGAAACACAAATACACAGCCTTGAACGTCAAACATTTAATAATTTCAACCTAAATAACACTGTGGTAGCCGATTGTTCGTCTGACAGCAATCAGCCTTCTGATGATAATCCTTCTGATGATAAACCTTATTCTAAAAACCTAACAAAAGCTTTATCGCGCTCCAAATATGGTTTGAAGGACATAAAAGCTTCTTTTAAACACAAAAATGTAACCGTTCCTCTGCCAAATAATTGGCAGTCAGCTTTTTTTGAAAAATCTATCAAACAAAGCGTCGAAAATTGCTCGAGGCTTTCAGCAGAGGCAAAGGACTTACTGCGAGCTGTCATTTCAAAAGCTAACAAATTTTGTGTTATAAAATTTGGATACCAACATGTTCAAAAGCTTGGCTCACGAAAGCATTCGTCTAATTTTTTAACAGGCAAAGCACAATGTTGCATGAAAGAATGCAATTTTAAAATAACGTACAATATATCTACCCTAACTTCAAGAAGCATACACCTGAAGCTTAGTGGACAGGTATATCATAGTAAGACCTCAATGGCAGCCACGCGTATTACTAGTAAAAGGAGAGAGCATTTAAGTACTTTGTTTAAAACATCAAGGAAACTTCTGCCTTCTGAGAAGCATCGTAAAGATTTAGAAAATATGGATCCCGATGCTTTTGCTGCAGGTAACATGACAGAGGCAGGTAAAAGCCACATTGCATATCAACAGCTAGCGGCTAAGGCCAGGAAAGAAGCTGATTCGATCCCAATTATAGCCAATGATATTGGGAAACTTCAGAAAGAACTGAAGCTGTCAGACGAGCAACAAGCTATAGAGCAGAAAGCAACCTTTAGAAACCATTTTGGGTATATACAAAGACCTACTATAACCGAAGAAGAAATAAGTGTAGTACTGATTGACCAACCAATGGCTATGCTCTATCACGAACACGTAAGCAACCATCCGCTTTATATCGACGCTACCGGATCGCTGGTACGTGATATTAAAGGATTTAAAAAAATACTTTATTATGCGGCAGTAGTGCAACATCCCTACAATAACGGTCCTCCACTGCCAATTGCAGAATATGTAACAACCAACCAGGATCAGTTTTCGATAAGAAGATTCTTAAATGCTCTTTGTGAAATGGAAAGCCTTAAATATGGTAACAAGAACTCTAAGAAACCTTCTCTCATTCTTTTAGATTATAGCATGGCCATAATCAACGCATGCCTTGCAGAATTTTGTCGCCAGACGATGACAGAATACCTAGACTGTACATTTAGACTAATAGACGGCACAGCTACTCCAAATGATGTCAATAAGACAATTTTGCACGTTTGTTCATTCCATATGATGCGCTTAAATAGAATATATGCATTGAAAAGCAGCGGTACTGGAGATGATGCTAAGAGTCGGGTTCACTTCGCTATGCGATTCTTTGGCCGGCTCATTAATTGCGCTTCTCTTGCAGACGCAACAGCCATTGTCAGGGATGGTTTTGTTGTTCTTAAATCTAAGTATGCCAATAAGGAAGTGAAAGAGGCTCTGCGGCGTTTAGAGCAGAGCATAAATACATTTGATCTAGTTGTTGAAGACAAAATTAACCTAGATAGCGAAGAGAAGTTTGAAGAATATAAGGTTGATGGTGTAGACCAGGTAGATTTTGATAACAATGAACAAACATCCGAGCCTTACAGATACTGGAAGAAGGTTACCGACAGCACTTTAAAAAGTAGTAATCAGGTTTCTTTGGAAGAAAACCGGTATTACATGCCAACATACTGTAACTGGGTTGAAGGTAAGCTTCCCCAGATAGCTCTATGGAGTAATTTATGCTTAGGAGACCTAACGCGTTTCAATCCAGAATACAAAAGGAAACTCCCCACAGTAACTACAAACTCTGTAGCCGAACAATTTTTTTCTCTTAAGAAGAGAAATACCGACAACCTTAGACAGTCTCTGGTTGACTTTATACGCAAATCATGGCATGATAACCGAGGGCTCCAGAGACAGTTTATTGCAGGCTTAAGAGCACATATTTCTAAAAATAAGGATTCCCCAGCGCCGGTAAAAAAATTGTTGAGAAAAATCAAAAAAATTCTTCCAGTGTCTGACGAAAACAGTGCAGGAGAAATAGAATTGTCGGAAGACAAAAAGGATTTATCTACGGTTAAGGAAGAATGGAATAAAGAAAGACCAACTAAATGCAAGAAAAGCGCCAAAAAGGTCTATAGCTTCCAGGAACCACCCCAAAAAAAATTGCGATTCAGCGCTACTAAACACGAAAAAAGGCTGAAAAATTCCACAACGGGCGAAAGACAAAAAGAAGAATCTGAGAAAATTGTGAACGAGCCTAAAAGTTCTAAACGGTCATTGAAAAATAAGAGCACTCAAAGCAATGAAGGCTATCCGTTGTACAGACGAAACGCTTTCAAATCTCTTTCCCCTAAGGACAAGAAAAGCATGTTGAATTTACGAAAAAAGATTGTTAATGGGTGGTATTCTTTATCACCAGACGACAGGGAAAAGTATAATGAATCTGCTAGAGGTGAAAGGAACCAATGCGCTGCGTGTAGGCAGGAGGAAGTAGACATTGGCACTGATCAAATTGACTGGGTCACTTGCGACGATTGTGAAAAATGGTACCATACACACTGTGTTCATATCGATCCCTCCTTTGCTAAATCAGTTCCTCACTACACTTGCCCGAAATGTCACCAGTCATTCATGGGGGGTTTACCTAGTTTATTGGGACATTTTCGATTTAAGAGCGTTTTTGAACTTGGGCAGATTGATGACATTATAGATGTCTGGAAAAATATGTCTTCTGAACAAAAAGCAACAGTTTTGAGAAATATATACTTTTCGAGCTCGAGCGACCTTCCCTGCCTTGGATCCATGGAAATTTTAAGCGAAAGAGGAATAACTAACAATTTTAGCAACTGTTGGAGCAATTCAGCGTTTCACTTGATCTGTGGTTCAATAATTTGTAAACTCCTACCCACTTACGATTCCTGTCGAACCCCCGTTTGTAAGTCTATTTTACGTATAAGGGACGATTTACAGAACGAAAACATGGCCTCCACTCCATTAAAATTTACATCTGATATGAGGGCAATCATTTCTATTTTCAGAAAACGCGATCAAAGATCTCAAACCGCGCAAGATGATGGGGCTAGTCTCGTGGAAGAAATTATTCTCAGTTTGATAGAATATAGTATTGACAATATTGAGAAAAACTTTAGAAGCAAAGTGATTAACCTCACGCACTGTGATAGTTGTAACAAGGCTGACTTTTCGGTAACCGGACAGGTAATGTTAACACTAAATCTAACAACAGACACTGTTCCGGGTATGTCCATCCAATCGTTAATTTGGGACGCGTCTACAAAAGCGAGTCTTTTTAGTACATTCTCTTGCGACTGCCCAGCGGACCACAAAAGCTGGAGCCATAGGAATTATTTCTTGGAACTTCCTGTTGCACTGCTGATTATTGTCGAACGGGGAAATAACGATAATTGCTCAATTTTACATACCCCGGTCACTGTCGATAAAAAAATTAACTTAAACGACCTAGTGCCTGGCAAATACAGTGCAGACTTAGCTTCTTATCGTCTAGCTGCTGTTGCCATACACCACGGTCAAACAACTGAATCAGGTCACTACAACTGTGTCATTTTTGACCAGTACGGCCAAGGCATAAAATTTGACGATGATACACAGACTCCAGTCTCTCTTGACCGTTACATAAGCAGCAGAGAATGTAAGCGAAATAGTCGTTTGTTAGTTTACATCAATACATATTCTTTGATCCCAGAGCCTTTAAATGTTAGACCACCTTGGGAAACGCAGATAAATCCGGGGGATATTGTAGATGTTGAGGCAATTTGGTTTGGGCTTGCTGGTAATCCAACTGAAAAAAGCTTGCCCATTACGTCCTTCAGATCTTTAGTAGGTCATGGATATATGCATGGGGATGTGATTTATGCGTTTTTGAGACACCTAGCGGTTTCCTTTGTCAACTCCTATGAAATTAAAGTCCTTACTACCCAGTTTGTTACGGCTGTACTAAGTAGAAGAAAAGCTAGCTATATACTCTCAAATGTTATCGAGAACAAAGAACAGCTCTTCAGGTCACATATCATTTTAATTCCATTCCATCATGAATGTATACAGGGTATTAGTCATTGGAGCATGATTTCTATTTTTCCAAAACAAAAGTTAATAGTCCATTGCGATCCGGCTTTTGATGAAGATAGGGATAGGCTTGCCTACGAGGCTATGGATATGTTTCTAAAGAAAGCACTTTCACAGCCCGAGAGTGAAGATGCACTGCAGGACTGGCAATACCTTCCACTCTCTAAGTATGGATTGCAACAGCAAAATGATGCGCATAGTTGTGGGGTTTTTGCATGTGTCTACGCGTATTGTCTAATTGCTAGGAAGGATATCCCTATCAAAGAAGATGATCTATCTAATATTAGATATTGGATAGGTAAAGGTTGCTTAGAAGGTTCAACGTATCCAGAAGAAAAGGCCATTCGCCAAACGACTGCATGGGATGCACTTCCTGAAGTTGAAAGTAGACTGTCGTTTATTGACGATAAACTTGTAAATGAGAAACTGGGGCCATTCGCAATGCTTGAAGAATTATTAAAAGTGTGCGGCAAATTCATTCCAAATATCGAACGTGATATAGATACCAGCCCTTTGCCTAGTAGCAACTTTAATTCTCTGATTAACAAAAAAGGTTCTAAAAGCCCAGTTTATCGAACATACCAGGAGGCTTTAGACGACGCATCAAGCGACAGTGATACCGATATTGACTTGGACATCGTTGAGAAAAGTTGTACTAAAGAATCAACTATGCCAAATTTTTTTATGTCACTAGCTTTTGTAGACGAATTTATGGCATATGCTGAAAGGGACATCCAATCCTTTTTAGAAAATTATGCAAGCTCGACACAGAACGAAATTGCGTTAGCAAACGACGACTTGTCGGAAAGGCTAACAGCCTTAATGACCTTAGGTAGTAAAACTTACCATGGTTTAGCAAATGGGGAGCTACTATATGTAATGTTCAAGACATTTGGGGATTCGATATGGCGCTTGAAAAACAGGTATCATTTGCTACTGACGCGCACTAGAAGATCTTTTAGTGATTGCGCGATAGATCTCAACTTGAATCAATATGTCTACCAAATACCGCGGACTTTTGGTCATACCAGGGCAAATATCATCGAATTTTTCTTTTTCCCGGAACACCTGACTAAATTTATAATGTTTAAATATAATATAGACTATGAGGAAGCCACAGGAAAAATTTATTCTAGCAATGAACCCTGCAACACAGTTTTCTTTGAAGCACTGCAGGTAACCAGTGGGATGGTGTAGGAATAAGCGCACCTTTTAATAGTTCAAACAATGATTTCACATAGCTTTTTTACAAATGGAGCGAGCTTTATCAGTTTTGTTGGAAGTAAATAATGTACTTTAATCTCCCAGAGTATCTTTCGAATATGTGCATAGTATTCAGTTTTTATTTTTAGAGATAAGCAGAGATAGACTGCAGCATAATGGATGCTTAATGTATTTTAAAGTAGAATAATGAATAATGACGATGTGTTTTCAAAATCGTTTTCAGTTAAATTCATCGAGAATTAAAATTATAACGCAGCCTAGTCACCCTGAGACGATTGTTGACAGCTCATATGATGCCAGATTCGTTTCTATTAGCACACATTTCATACCAAAACAGTTATTTACCTCACTAGTAGTCCGTTATGCTGTCAAACTGCAACCTGATTTCCCAGGCAGCATGACATAAAATGGTAAACAGCATGTCTGGCATGTGAAGCTAGTCTGGTGCTATGTGAACACGGTTATTGTCATCACGCTATCAGACTATTTTTTTAGAAGAAAATAGCCAACATAATGATGTATATGTATAAATCAGGTCAATAGCTTCACGATGAATGTCACATCAACCTATCAACATCAACATTCATACAATTCATACAAACAATATACACCAGTTATTATGTAACACTTTATGTAATTTACAGATACTTGTAACTGCACCTGGCATATCGCTAGTTGGCCAGACTTGAATAATATCAGAGTCCTGAAAAATTGGCAGCCGCTTGGCCAACAACTGTAACACTAAAATAATTGTTGGAAGGAAAATATTTTTTTACCGTAACCTCACTGCAACTCCTTTTATACTGTTTGTAGAAACATTCCTAATGGCCTGATGGTCAAAAAAGAGCAAACAGACTTCAGGACTCTGAATATTATGCTTGAGCTGAATGTAATCGTAAACAAATATCACATCACTGCAAAGAACGAGATACCGGGGGCCGGGGGGGGGCATGCCCCCCAAAAAAGAACTTGAGTTCCTTAAGTAAAATACTCTCATTTTGTGAAATATAGCTGTTGTTACACTGATTTATCAGGGCTTGCCCCCCTTCCCCCAAACAAAAATTTGTATCTCAGTCTTGGCATCAATATAGACTAAATAAAACGTTATATACTTGACGAAGCAATGTTCGTTTTTCTTTCTCTGTTCTCTTTTCATTCAATATAAAGCTATATTTATAAGTTAACATCAACTTTGTGTTAAATGAAGACATTTGGTGAAGTTTCAGACGATTCAAATCAAATTTGCAAAAAGTTATTGCGTAAACGTCCCCCAAACTGACCACTTTGGCTTCAGTATGGAAATTGAAAAATTATTTTTCTCAAAACGTGAAATTATTTGCTGAGACCCCCGTTAACAACAACTTTGGGTTAAATGAAGACCTTTGGTGAAGTTTCAGACGATTCAAATCAGATTTGCAAAAGTTATTGCGTAAACGTCCCCCAAACTGACCACTTTATAAGGCTTCAGTATGGAAATTGAAAAATTATTTTTCTCAAAACGTGAAATTATTTGCTGAGACCCCCGTTAACAACAACTTTGGGTTAAATGAAGACCTTTGGTGAAGTTTCAGACGATTCAAATCAGATTTGCAAAAGTTATTGCGTAAACGTCCCCCAAACTGACCACTTTATAAGGCTTCAGTATGGAAATTGAAAAATTATTTTTCTCAAAACGTGAAATTATTTGCTGAGACCCCCGTTAACAACAACTTTGGGTTAAATGAAGACCTTTGGTGAGGTTTCAGACGATTCAAATCAGATTTGCAAAAGTTATTGCGTAAACGTCCCCCAAACTGACCACTTTATAAGGCTTCAGTATGGAATTTGAAAAATTATTTTTCTCAAAACGTGAAATTATTTGCTGAGACCCCCGTTAACAACAACTTTGGGTTAAATGAAGACCTTTGGTGAAGTTTCAGACGATTCAAATCAGATTTGCAAAAGTTATTGCGTAAACGTCCCCCAAACTGACCACTTTATAAGGCTTCAGTATGGAATTTGAAAAATTATTTTTCTCAAAACGTGAAATTATTTGCTGAGACCCCCGTTAACAACAACTTTGGGTTAAATGAAGACCTTTGGTGAAGTTTCAGACGATTCAAATCAGATTTGCAAAAGTTATTGCGTAAACGTCCCCCAAACTGACCACTTTATAAGGCTTCAGTATGGAAATTGAAAAATTATTTTTCTCAAAACGTGAAATTATTTGCTGAGACCCCCGTTAACAACAACTTTGGGTTAAATGAAGACCTTTGGTGAAGTTTCAGACGATTCAAATCAGATTTGCAAAAGTTATTGCGTAAACGTCCCCCAAACTGACCACTTTATAAGGCTTCAGTATGGAAATTGAAAAATTATTTTTCTCAAAACGTGAAATTATTTGCTGAGACCCCCGTTAACAACAACTTTGGGTTAAATGAAGACCTTTGGTGAAGTTTCAGACGATTCAAATCAGATTTGCAAAAGTTATTGCGTAAACGTCCCCCAAACTGACCACTTTATAAGGCTTCAGTATGGAAATTGAAAAATTATTTTTCTCAAAACGTGAAATTATTTGCTGAGACCCCCGTTAACAACAACTTTGGGTTAAATGAAGACCTTTGGTGAAGTTTCAGACGATTCAAATCAGATTTGCAAAAGTTATTGCGTAAACGTCCCCCAAACTGACCACTTTATAAGGCTTCAGTATGGAAATTGAAAAATTATTTTTCTCAAAACGTGAAATTATTTGCTGAGACCCCCGTTAACAACAACTTTGGGTTAAATGAAGACCTTTGGTGAGGTTTCAGACGATTCAAATCAGATTTGCAAAAGTTATTGCGTAAACGTCCCCCAAACTGACCACTTTATAAGGCTTCAGTATGGAAAATGAAAAAAAAATTTTCTCAAAAGTCGTAAAAAGTTCCCGAAACATCCGTTAACGTCAAGGGTATGTTCATTAAAGATGTTTTATAAAGTTTCTGTAAAGTTCATACAGAAACGACAAAGTTATTGCGTAAATACGGATTCAGTTTTCCAGTTGTAAGGCTTCAGTATGGGAAACGAAATAGAAATTTTTCAAGGAAGATCACAATTTTACCGAATCCCCTGTTAACATGTATACTGGGATTGGAAAAGTTACGTTGCAAGCATTCGGGAAAATCTTCCTAAGAACGAGAAAGTTATTGCGTAAAAATAATTTTTTTCCCGACGGCGAATGTCTAACGCATGGCCTAAGTCCAAATTCAACACTATGATGCTCAGTTCAGCTTCTACAAGACGTAACAACAAAAACGAAGCATACGATAATACACTTACGAAGGTATACTTTAATGTTATTAACATTGTTTTTAACCCTCTAGCACAGATTTCTTATACCGAGCCATTTTAGTCCGAATGTCTAATCGAATGTCTAACTGAATGTCTAATCGAATGTCGTACGCTAAATAGCGGAACAGACCTGTCAACCTTAAATTTTCAAACCTGGAGATTTTGGATTTTTCCTAAAGGAAAACAGGGAGATTTGGTCAAAAACAGGGTGATCACAGTAATTTGTTAAAGGAATAAATATACCTGATAAAATGTTGTGCTCGGCAAACAGTTTATGACAAAAGTGATCATGAGAATTATCTTCATGATAACTTTTAGTGCTTTTTTGTTAATCAGTAGCACTAACAAAAAGTAGTTGTCATGTGGAAGTCAATGTGACCATTATATCTTAATTATACTTCTGTAAAAAGAAAACATACACAATGAATGGACCTGTCTTTGAGGCATAACATGAGCAGTTCAATCGAACATTCGGTGATAAATCCTCCTAGACATTCTATTCTGCTAGACATCTTTGAAACCAGGAGAAAAGTTTGAAAAACCGAGAGACCAGGAGAAAGCAGTCAAAACCGGGAGTCTCCCGGCTGAACGGGGAGTCTCCCGGCTGAACTGGGAGGGTTGACACATCTGCTAACAAATTCAGTTTATTTCCTACCTTTCTATGAAAGAAAAGTAACAAAATGTCAGGAGAAGAAATGAAAAATATCAATGTTTCAGTTTCAATGCCGAAAACACAAAAACGACCAGAAAGAGGATGAGAAGCAATAAATATTTTGGGACTAGCCTTTCATTTGTTTGCTGAAACTGCAAGAAAGTTTTGTTGCAGCAAGTCTACAGCACATGTTATTTACAAGAACAATAAGTTAACAATGCCTACTAATATTAAAAAAATGGTACAGGCCTGGCCGCTTGAGGCGAGCAATAGCTTGTGCTCGTCTCCACGCTCCCCTCGCAACCTGAGGCAAGCTATGAATTGCTCTCCTAAATAGAACACGAAGGGAGAATCGCTCCCCTAAAATTTCCATTCATTTGCTCTTCTCGATTTCAGAGAACCCTGAAAAACGTACAAGGATTAATTGGTTTATTTTTGTAACAGTGATTTCTCCCATCATTGCATTTTTTGCAATTAACTTTTTGCTTTTTGGGAGGTTTTGTTTTGGTAGGCATGGATTTTGATCTATTTGGATAAGGATAGTTAAGCGAAAGGTACGTTTGTAGTGATTGGAATCTTTCAATCTTAAGAAAACAGGCTTGTTTTTGAAAGGAAAATTGAAGAAATCGGTAGGAATTGTAGATTGGGGGATATAATTAGACAGCAGGTCCCTTTCAGCAATAGAAACAAAACTTTCTGATTGGCCTATTTCCACCCAAAACTGGGTATTTTAGCGTAGAGTTTCCATCTATGTTTGAACAATTTATACTCCGAAGAGTGCTAGATGAATAACTTAAGTTTGTTTCAAAATTTGTTTTTCAAAGCCATTTTCAAGTTCTGTACAATAAAAAGATTGTTTGGCAAGAGAATTGTTGTTTTTGTGTTGTGACAGCTTTACATGGAACTGAAAGAGTCAGTTCTTTTAAATACTTCAAGTAAAGGGGGTGTCTAAGTCACGGTTAAAGCAAATACAAATTGAAGGACAAATTAAAACAGCATTCTCCTGACTGAGGCTATTAAAGGCAACCGACAGATGCTAAAGGGGCTTAAATTATCTGTTGATTGTCTTTAAAAGTACATTCTATGTGTTGCTGATTTAGCTCGCCTCAGCAGATGAGGGGAGCGATTCACAGCTCACCTACAAAAATACAAACAACCAGGCCTGATGGTAGGCCAGGTCAGGCCGACTATTGGTTTAGCCTAATAGCATATATGCAAGCTGGCGTTGTGTGCGAAGTCAATCAATGTTGAATATTTTGTCCAATTATTTGTGGAAAGTCCCCAGGCAAGTACAGAAACAAGTAATTGGCTTTTAAAAAAGCAAACATTTAGTAAACTAAAGCTTTTCGTCTGACACTCTTCAGAGTTTAAGACGTCAGAACATAGATCGAAAACTCTACGCTAGGAAATATATATACCCAGTTGTGGATCGAAATAGGCCAACCAGAAAACACAAGCACATGACTGTGTAGGTTGACCAATCAGTGCCGCTTGCCTATTGAGAATGTTACCAATGGAGTCCTAAGGTGAAATCGAACTCCTTTTGTCTACACAGTAGCGGTTTTTTCGTGCTTTTGTAGATAGATTCCAAAACTGGGTTTTTTAGTAAATGCTGCCGATAGCAGAATCGCAGGTTTTAGTTGTAATTTTAGATTTGCAAGACCGAGGTGGCTGTTCTCTTTTGCGGAAGAAACAAGTAATGTTTCTTTGCAAAGACCTTTTATTTTTGAGCAGGACAATAGACCTAGTTATGCTGCAATTGTGACAAAAATTTTCAAAAACAGTAACATCATGGTCTTTCAACAACTGGTTTCATGAAATTGAAAACAACTGGTTTCATGAAAAAAATCCAAAAAATGAAATCTTCTAGCATAAATTTAATGTTAATATTAAAATCAAGCAATGAAGATTTCACTCTAAAAGTTTCCTGGCAAACGGCAACAATTTCCTGCAATGAATTTGCGCCAAACATTTCATGGCTCCTGTCCTCCAGCCCTGTCCTTGCTAATTACTTTCTTACTTTAAAACAACATTAACTAAAGTAAAATAAATGTAAAAAGTTAGTTTGATCAAAAAGTGGTAAGATGCTTCTTGTTAATGTCTTCCCAAACAGGGAAAAGTTCCTTCAAATAATATTTCAGGTTTCATTGAACCATACAGTCGTTGGGGTGTGTCCTTACAGTCCTTGATTCCATCTTCATGAGATGGCCAATACCACACAGATCCTGGTGATGTACCATCTTTGACCATACATTGGACAATTACCTCTTTAGGGTCCTCAGTGGTTGCTTCCTCCGCTGGATAACTGATTCTAATATGTGACTGTGTGACCAACTTTGAAAGTCTATAGTGAAAATTTTTGTGAACCTTTGGCCCTCTGCTCTAGATTGTACCATACAGTGACTAAAATGAGATAGTTTGAATGGTTTTAGCAGTCAAACTTTCCTTGACAATTTTTATGTCTGTGACATGCATATATCAACTCAAATATTTAGAAAAGTCAAATTGTAAGTGCAGATACAAATGAATACAATTTAACTATAAACAATAATCTTAGAGAAAATGCTCCATCGTTTATGTGAGGCCCATACTAAAAAGACATAAGGAATAAACAAAGTAACTGGTTTTCTATGATTTCTGGGGCCTCAGCTTCACATGTGTCTTACAACTTCATACATTCACTATGAGCAAGTAGACTGGTTGCTTCTTGAACCTTGAAATATTTCTTTAACTTTTTCAACAGCCAAATTAAAGTCATTGACAACATTTTTTTAAAACCAAATTGATTTTGAAGAATTGATAAAGTCTAATGATGTTCCTCAACACAGGTGTATTTTCCAAGTGCTTAGCATTGTTCAGTGTTTATTATTTCACCCTTGTTGTGTAGAAATTAGGTTCCAAGAAAAGAATCAAAGATAATTTTTCCAATAAATTCCATTTTACATTGCTTAAGACACCACTATCTAATTATGTGTAGTCCGACTAGTTGCAGAATGCAGCACAAGTTTCTTTTTTGGTATCAAAAAAGCTGATTCATAAGTAAAATCATAAAGCATCAGAGATTGTGATCCAAATTCTTCCTAATACTGCTTTCCACCCTCCAGTTGTGAAGTTATGGTCACCGAGTTTGCAACAATGGTATTCTGATTTTGAAAGTTGCCAAGTGAAGTTGTGACAGTTTCTGAATAAGGCTATAAGAGGGCCCATATAGAGTATGATCTTTAAGATATATTCATTTTTAATATGTTTAATCATGTTGGATGATATATTCTAACAGATTTTTTATTTTGTTAGACCTTGACCATACTTCTGATGTCCAGATTCATGCTTGGGGAGAGACATTAAAAGAATCATTCGAGTTTTCTGCAGTGGCAATGACAGGCTACATGACTGACTTAGAATCCGTTGAAATCAGCCAAGAAGAAGAAGTTAATGTTGAAGGTCATGATCTAGAGTCATTACTTTTTAATTTTCTTGATGAAGTCCTGTTTTTGTTTTGTGCAGAACCTTACCTTACTTCGAAAGAAGTTGAAATAATTGAATTTGATAATAAAGACTTCAAAATTAAAGCAATTTGTCGCGGAGAACCATTTGATTTGAGTAAACATCCCCAAGGAACTGAGATAAAAGCGATTACCTATTCTAATATGCAAATTTATGATAAAAGTAGTACCAATGACGTATATGTAATCGTAGATATCTGATGTATTCGAAAACCTTAGGTTATGAGGATTGCTCATAATTTTGATATAGCTTTTTTCGTGCCATATTCTCCAGACATTCCAGGTTCTTGCCTCGTAACCAATTTAGATATTACCATCACCTTCCTGTGATGAGATAACAGCATTGCAGTGATATACTAGCACAGGTTTACCAGATTGGCCTTTTTCAGGCCAAATTTTTCCTGTTTTGCAATGTTGGAGTAAAATTGCTTACGTTTGCGCAGTGTAAGTTCAAAAACTCTCAACATTTAAAGCCCCCAAAAAGGGGCTATCTTATAGAGACTATCTTGGGAATATTTTTCGTAAATGATCGTCTGTTGAAAATAGACTACAAGGGTTTGGTTCGGTTATCACGAGTTTTTCAGCTATGCAGAGAATGACGTAATTATTGCAACAAGGAAGTCGATCTCAAACGCAGATGCTGCCGAATTCATTTGTTATGCTGTATTCAGCGGGTCGCTTTCACTGTACAGCGCCATGTGTAATAAAGGCTAAATATTGATAGAAGGATCAACCGAAACGATACGGGAACCTTCCAGAGTTTAATCCAATATTTTTCGCATGCAGATTGAATAGAAATGTCTTCTTTTGGTTGAGCAATATCAAAAGTCCGGTTAATGACACCTGCATGATTGTAATTTCCCGCGATCAGGCCACTTCTAGAAATATTTTGTTGTTAAAGGTTATCGTAAAATTAATAGGAAGTTGGATTTTGCCCTCTGTTTTCCACTGTTTGCTAACCAGGAAAGATTCGTTTATGGTAAGTAATTATGATTTTTGGTACTCTTTCTGTCATAGGTTCCATGTTTTCCCACCATCTGTAGTTTGTTATATCCAGCGTCCAAATGTTTTCGACTTTTAATTCACAAAGCGTGCAAAGATCAGATACTTTAAATTTGCATATGGCTTCCTTTCTCGTCAATTGTTGCGAAAATCGAAGGGTTGGCGTTTCATGGCGGTGAATTCTTCTAGCAGCTCATTTGCTTTGGGATTAACGATGTAAACCTATTTTCATTAAGCTTACAGCTTACCCTTTTGAAGAAAATTAGGCTGCGATCCGCGTTCTTGCTGCCTTCGGTACAATTTTGTTAATCACAAACGATGAAATTTTTAGCCATTTTGCTGTTATGTTTTTTGGTTTTATGGTAATAGTCACCAATTTATTTAATCTAATAAAAGAATAACGATACACTATAATTGCTCAAACAGATACCTGATTAAAGAAAATGATTGTTCTCTTTTTGTTTTGATTTAAATGTTGCTGCGGGTTTTTCTTACTAATTGATGGTTTCTGATTGGCTAGCCTTTATCCGCATGCGAACGTTCGCAAGAAATCTACCTTTGCGAACATGTCAAAATCGCATTGCGAACGTTCGCCTGCGAATTTTCAGACAAAAGATCGCGTGCGATTTGCGATTTGCGAATGAAGTGGAAATGGGCCTGTAGTGATGTTGCCATAAATCAGTATTTTTTGGATTTTTTGGAGAGAACCTTAAAAATCGCTCTAAATATTCAAAACCAATTATGATTGGATCGGTTGTCCAATTATGGCTGGATAGTATACCAATCAACTTAGAAATGACAAATGAAAATGAACGACACGAAGTTTTCTAACAAACAGTGTTGTTTTTGGTTAGTTCATAAATTTTATAACTGGGACCAAATGAAATTAAACTAAATTGATAGGAACTAGCCTGTGTTCATTTAACACATTATGTGGGATAAATTCAGTTCAAATGTAAGGCTATTTCATGATGTCATTCAGATAATGTGATCCAAATTCAATATTCTAAAAATAGATTTATGATGTCATCACTAACCTCATTTCAATTCTCCCGCGCAATGGTCTGAAAGAAATTGGGCCGTGATGGGAGCAGAGCGGGCTTAAATGAAGGTTGGGGAGACCAACCCAGACCTTTTTGAAACTACGCTGTTTAAAACACCGAAAGTGCCCTATTAAAAAATACTGACTTCTTTTGTGTTAGTTTGAAGTTTTAAAGTTACTATGAGCAGGGACATAACTATTATGGATGTTAATATACGGTGGTGTAGTGCTATCAAAATAACAAAATGTTGCGAAAAACAATAGTGAAAGAAGAAATTTGCCAATTTTTGGCATCAACATGGGGGCCTAGCCCCCGTGAGCCCCCATAGCACTACACCTCTGTTATTATACATTCTAAAAAACTAATGGAAAGATTGAAAAAGCAACAACCATCTTGCAAAATTCAACCAAAAGTTTATTGAATAAGATAAAAATCCAAGAGCAGCAAAAGGGATTTCGTGTCAGCTCGATTTTGTGTACGAAGAATGAGTACACTATGTTTTTATTGAATCTCAGTATTGCTGACAATGAATAATTGAATCTTGCTTAGTTCATGTCTAGGCAACCAAACATAACATCATCATTATCAATGTAATTGTACTCAAACCTTTCTGCTAATCAATATATGCCTACACAATGGCATGTTTTCTTTTATTAGGTATTAATGATCATGCTTATAAAATGATCATGCTGCTTGTCATTCACATACAATTTTGGTGTAGCCGATCCGCTATAATGAGAGCAATTAAAAATTCTGTAAAACGTTTATAGCAGCTGGAATAATATGGGAAAGGAGCTATGGCCCCTGCAAGTCCAATGGATTTGCGGTCCCTGCCATCAGCAAAGTAGAGGAGTTTCAGAAATCTCAAAGCTTATGCTTGCAAAACATTCCTATTACCTTCTCATAAGATGGTTCATTATATTTTTCTGAAATTGGCCCTAGGAGAAATATAATATGTGAAACTAGTCTAGAGTTGCTGCTTTGTGGCCCAGATCCTAATGATGTGCTCCTTTGTCGTGCCTAGGTTTGAGTATACCTAAATGAGACGCTGTCAAAAAGGCAAGAACCCTTATAAGGAGAAAGTGAAAGGGTGAGTAATTTCGCCGTCCAGTGTTTTGCTTGCATAACTAACAGGGCCATCAAGAGGCAGCTCGGGGCCGGGAGTGATTCACAAAACTGGACCCCATAAGAAAATTTCATGTTGCCACGCCCTCCAGTCTCCCGAAGAACAAGGGAAATACCCCTTTTAAGTACAATGGTTGAAAAGGTTTTTTAAGGATTTTTACAAGAATGTGCAAAAAGATTTTATATGAATCAGGGACATGTGGACATTTCTCTGCGATAAACTTTCAGGCGTTATTTCGTATAACTAGCTGAAATACTAGCTTTTTTGCATTATAAATAGATCTTGTTACTTTATTACGGGCCCCATCGGAGCTCGGGCCCCGGACTTTTTGCTCCTCCTAACCCCCCTCTCGACGCCACTGATACAGAGGCGGATCCAGAGTGAGTTCCTTGGTGCACAGAACTCAGTCAGTTTTCCAACATATAGCTAAAAAAGTGCTGCCTGAAAAAAGTAATGCTCAAACTAAAAAAGTGAAATTTAAGTTTTATCGCAGTCTCTTCAAAATCTTAAAATTGCCAGTTCGATGTAATTCGTTCGTCCTTTTCCTTCCTTCTTCTCCTTCGTGATTTTGAAACGATTTTCCAGACGCTGACAACAGCAGCCAATCCTAGAGCTCGGAAATAAACTTTTAGAACTCGGAAATAACCGTTGTGTACCTCGGAAGTGAGTGAATTGAAACAATGAAATTTTTGTTTGGAACACGGATGTAACTCAGTCAAAACAGCATCTGGAACTCGGAAATGATACCATATTTGTAAGAGGGCTGTACAATGGCCCGTAGTTGATTGGCTTCCTATAGTTTCTGTTCTATTGTGGAACTGCCAAACATTGAATTCGAAATGGCGACTGCAGATGTCTTATACTCACGACCATCGCAGCATTCTAGCAAATTATATTAAGCGTTTGAGATAAAACCAGGCACGTAAATAATAGGGGGGCGTGGGGGGCGTAACGCCCCCCCAAAGTTTGGAAAATCCAGTTACAGTTGGAAAACGTAACGGTTGACTTGGAATTTTTTTCTTAAGACTAAACTTGTGAATTTTATATTTTAAGAAGTTTTTTTATTTTAAATATAAAAATTCTAAACATTAAAATTCACAGGCTGAAGCTGACTCATCCAATCGTTTTCTATTGGGAATCCCGTCTCCATTGGATCCAAATTGCACACTTGCCTCGTTTTCTTTTCCTTTCTTTCTGACGGGAGTTGAATCAAATTACAAACAGGCAAGGTGAACTTACGGATAAGAAACTTGAAACTTACAGTTTGGAATAATAATACCCGCATTGATCAGAAAATATTAGAGTGGGAATTTTTTTAGAAACTACGAGTAGTTAATTCAATAAAAGATTAAGAATCTTTCAGTACTAAAAATTCTCAACGCTTCTTATAAAAAACGAGTTTATGCTAAACTCCCCCTGTTATTTGTTAATGTCCTTGAGTCCTTATCATAAATTCCTATGACAAAATTGCTGTGAAGCAAGAACACATTGCAAAAACTGCAGTAGAAGTATTTGATCAAAGAAGAGTATTTCATCTTTCGAATCAGGCATATGCACAAGTTTGTTCTCAAATCATCATTTCAATTGTAAAGAATGAAAAGGCATTTGGCCCTCTGAAAAGTTTAAAGGTAGTTTTCTTCGATCAAGAACGAAAATAAAAGGCCCAAATTCTTGGTGCTTCTATATCGTGAAAAATGTATTTTAGATAAAATTGATCAATTGATCTGAAAGAATACTACTAATCATTAAGTATATCTAATACTGGTTTTGCTTAAATGTTGCTTTACTTCTTACAGTATGTTTAATGTTTGTTTCTTGTTAATCAAAATTTAGAGATTTAGGCTTTTATGCTTTAGGCTAATTATTGAGTAAAGATTTGGTAATTATAAAGAAAATAGAACTATGGTGTTCGGGCTATTTACAAATATCAATTTGGTAGGTACAACAGATCTACTGGTCGAATGAAAAATTTATCACTTAAAGTTGGAATTTTCATACTTCCACGCCCCCCCAAAATTAGCAACTTGTTTTCGTCCCTGGATAAAACCAGGAGATATCGTTAATTTTCAGGGGCATTAACTACCTTGGTTTTAAATTGCAGTCTTTTCAGTCTTAAATGGCACGGGAGACCTATGTTCAGATGGAGCCCTTTTACGACACAAGAGGCACTTTTGTAAAATTAAAAATGCATTTGTCAAAAGAAGAGGGCAAATCATTATTTCTTGAATAAAGCCGAAGCACGTGCCCCTTAGGCCTATCTAGGCCTCCGTTGTTCCTACGCCACTGATGTATTCTATTTCATGTTATCTTACGTTAAGTTTGTTTTGTTTCAAAAAGTAGCTCTTTAGCACTTGGAACTTGAAAAACCTTTTACTAAAGCAGTTAAATTAACGAAATAAAAGATGGGTACTTTCCTTAGGCATATCTTATTGCACGAAAATAACGCGGTACATTAATTAACTAAACTAAACTTTATGACCTATCCCATTGAGATTCATCTGGTTCTTGGATATAATTTTTGGTTCTTTGTTTTTATGGGGGGGGGGGCTCTCTTTCGATTAGTTTACCTACTTAAAGAGCTCCTCCTTAATCAGTCAATCTTAAATTCAATCATGTGAAGTAACTTTTTATTTTTTTTTGAATTGTTAGTTTTTAGTTCTAAGAGTTTTAATGTATCTTGAATGAATTGTATTTAGGATTGATTGATAACGAATGAAACTGAAACTGAAACTTAAGGTGAATTGAAAAATTACGCGTTGATTGAAACCCCATTAATTTCATGACCTCCGTTTTTTGATCCCACTTTAATTTGTTCTTAGTTTTTCAAAGTTATTGAAATAGCCGGTTTTTACGATTATATCTTGAATATATTATTGTATCTGAAAATGAGCATAACAGAAAGCGTCCAAAAAACGTAAGGACCGGAAGGTGCTCTTTGCACAAGTTTTATTAAAAATAAAACATCTCTCATAGTTTTAAGTAAGGTACTTGAGAAACTTATAATACTTTTTATTGCATTTGAATGTCCTCATTATCAACTGTTTCCTCCTGAAATATACCATCTTCGTCATCATCTTCATCTTGCTCAATTTCTATTACCTTTCGAGTCATCAAAATACTCTCTAATCAGGAGCTACTCGACCTCTTTCACTTGGCTCAACTAACGTGACTGCTACCTTTATCGGAATCACCCGTCCACCTTGGCTTAAGCCTTTTTTGTCATTTTTTTTTTGTTTTTCGTCTGTACTGAATTAGAATGAGTATTTTAAATTAAATACCGTTTGAGTATTTGAATTTTGTTGATTCGCATAAATTACCACACGTTTGAAATCCAATCGCACAAGTTTTCTTAATTTGTAATCACATTAATTTGTTCCGCATTATTTGGTGTACCGCGTTATTTTCGTGTAATAGGGTATTTCTTAAAAAATGCGCGTGTTCTGTATCCTAAAATTGTGTGACTAATCTTATCAACTCAATTACAGAAGTAAATATTATGGAAAATACATATCAAGATTATTCAAAATGATATCATCCATATGGCGTGACATCACAGGACACCTGGTTTCACTTCCCGTTTAATCAATCAATCGCGATTATTTCCACGAAATCCAACAAATTGACTGGTGTTTTTAAACCCGTGGGTAGGATAAACATATGATCATACGTAGGATAAACCCGTGAACTCAATGGCGACGAATTTTTAGATAGAACCCGCTCAATCAATATGATAAGGCAGCATTGCTAGAACTTTGTTCAAGGAACAACACATGCTAGTACAAACAGTCTTGGAACATCCTCGTCACACTAGTAACAATTGTGGGACCATATGATCAGTACTTGAAGTGCATGAAGTTCTCAACTCTGTTGCATAAAGACACACATATTTTCAGCGTTGTTGCATAAAGAATTCAGGGTAAGGACGTTAAAATGCAAATTGAAAATTTTACTTAATTTCCATTTTCAAATAATTTTTCTTATGTGGAATGTTTTCCCAGATTGCTAACGAATAGAGCAGCAAAGGTCTAGAGGAAACAGAAAAATAATATGGTTTCAAGAAAGTGTTCCTTAAAAAGAGCATGAATGAAATTTGATTTAAAAAACTTCAAATACACATCCAATGGAAAATTGCTCGGCAGTTGTAGTCGAGCAAAATTCTAGAACACCACTTTCACAAGAGTGGAGTTCACTGCTACTTCGATTCGAGGCAACACTGGAGCAGATGAGGTAAAGGAAGTGATGGGGGACTGCACCAATTCTTCCAATATAAACCAATTAAGTCTGTATTTTAATCAATGCGGCGCAAAAAAGTTTCCATAGAAGCAGAGCCACTGTGAAGTTACCGAGCTATCATTACCTATGGCTTGCCCAATCGTATCTTTAATTCTCAACAGTAAATACTGATATTCCTCAATTTTCAAATCTCGTTTCGCTCACATACCACCCACACTTCTTTTTCTTGTTGGATTATACACAAATCAATTGCTATATTACACAATAGGCAACCCGTAGCTAGTTAATCGATGCGAAATTACATATTTTCACAAATCCTGTTTTTCTATCAAAGTTTAGGTAACACAGGCAAGTTTATGTTTATATTTCGCAGTGTACAGTTTTAACTTTCTAGCAGAACAGTTAACTTCTCCAAGTTACTTCGTATTTTGAGTTTCCATTCTTTCATGGCACTTATGACAAGATAATTATTATTGATAGGACAGGACACACCCCCCAAAATGCGCTGTCCAAAAGCAACATTTCGACACCCTGTGACAAACTCTTGCACTTTAACCGTGACGTCACAACGCGGAAAATACTTCAAACAATTAGAAATATCGAAGTGTTCTAGGACCTGGTCTCGCTGAATCAAAGTTTGTGCAGAATCCAAAGTACTTGCTACTAACAGTTTATTAGGAGAAGATCGTTCATTTGTTATTGATGTTGAAAAGACAATCGAGGCTTCGAAAATGATGCTGCCAAAGCTAGAAGTGTAGGTCGCCTCCTGCTTGGCCTGTTCGCCTAGAAGGTCTCGGACATATTTTTTTTCTGGTCCGCTTTAAATTTACTACACTGAAGAGATTGAAGGTAATACTATGATTATCTTTGCATTATTGCAATTTTTAAAACTAACTATTAATATACTGTGTTTGGGATCATCAAGAACCGAGTTGATTAAGCCACCGGCAAAGCGTCTTGGGTTGTGGACAAAAGCGGCCTGGAAGTATCCATCATAGGTCATTAGCTCATGAATCCAAAATCCTTCGAAACTTTCACAGTTTTATCGTAACGGTTATAGCATCGAAGTTCATGTTTAACATTTTCACTAAATGCCTTCTTTCCACAAGGTAGTCTTTCCTTTCCCCCCTTATCTGGGTTGTAGCTATCTGATTTTTCAAAGGAACTTCGACATTCATAATTAATTAAGATGTTGTGTATTTTTCGCAAGGCCTCCGGTAATTACCAGTCAAGGATATCAAGGATATGATATCACTTGAAACTTTCAAGGATATCAAGGATATGATATCACTTGAAGCTTTATATTTAGCAGCGAGAATTGATCAAATCACGCCAGCTTCCATTTTCTTTTCATTTCCACTGTAATAATACAAGTTTCACGATACATTAATTATATTTCAGTATTTTAATGGAAAAGGTTCTACCTCACCCAGATTTTCCATAATTTTGAACTCATATGTATTCACACATTTGTCGCAAATTTTTGCCTATAAGTCACATGAAAGTTTCCAATTATGTTCACTAGTGTGGCAACATGCTACATGCATGAAAAGTTGACATTTGCTTTTGTCTTCTTTGTCACATCGTTCAACTAGATATTGGTAAAGCTTTTTAAATCATTTTTCTATTTTGTCTAGAACCCACTGAGACAATAATCTAAAATGAAAGATAGCTTATGACCAAATTTGTTAATAGCAAAACGGGAAAATTGAATTTTAGATACTTTAAACATTTCAAATTCTGACTGTAGGTACCTGAGTTTGTATTCAGTTGTCAGAGGAAATGGAGAGAGTTCCAATGAAAAACATAGCAGCTAAAAGTTTATTAGGTGAAGGAGTTTCTCATGCTGGATTTGTAGTCAAACCAGGTGGAAGACTCAGATCAAGTAAGTTCTTTTTTACGTTGCTCTATTTTGATTTTAAATTGGCATTAGTATACTTTTGTTCACTGCTGAAATATTGATTCTGTTGACATTTGAAACATCTAAATTGAGATTCAGTAGACATTTAAATTGTGTTACTATAAAATAGAGAAATGTTGCAGTTTGTGTATTCAACACATCCCCAGCCTTCTGCTGGTTTTTGTGCATTGCAAATTACATGAAATATGATTTTCTTTGGTTCCAATATCTGAATGTATGCAAAAATTTATATCCAAAATATGCAAAAATAAAAAGAAGACTCCATTCTTGTATGGATGTCATAAAGGGCAGCAAATTTGAAGTTTGAAGAATTTCCTTGAATAAAAAATAAAATCTTCATGCAAGATAGTTTCCTTGTTCCTTTATCTAGATGTAAAAAGTATTTTGTTAACATATCTATCAAGTTCTTTGTTTCAAATTTCATTGTTATGCTCAAATATGCATTTCTAGAAAGCTAGAAAAATAGTGAGCCCATCTTGTGAAGCAAACTTCATGGTTTAGTGCTTTTGCATCTTTGTGTAAAAAGAAACCTAAAAAGTTTATTTTATTGATCTGAAGTTGTTTCTAGTTAATTGAATGTGTATGTATTCTCCTATTAGATTACTGGAAGAATTAGGGCTCTGGATATCTATAGAGAAGCTGAATTCTTTTAAAAAAGCATTGAGGGCACCATTCCTTTTTGGAAAACATAGACAGAAATTTTAAAGAGAAGAGAAACATGTTAATAACAAGGCCGGGCCACAGAAACGTCTTATGAGCATCCAATTAAAGGCATTTCCAGGCTTCCTGTGAATAAATTAGCACAAGTGCAGTATTTTGCACTCCTTGACTGCTTTAGGCATGTGATGGAGGGCTATTGATGTTTTGTCTTATTTCTACAGGTTTAATTACAATTATCTGGAGACCTCTAAAACCTGCATTCTTAAGTCACTTCTTCAGTTTTCACACAACTTTAGCAATAAATATCTCTGGTGGCAAAACAATAAAGGAAAGCTTATGAATATTGCCAGGGATCTTTACTAAATTTGATGTTGAAAATATCTTAGATGCAGTTTCCGACAATCCCTCTTGCCATCAATCATGGTGGCAGTCTTCATGAAATCCTTAAAAATGTTAATATTTTGGCCCCCACTTTCAATCATGTCTTATCAAAAGGGATATGTAAACAGTTTTGAAAACGGCACATTTTGAAAATGGCATGATTTGAAAATGGTCTGATTTGAAAACAGCACAAAATGTTCCAGTGCAAACGCTTGAAACAGAACAATTCTATTGCAGATCTCTCTCTCTTGGAATCCAGAATGCTATCATTCTGTTTCCAAGTGTAATCCTTGAAAATTTCATGCCTTTGTCGCAACCTGCCATTTTCCAAATTTTTCTGTTTTCATATGAGAACAATACAACATTGAATAATTTGTGGAAGAACGGGACATCCCTGTCAGAAAAATATGCCATATTGCATAAGCCCTTCTGGGGAGGGCTGTTTAGCATTCCATTGCACCCCGCTTATCCTAGCTGGCGGTAGGAACTGGATACTGAAGTCACTGGCATAAAACAAATGGCATACAGAAAGCGAGCTTTTCAGCCTGGGCCATCGGCGCATGCTTTCGCATAAAATCTGCAGTTCCTTAGAATGATGGGTGCCTGATGATCTGATATTTTGCACACAACTTGCACCAAATATTTGTTACATATTGCTTATTGTCTTGGGCTTAAATATTATAGCCTAAAATGTAAGAATCTGCCGTAGATGTAAGAATAAGATTTACTGGACTTCTACTAGCTCGTTGCTACCGTCATTTAGTCCGTGTTTGATTGCATTCAAATGTCGTCAGAAGAACTCTTCAAAATGATTATGGTGACCCAGTACAGTGGACAAGACTTGTAAAACACATAAAAATAAAAAACAAAACAATTTCTTGTTTTTTGTCACCTTATTAGTTTCCAGCTTATTGGTTAAATAACAAACAAATGATTACAAAAATAGGCATGCAATTAAACACAATCCTCATTTTGGGGGGGGGGGCTGTACCAGTGTGTGCGAGTACGATTGCATGCCGTTCCCGGGAAGGCCTGCATTTCAGATTTATTTCTTCTTTTTTCTTTCAGTGCAAACAAGATATTTGATTTTAAGAGAAGGATGCTTATATTATTACAAGGATTTCAAATCATCAAAGGAGCAAAATGCATTTTGCATCATTGGATATGAGTGAGTCACTTTACTTCAACTTGTATGGGTTTGGCTGTTAGTAGCTAGAGTTTATGTAATTGTTCCTATAACTGTTTTGGATTCCTCTACTCATACTTTCTGGAAAAACAAATAGCTAGAGAAACAATTCTAAATGCTAAATACGTTGCTAAATTTGTATTGATTGCCTTATTACTTTTGGTATCTTTTTGCTTTTTATAGAACTTTTTATATCAATTGATTGCACTATATTGAAAAGCAATCATTTTTTTCAATGTTCTTGTTGATGAAGAGCAAAAACCTACATACACTTCCCTCCTGAAAGAATCCAATCAGTTCAAAGATTGATTGCCCTTTTGAATAAAAACAAATTCAGGCTGGTCAAAATGACCAGTTTTGATGATAGTCTGTTATCATTCTTTAAAAGTTTTTGCTCTTTCCCTAGAACAAAAAATAATTTACTCTTGTTTTTTTAAACCTTTTTAGCAAATATTAAAGGAAGCAGTCTGTGTGCATCCAATAATATTAGCAATTTAAGAATAGCTTTTCCAATCATTCTACTAAAACATTATTTCTAGCCGCTGTTTGTAAGTCATTCTTTCCTTTTTATTGTTATCATCTTGACAACCCTCACAAGATTTTCCTCTTTATCAATTAAGTAAAGTTTTTTGACAAATAAATAGTTCAAAAGAAACTTCAAAAAACTCTCAAGAAATTCATAAAAGCTCTTTAATTAAGATGGTCTTTGAAATTTCTAAACAACATTTCTAACAGCAGATTGGCAGGTAGATAGGAAATTGTCCTTACACTTTCTTGAGGGGGGTTTATTTGTAATAGTAGTGATCACCAAAGGCCTTGTATCAAAACCATGCTTCCTGCAAAGGACTTGGGATATTGCCAAGTTAAACGAAAGGCATGTAGATGCATATTGTTCTTAAATTTTAAAAGTTACAGCTGTGGTTTAATTCAAAGGTAGTCTAAAACATGCCAAAATAGACAACAAGCTATATATCAAAAGACTGTTTACTCTTTAATTGTTTAGAGAAAGATTTGTTTTAACAATTTTGATCTCTATTAGCCTTAGATTTATTTTTGGCATGAACTTTGCAGAGTGGATTACTTGTACTGTTTCTTTGAATAGAGAGGATTGTGTTTCTGGACTTTGGTCTTTTGTTTTGTAGAGTCAAAGCAGATTTATCTGAGGATGGTGTCTATGGTATATCACTGAAACCAGAATCCTTTGGAAAGAAACCTTTTTATTTTTTGGTTTCATCAAATGATGAGAGACAGGTACAGAGAGTCCATTGTTTCATTAACAATTTGTGATTGTATTTCTTTTCTCCTGTGATTGTATTTTCATTTACAATATGTGATTGTATTAAGGAAATGGGAGTTGGATGCTAAGTCGAAGGCAAAAGGGAAGCCAAACTATAGATTGATTTTTTTGATTTGGTATGAGATCACACACAAATAGTTTCACACATAGGGCTGATAGTTGTCAGATTGAATTTTCTTGCTTGGAATTGCTTTGGTAGCAACACTGAATTTTATCACTAGGTAAAGGACTCATTGGCAGAAAAAAAGTTGTGATGTTATTTTTCTTGTTCAAAGTTGACTTAACCACCATTGTGTTATTTTTTTGCTTGTACCAATTTCATTGCTTTATATTGCAAAAATACATTCTCATAACTTTTTCAAGAAAGCAGAAAATTAGGAAAACCTTTAAATATCATTTACAATGTTATGTATTTTTTTGGCTTTCTTCCAACTTCTATTCAAAATCAATCTACCTTCCTATCATTCAAGATTATCTAAGGTTAAATCAGAGGCAGCCCTCTTCATCCAGAGTGTGGCGTGTGGGTGGTAATATGGCCTAATTGCCCTCATGTTTGCTTGGATCACACCTAATTTGTCTAAACATGGTCTTATTTCATTATTATTTACCAACTGAGAAAAGTGCATTTAGAAGGTTGTGGCTTTAATATTTTACAAAATAGGGTGTGAAATTTGAAATGGGTGGTTTCCAGAATTTCCCCATGGGCTATGCCCACGGACCACGGACCAAGTAGGGGGCTAGATCATTACAGTAGGTGTAAAATTCTCACACTTACAGTCCTTTTAATGTAAAATTGTATTTGGCACATGTTTACATGGCTACCACTGGCCTATGTTGCCATTAAGTTTGACTTGTAGTTGTGTTTCTTTCGTTAAGACGTGGATAGAGAAGTTAACACAAGAAATGGGGAGAGTGGCAGCTGATGGATGGTATGTTTTAATTATCATCAAAGCAAGTTTGCGATTCCTTGTTAAAAGAAATGCCGAAATGATAAAAATACTTGTTACTCTTTTCTCGAAAGAAAATTTTTAAAAATGAGCTAGGTTATAATTTGATAATTTAGATAAACATGCATGATGCGATTTTACACTATTAGGTTGCAAATATGGGATTGATTCATAAACAACATTGGAGGCTAAAAGAGTGGAGACCTCTAAATTCTGTTTGCTTAGTGCATGAAAATGTTATCAGTTTAAAGAAGCAACCTCCTATGTATATTTGCCTTTGACATCGCCCTTTCTTTATCTTTGTACAAATTTCGAAATTTCTTGGTATGCATGTTGCCAAAAGAAAGAAATTTTAATTTGAATTATAAAGATTATTGCTTCTTATTCTTATAAATTTTATACATTTACACAACAAATAGTATATCATTTTATCTCTACTGATGCCATTTGTAAATTGCCTCCCATTTTTCAAAGCGAGTCCTACGATTATTGCCGTGATTCAACTGCACCCATAGAAGTACAACATGACTACGAAAAAACCGACAATATAGAGACATTTCATCCACCAAAGCCTGCTTCAAATGCTGGGCAACCATGGATGCCAAGACCGAAAGACACGCCGCCGCGACAACCAGAGGCGCCTCCACCAATAACCCCAAAAAGGTCTGGCATGCTACCGGCAAGACCAGTCAATCTTGGGATTGACAGAAAACCTAACCCATTCATGCCGAAATCGTTAGCTCCGAAACCGCCAGCACCGAAACCCCAAGCACCGAAACCCCAAGAAAGGACTATGCCGCCATACCCGAACCCTAATTCAAAACCAGTTCTACCGGTCGCCCCCAAGCCCGCGCAATATCCAAGGCCGCCAGTCCCTAAAAAGAATTCAGATTTATCATGGCATAGTATGTCAGAAGATATATATTTAACAAGGAAGGCAGCTGCTGACGCGTTGGCCCAAAAACTGAAGCAAAAAGATCCAAAGGCTCCTCCTGGCTATGAGATTCAACGTTTAAAAACGGAAGGTATGTTGAAGACTATGGAAAGGGCTGCCAAAGAGGAATGGGGGGGGGGATGGGAGCAAATTGCCCCAGGGCCTTGAGGCTAGGGGGCCTCATAAAGAAACGAATTCCATTTTAAGAAGGAAATTAATCAAACGCAGCAAAAGTATGCCTTGAGATAGTAAACGTTTTAAGCGATTGGAAGAAGTGACTGCGAGAAATATTCTGAAATGCATTTTAAGCCAATCTGAAGGGTGTGAACGCATAAATTTTCTGCTCGATCCGCCGAGAGGTTTCGGAACCCAATTTTATTTTGTGCGGTCTTGATGAATTCCTTAAACTTAGAGTTTTTGTGCTTTCCCATAGCATTGAAATATTGTACTGAAGCAATAGAAACCAATTTTAACTATAGATAACTAGACCCCCGTCTTTTTTGCACATGCCGCTAACTTTTGTAGGACGCGTATACTTGATTCAGTATGCCAACTATGCCAAAAGAAAAATATATACAAGATAAATAAGAACAACATAAGTAGAGAAAATATGACTTTATTGTGCTAATTAATTCATTTTTTATTCAACTTGTTGGCGATTGTGATATGTCTCGCAGAATCTTTATTTTTTTTTAACCAACATACTGATAAATTTTCCCAATGATCTTAGAAAAAACGCTTGCAAAATTTTATTTCATTTCTTATTTTATTTTATTTCATAATATAAGCGAGAATATGTTGCAGAAGTTTCTCCCTTGCCCATCTTATATCCTTGTAGAGGTGGGTTTTTATTTGATAAAAACTGGTGACGAATCTTCTGGTTTCGCTAGGGATAAGCATTAAGTAGAAAAGGCTGGCAGTAATATCTTCCAGTTCCCACGTAGGGGGGGGGGGGCAAACTATTATTCAGCTTGCAACAGGATGTAATCAATAAAAACTCTAAATAAACTTGATAAACTTTTTCTTGGTGATTTATCGTTAGTCTAGCATAAAAAGACTAAAACACGCGTTTAAAGCCTTTTCTGAAGACTTCCCCATTTTAGCGCAACATCAATTTCTCTATATTACCGCTGCCCCCATGATACGGCTTTTCGCGCCACGGCGGTTGTATCGATCGGTGCGTTTAACAGGGAAACAATGAGTGTTTGCACTATAGCAAACAAGTGCCATTGGTTAATTAGGACACCCATACCAATCTATATTTCAAGACTTGATTTCTACAAAGCATTTGCTATTAGATGTTTCCCCCTTTCCTATATTTTTAGCATGATTTCCAAAAACGTTTGTTTTTTCCTATCCATTTGAATTAGCTATACTTAAATTTGACCTGGTAAAACATTTCAAATGAAAACTGACTTTTTGTCTTACCGTTTTCTGACACCCTTTATGGGTGTCACTGAAACTTCAAAACGTAACCAGTAAGGCTGAACTATAAAGGCCTGTGTTATAATTCAGAAATGGTAGTTTGGTGTTCGTTCTAAAATTTAGAATCAAAGCCAAAGCAACTTTGAAAACCTTTAGTAAACATGATACCTATTTCTTCAAATGGTTTAACAGCTTTCATGAGTATATTCTATATTTTAGAAAATGGGGATGTAAAATTTTATGACGTCATCAGTGATACAATTTTGATAAGTATCGACTATTTTGTAGGAATTGATAGTGATAGTTCAGATTCAGACGATCCAAATGGAAACCAAATTTCTGGTACAATGTAAGTACAAGTTTCTAGTTTACAATTTCGAAAGCTTATTCTTATCGATATTCTTATAGAGAATATCAAAATATTCCGTGCGAAAGTTAATTATTGACTTTTACATATCCCTGTAAGTACAATTAAACATTTTAAAAGATGGAAAGCTAAAATTTCTAGTTTATGTACTGTAAATTATTTGTTGTCCAGTATTCTTCTGACGAGTGGGGAAATGAAAGGTCAACGAAAAAAGTGTTGTTCCTAGGACAGTTGAAAATGGAATAGTCAAAGGCATAAGGTTTGTGTACCAAAGAAGCAGTCTTGAAAGGATTGTTTTTAAACTTTCAGATATCCCTATCGAAAATTAGTTGATACTACAAAGGTTTACTGAAACCTCCAGTGGTGTTGAGGAAAAAAGTTTTTGCTCGACCACCTTGATTCTGCATTGCAACCATTGACACAGCCAAGACACCAACGTTCACTTGATGCCTATTTTTAAACTATGGCTTTGGCCACCGTGTATCTTTCGTGTGTTTTTTACAGCCAAAATATTACCCCTCCGCCAACATTCCTCGAATTTAGACGAAATCCAAAATTGATCCTGCCAAGATCGGGGGGGAAGTGTCCTCCTATCCCCCTGTGGCGCCACCATTGCACCTGATTGGTTATCATTGCTCTAACAAGATTGAAGGTTGGGAGTGAGAGAAAGCATATTGTGTTCTTATTCGGTTAATTGAATCCATTATCTCAATTTTGCTTTGATAGGCTGCAGAGAGGAAAGCCAAGTGGCTGCAGTTCAAAGAAGAAACCTGTGGATCCTTTGGGGGTACGGATGTTTATTTGATACATTCAACTTCACTTTTTGTGTAGATCAACCGAATCTCTATGTAGAAATTTTTACCTATCACTAAGAAGGGTGGACAATTCTCTCTCCCGTGCATCCGGGACGACTGGCTTTTTTACGGGAGACCGCTTATTGTTACACAGAGTAACTGCCGGGTGACCAAATTTTTGCTGGAATTGATCACCAGAGTTCCATTTTGGGAGGCCACAGACCGTGTGCGGGAAATCACTGAAAGAGTCTCTGTTCTTCCACCGCCTTTTAAACGGAATTGTCTACCCCTTCGCTATCCTCTGGAAATTTCCCAGTAATTGCTCGGGTTACGCCAATTAAAAATTTCTTCCAATCAACCCCCCCCCCCCATAAAACTAGTTCTCTGTGGTAATAACTTTGAAATTAAAAATTGATCATGACTCAAGGTTTCTCGATCATAAACTCCTTTGATGGTTGTTTACTCGGCTATTCTAATTTTTTTAAACATTTTCAACCGGTATTGTTGTTTTGCTTTAGGTATCCCCAGATGACCCCGATGAAAAAGTGCTCCCACCCTCTGTTTTTCAAGATTCATTCTCAAGGGAGACTTCAGAATGGTGAGTGTCAAAGTCTATTTCTGTGTAGACAAATGATGAAGTTATATTTTCGATCATGCGTTAAAGACTCATTGCTAACAGTGAGCCATTGCGCTACGCAAGCATCCCATAATGCATTTAAAGACAGTCTGAAATCAATTTTGGTTAATCCGTAGAAGTTTACTGCCATTGGTGGATCGTCGCCACGCTCGCAAAGGCCCATTGTTAGCAATGAGTCTTTAATTGCACGCCCAGCTGAATTGAAGATTCCGACACATATGGTTTGGATTTCCAATAAACCGTGAATAGTCTCATTTAAGCGATTTGAAATTTAAAATGTTTGGCGGTGCAAAATTTGAAAAATTCCTTTGAAAAAATTAAATGAAATGTTTTAAAACATACTAAAGCATTTCTGCTGACACTCCTCCGGGTATAAGACGTTATAGTCAGTATAAAAAAGATCTTTTGTAAAGATTCCCTCCTTTCTTCACCAGGATCTCTAAGAAGCACCTCATTATAAAGCCGTCTCAGCCACTTTCATTTTCCTGGGGTGGTAAATTGGAAGCGATCTCTTGCTTTGTTATTGAAAACCCCTAACCGATATTTGGGTAAAAAGAATTATTTGGGAAGTCAAAACTCTGAACAAGTGCAGAGCTAAAGTTAAACTGGCATCACTACGGCAGCGTTATGCAAAATTGCTTATCATCTAGAGGCAAGTTAAATTGCTGAGAATACAAGCTCTTGAAAATTTATAATTTCATACAATTTTAACTTTCACCTTGAATATATTTGCTCTAATATCATTGCATCTTTCTGCATTTTAGTTTGAGTAACTTAGTAACTGTTTGTATTATTCTAGCCTTCTGAGAAGCATTGGAAAACAAGGAATGTACTTGATTCGTGAAGGAAGGACCGGGGTAAGTCAGACGTTTTTCTTGATTTCCATTGATCCATTTGGTGTTACGTTGTTATGTTTAAAACCAAGTTATTTCGTATTCACGTTACTGCGAATTTCAGCTGAGCTATGCAGCATTTTTGTAGTTGGAGCTGAAATCAAAAGCTAGCTAGTTCTGCCTAAGAATGGAAGGATTTTTTATCTACATGGCCTAATATGCTTTTAGTTAGGCCGAACCTAGGATTTGGTCGGCTCCTGTGCGGAAATGCAAAACGAATTGAACTAGAAGCTTCGGATTTTTGAATTTTCCCTTTTTTGTATGAAACGAAATGCAAAGATAAAATTTTGGTTTGGATCTTTTTCCAAATTGATTTTAAGCCATCTATAATTAGTTCTTACACTGTCACATCTCCCTTATTTTGCTTGATATCAATAAGAAAGCCGAGCTAAGAATGTAATGTAAATAATGGAAGGAGTAGTGTAATCCGTGTTATATGTCGTTATTTAAAGATGTATTACTAGTGTTGTGAAGTTGATGATACTAACAAGTTCTTTTGTGTTTTAGTTGAAAGTTATAACAGTCTTTCTCGCTGACGCATGTAAACACTATCAAGTATTCAGCAAGAATGTAAGTTGTTTATCAGCTGTCAAGTATTTCGTTTATGTGCAAGTCCAAAGAATGCATTGAATAGGATTGTCTAGTTTCCATACTGCTCGACCTGATAGTCATAAATAAGCATGATTAATAGTCATAAACTAGTATGATTAATTATTTCAAGTAGAGGGTTAGGGTTAAGGTAAGGGTTAGGGTAAACTAATTAGGTCATCAGGTCGAGCAGTATGGAAACTAGACAGCTCCGCATTTAATAGGAATCATTCAACTAAAAGCCTCTTTTTGAGTAATGTCTCTTTGAGCTTGGGAGTATTTCTATTTGATGATGAAAGTTATGTCTGTTAGAGACTGTTTGATACATTAACACTGGCACATTCCCAATCACGTCACTGGGGTCTGGGTCTTGGTTCTAAAATCCACGAAACAAACGAACACACCATTAGGCAATTAACAAGCTTGGGTGTTTTAATGGCCATGTGTTAGATAATTGCAGCGGTGTAAACTGAAATTGAACTTCTAGAGGTATATCATAGCATTTTCTTGTGCTATATAGTAAAATTTTTTGACGTCATCACTTGCCACTCTGTATGCTCTGCCATCACTCATCTCAAGGTCGAGAGGCCATTATAAAATATACGTTACTGTATATACAATATCGGTGTAAATTTAGCATAACTATATATATTTATATTGTTAATAACATAACAACGGAGTAGTAATATAGTTCATACTTGTTATTCCAGGGTGTACTGTTTTTGAAGGAGGGTGAACCGTCTTTCAAGACTCTGCCTGATCTGGTGCGTCATTACTTGAAGAGCAACCTCCCGACCTGTCATCACACATTAGAGTTGCCTTACAGTTGAAGACAGACTCAAGTAAATTTATTTTGAATATAATCGGAACCAGCATTTTGCTAATCAAATTTCCTGTTTGATTTTTCTTCCTTAAGGTAAATCTTATTTTCGCGCACCTTCGCAGAACTTAAAAGCTGTGTATCTCAACTGTAGGGTCAAATTTTCAAGATGCTCTCGTCGTGTTCACTTTTTCAAATTGTTTAAACAGTTTTTAATTCAAGTCGATGTATGTATTTTCGACGCGTGATGGCAGAGTCCACTTTCTAATGTTTTTTTCAGTCCTTAAATTATCATAAACTGAGTCGCTCACGTCACGCGAACTCATTTATGTTTGAGAAATCGTCGAGAATTAGCGCGGCGTTGCTGATTGGAGAACGTAACAATCCAACAAAATGCTTTTAGCTGCGAACGTGTGTCAGGTGTCCATTTAATTAAGATGTATTTATATTATGGTTTAATAGATTTAGAAGTATTGATTTTGTAAGTTCTAACTTGAGAATAGTATAGGCAGGCTCCTATTTATTTTTGATTCCTACACTGATTGCATCATTTTTGTCTAAGTTTATGCCTTCTTTTTGACTCAATCGATTGAATTATGGGCAAATTTTAGATCTTTTAATTATTTTCTGATTCACATAAGCCTCTTTCTTATTGTTTTTACCCAATGAATCCTGTAAAAGTTTTCAGTGCTTTAGAGTCGTGATTAGAACATTCTGAGCGTGAAGGTTGCTTTTACAGCCACTCGATAAATCTGTACTTTGCATGTAAATGAATATTGCCTTGAAATCTATCACCTTGTGAATATATTATGAAGCTATTTTGCATCCTGTTTAAAACCATTTAGAATTAACCTAATTTCCAGCTTTTTTTAGGCTAGCTAGGGCATAAGAAAAATGCACAGTAAACTCTCATTTTCCAAAGTTCTTTTATTATCGTGCTAATTTAGAAAGATCTACTGTCTTCTTTCACGTTGCCACTTAGACAGGGTTGTTTTGTATTAGGGAGGGAATTTTCTCGCTAATCATGATTTATTAAACCAGTTAGTTTAGATCATTCAGAATTAGGACTAATTTTCTTGTTTTGCTGAAAAATTTAATTTCAGCTGAACAATTGCTTGTTTGAAAGGAAATCATCACTTGCTAGTTTTCGTTTTTATAACTTGCAAATAATGAACTGGTAGAATTATGCTTGATAGGAGAGGATGCAACCTTAAAGAAATCATTGCCGTTAACAGTTCTATTTTTGTACCGTATAAATTTGTATTGTATTTGCAGTAGTAGTATTGTAATTTTTTACAGAAGTTGCACGTTAGTATTAGTAGACTTATAGTATTAGAATATAAAGTATTTTTGTAAACTTATGTTTGCATGTATTGTCTTAGAAGTACTTTTGATGTAGCCTGTTGTCGTACTTGTTGTTTCTTGATCTGGTTTTTTAAAAACTTGAATTTAAACAAAAAGTACTTGATACTCGTGTTCTGTGCTTGATTTTATTATTGTTTTTGGCTTCTTCATTGAATGAATAATCTTAAAGCTTAAAACACACAGCAGAAAAGCAAAATTAAAGCGCAATTTGTTATAATGGCATGCAAAACCATGTTTGTTTTGAGTGCTCGATCCGGTGTAGACATTTACATTTGATAAATGGGTTATGAAATTTGTGATAAGTACTAAAAAGTGAGAGATAACGACAATTCTATTTTCGTGAAGAATAATGATTACGAAAAGGTCTGGTCATTTAGATTTTTTCGAAGTTTCAGTCCCAATTCAATACGACATTGTATTTGAAATAGAACATTCACTTTCTCGTTTGCACGTGATAGCAGTTTCCTGGCTTTTTAAGTAAATTTTGCCCAGCTGACTTAGCTAGTCTCAAAAGTAAGGATAATTGGGGTCAAAAGTAAAGCTATAGGCTTTGAAAAATAGCATTATTTTTCCGAAAAACTTTCTTCTAAAAACATTAAAATTCTTTAAAAGCTTCAATGTGCTTAAAGTATGTGATGTGTGGTTTTTGTGGTTCTAGTTTGTGCATGAAATTATGACAAGAAAGTTACAATAAAAGCCTTCAGTCACATTAATTTTTTGAAAAAAAGTAAGGCTGCATGCTTTAAAAATACCAATTGTCGAGCCTAGCATTGCAGCTAATGAAAACGATAAGTTAATTCAAAGGTTTTTGAAAATAGGGATGCTGACATTAAGATTTAGCATAAGCTGAAATGTAAATGAATTGAAAGGCGATAGTATAGTGGACAACCAAGTAAGGCAATCGTCTATATATTCTATACTTGAATTTTTGCTCTTGATGTATTGATGTTGCGTCGCCATCTTGCTTGTTCCAGTAGTTGCATTTGAATCAATGACTTATTTGGTACAAAATTTTCTAATAGAAGTTCAGAAAAACTCTTAATAAAAAACTGAGGCGACATGGGTTACCATAGACATTTCTTTATAACTACCTACTTGAGGTTAGAATCTTTTATACTTGCTAATCTGGTATAACTAAATAAAAAAAGGCCTTCTGATGGATTTATGCCTTTGCTAAAGAGGTATCAATGAATGATGGCTTTTAAAGATGCATCTTTATCACAAATACGTTTGAAATAATTTTGCTGCATAATTAACTATAAAAGCGAAGTATCTCCTGCGAGAATTTGCACAAATACCCCAGTCACTTACTGACATACCCAATTTTTGAATACACCAAAAAATTCTGTGAAGCGATAACACTTTAATCTCGGATTATCAGCCAGGGGCTTATTAATTATGGAAATTTTGGATGGATCTTAAACGAGAGTGCAGTTGGCTAGCGAAATTTATCTGAAACTCGCCATTCAAATAGCTTATTTCAAAAGCTTTTGCAAATCAACCTAGACAAGAAAAACATAGTGAAAAGCTTATTTTGTTTGACCTTTCGAGCTTTCGGTGAAGTTTCTATTTTCCATTGTGGGCTAAAATCATGAACTGTAAAAATATGCATTTTAGGGTGGGGTCTTAGTCAAAGGGGGGGGTTCATCGAGGGAAAGGGGGAGGATTTCAGGATATGACCTAATACCGTCTTCCAGCAACCGCAAATAATATCAAATAGCAGATAAATATGATTACCAGGAAGACTTGGAAAAGTATCAAAATACAATTGTAAAAGGATTAATACATTACATCTGATCCAAAAAGTTTTCAATCTACAATTAATTTTGCAAAGAAGTAACAATAAGAGCACTCTTAATTCTAGATAAAGCTTGGAGTCCCAAAACCTCATTGCCTCACCATTAACGACCTGTCCGCCGTTTTGAGAAGATGTGATAACATCAATTGGCAAATTCTAATCGAAGCTTCCCCACAAAGGCTTATATGTCCAAGAAATGATAGACACATAAAGCCCTGTTAAATATTTTCATCACTTTTTTTGTAGCCTCCCATATTGCGGTCTTAAAAGAATCCATTTAGGAAAATTTTAGCTTACTGGCATAATCTTCTTGTTTCTTTGCTTTAAATGATGGTGGTGGATTAGACCGCTTCAATTGTCCGTCCCTAAAATTAAAAAAATTATTTATCGTACAAAAATGTTTGAGCTTGACAAAAATCACAGTATGATCAATTGCAAATCATCAAATGATTTCTGCAGATCAAAGAAGCTTTTCATCTTGGCTCTTACAACATTAAAACATAATAGTCTAGAGTATTCTCTAAAGCGTTTGGTCAAAATTGAAACCCTTCCTTTTAACGTTTTCTTTAATAGATTTTCCTTACAACCTCATCTTTACAAACACAGGCACCAAATAATGGAGGGCTAGGAAACTCGTGCTTCACTGGGAATGAAGCGCACACCTTCAGGAAAAAGCTACAAAGATAGCATGTTTCCTCCATTTTAACAAAGGGTGCTTTAACGAGTCAAGGTTATAAAAAGGGCAGGTTTGATACCCTTATATATTCATTTATTCCATTAACACGTTGCAAACAATGTAATAGCATTTAATAACAACATGCTCTCTTCGTCAATTTTACATCACCCTTCGGACATCAACGTGGATTGTCACGAAAGGAACAATACAAAAAAGTACCTGGTGACTTTCCTATATGCCTTGATTCTTTTGAATAAAAAGGTGATGTAATAACATAGCAAAAGAAATCATGGTTCCTGCATGAATTGTTAGCTTTAATAAAAGGATCATTACTTACCAGACCAGATCCACCAATCCACCCTGTCTTGCAATTAGCTTTTTAACTCTGTTTGCAAACTGAATCGAATTTTCGCCCTCCTAGAAACAGAGTGCATGTTAAAAGACAGAATGTAGATCAATCGAATCAACCATGACTACAGACTTCCTGGACTGATCGGAAGTGAATGACCATGGTAAACCTTTCTTGATTTTATTGAGAATAATGCCCCAGAACAGAGTCGAAAGAACTACAAGAAAGCATACATAATGAACAATTTCCTATTTATCAAGCTGGTTTTCACGCAATGAAACATGGACTGGGGCCATGCCCCCCACACCATTTAGCAAGATAAAAGTGATTTTTTGGCGAAAAAATTTGGCGTCATTAATTTGCACTTGTCACCACCCCCCCCCCTTCCACTTTCAAGCTTGCTTCGGAGCCTATGTAAATATCCTAGAGGTTATTTCGGAAAAAGTGCTTTATACCATTCAGATCATATTTTCGAGCAGCTCATTTCAAGTTGTTAGAGTTTTCTTCAAGGTACGGCTTTTCTTTTCCCTACAGGAAATCTCGAAAACGCTTTTTTCAAAGAATTAACCAGGCACCTTTCCTTTACAAATCACACCCTTAAAAGAAGCATGAGCATAATTACCTGTATCTGCATCGGAGGAAGATACCAAACATCGCAGACGATTGCCCAACTTGTTATCATATTGAAAATGTATTGCGCCATAGGCTCTTGCATGGAATTCCAAAATGCGTTTCCGAAGATGGGATCATACTAAAGGAAACAAATGTGGGAGATAAAATAAAAGTGTGACTACAGTTTGGGTAATGGCGTACAAATGGGACTGAAAAGCTGTTAACACAGGGTCGAATTTGATAAGATGTTATAGAAATATTCAAAACAGTCTTTAAAATGGAAGACGAGAAAGAAATTTCTTGCAATTATATTGCTTACTACAACGATGCAATACTTATTTGAAATAAATCCATTTGACCACAACTACCTTTAACATCACATTTGAAAAATTGTTCGTAGGGGGAGAGTGAAATGCAATAGTACAAAAGGAAAAACCTATTCTAGTAGTATACCAGAGCTTTTGGAAGGGAAAAACTGATCTATTCAAAGGATTTACAGTATGGGTATGTGGCCTGGTATATATCTTCAAAATTCAACGGAACTAGTTAATGTCATCTATGCAAAGTTACTTCACTTGTATCATTGCTGTTTAAACTGACTAAGGTTAGTCATTCTATCATCCTACCTTGATCGCCACTGGATATATGACTCCGCCAACTTCAAAACTTCCTTTTTTAAACATCATCACCGAGGTGTTATTAATACATGTTCCTATATGAAAATACAAATTGTTCAGATTAAACCGCCCAGCAAATTATTCAGTGCACAACCATGAAAATAGAAAAGTTGAAAAACAACCACAATTTAACTGCTATTAGAGTTCTTAAGTGATGAGGCTATCGCGCTCCTGTAAGGCATGGTGTCATGAAATATATTTCTAAAATTTTACGATATAAACCATATAACCTTAAAGAGCATCATGAAATACCTCAGATGAAATGTACAAAATCACTTTAATGTATTATACTATGATGAACTTTACTTCGGAATCTTCAAATGAACTTTGTATGACATCAAAATTAAGGACTCTATGGAGTATAAGTATCGTGTCATATGTTGGATATGATAAAGTCGAGAGAAAATCTGGCTATAAAAAGCCTCTAAACTGAATTTGACTATACCTTCCGGGAATATCAATATTGGCTTTTTACTTGCATCTTCCACGTGTTCCTTCATCCTAAAAAAACGAAAACGTTAGAGGAACTTGTGTTTCTAACTTCATGTCAGTCTAACCTGCTTGTCCCAGGTATGTGCCAAGAAAAAAGCGATTCAGCCTAAAATCTCACAATGTTCATACTATTATAGTTATAGTTGACTCGTGTTATCGTTTGTGAAAATAGCAGGTGCGGGTGCATTTAATTTTTCTTTCAAATGCTTTTCATTCAAGAAAAGCGGTTATGACAAAAGCAAACATTTTAAAACGTACTTAAAGACTCATTGCTAACAATGAGCCATTGCGCTACATAAGCATCCCATAATGCATTTTTAGATTGTCTAAAATCAATTACTGCCATTGTTTGGACCGTCGCCACGCTCGCAAAGGCCCATTGTTAGCAATGAGTCTTTAAGCTTTTCGTCTGACACTCTTCAGAGTATAAAACGTCAGAACATAGATATGATGACATAGACATCTATGTTTCTACGTTTTATACTCTGAAGAGTGTCTGACGAAAAGCTTAGGTATGTCCTAAAATTATTGTTTTTCAAAACCATTTTTAAATTCTGTACCACAAAAAGATTGCTAATAGCGGCTACCATGAATCAGTTTGTTGATTCGCCCTGGATCAACGAGAGATTCTAATATATGCTTTACACTTTTGTGATTGGGTCAATAATCTGTGATAGGGTCTGACTGCATAAAAGAAGCTGAAACAGGCTTAGTTTGAAAGATCTTTAAGGCAGAAATATAGACCTAAAAGCATTCAATTCAAATACAACTGTCTAACGTTTATGACATCTGGTAATCTTTCATACGATGTCCTGTTATAATATCTTTAAAATGGTGCAAAAAGCTCACCTTTGTACAACTAAATGTCTATCTTTGATTTCACTCCTTTCAAAGAAAATATGATGCTGTGCTTTCAGAAGAATTTTCTGAATGAAACCCATTAGGCCACCTTGCATTTGCCCGATCTAAAATAGGAAGAAGGTATGAAAAAGAATATCCTTCGTTATTCTTATATTCTTAGTATATTCTTTAAATTTAATTTATTTTGAGAATTTTATTTCGTGATATTGGATTCTCGTCGTCGTATTGCTTTGTTCCTGTATATCTTTCCTATGAAAAAGAAGGCGGACTGAAAAATATCGCGAGAAATTGACTGGAAGATCTAAGTGACAAATTTCGTAAAGGAAATGCCAATCACAAGTGATTAGCAACAAGAACGCTTAAGATTGACATGTTTACAAATAATGCGAACAATATAGTCAAGCTTGAAAATTCGAAAAGATCTTCGCCATATATTAATAGAATATTATCAACCATAGGCCAATTATCGTTTTTTCAGATTATACATGTTTGTTATGACACTAGTTACCTACAGACAAACTTTATGCATGAAATGCTTATAAAGCTACTTACCAATGCATAGCAGTTATCGCATGTCAACAAAATAGCATCAATTGGAGACGTGTGATTCGCTACACAAATGCCACCCCCTTTGGCTTTGTTTTCTCTAAAATGCAATTCAATTTGCTTCATTATCAAAGTTAACTTATTTATATTTATAAGAGCTGCAGACAGAATGAAAGACTGCACACGACGTCATTTATTTCAAGAGAAGCTATGGCGTCACAAAATTAAATACAGCAGGCTTGGATATATGAGTACTCACTGAAATGCATAAAGTAAGAGAATATGATTTAAGGACCACTTGGCTGATTATGGTGTCATTCATGTCTGTATTAACTGTGTTATCATTCAAATCTGACCCCTATGTTGTTTAATTCCCAACCTTAATCTCCAGTTTTGCAGCCAAGTTTAACAAGCATAAAATTCTGAAGGTTCCGAAACGCCACCTAGATTTATATAATCAGCCGTTCTGTTCTACTTTAGGGTTACGTATGAAAATTGATTGTGCAATGTAAAAGTTGTTGAATGCTTTTGTTTCCATTAGGTTGGAAAGTTTCTACACAGCCAGCTAAAACTGGCACGTTTATAACGTAAAATAATACTTGGCATGAAAACATACTGGTTGTGGAAACGAACAAGAGCTGCTAAACCACGAGACATTATTCGAAAGGACACCATGGTCATCTGTTCACAGAAATATTCCCGAAACCTAAGAACACAAAAGTAGAAATACTTAAAAATCATAAAATTGTTTAAAGTGGTATTCTACTAAACACTGGACAGCTGCATGTTGTGACTGGTCATTATCAATCAATAATACTGTCATGGCCTGAGATATTGTTGAATAACTTCTGCTTTGGCTAATGTATTAAGCTACACAAAATAAGTATCACTTAACTTTATTTAGAAATAATAACTAACTTAAAGACAAACGGTTAAACAAGTTGGTCATTGATAAATAATCGCGAAGAATTATCATTAATGTTATGTGATGTTAGAAACGTACATAACAATTTAATCTATACATAATATAACGTACATAAATCTGTACATAATATTTTATTAATGGTAATTGTCAGCTGGAAAGAATGCAAACAGCAATTTCAGTCAAATATACAAATAACATGAATGTAACATTTTTTTAACTTGTCATTGCTGGTGTATTCATTTAAGCTGCAGACGTGAATTGTGCTGTTTTAGAATACTACTAACGAGTGAATGTATTGAAAGCCTCCAGGAGGGTATTTGGTAAGATTACATCCTTAAAATGCAAACAATGTTGACATATCAAAAGTTGCTTCCCTTCAAATATATAGATTTCATACTTTAAATTAAAGTAGACTAAGTCAAAAAGACCTTATAAAGATTTCCGTAGGCACATGGGCTTTGGGCTTACCTTCCTTGAGGTAAAATATTTACAATGAACAAAGAAGATGCCAGGGTGCTGATACCAACAATAAGCAGTGTCAACCTTGGAAAATAAATCACAATTCGGTAGGTAGCGGAAATAGAGAATAAAAATGACAGAAAGGTGACCAATAAATGTTTTAACTGCTGAAATACTGCAATTAAGCACATCACTCAAGTAAACACTGCATCTCTTAATTTTGCAATCAGCAAAACAAAAGTAACAACAAATTAGCTTGTTTATATGGTGATTGTTTATATAAATGGTAAGTCTGATAAATTAACCTTGATAAGGCCCTGTGCACAATGGAAAATCATAAAATAATTTATTTTGATTCTTTCATTCTGACATTCCCTTTTAGCATTATAATGTTACTGTTGTCTTTTCAGTGTAATGTTCTGTGTTGTTCTAACTTCTTGTTTATCATTTCTTTCATCATAAAATTCGGTGAAGCAAGTGAACAACCTATCTAGCCTTTTTTATTCGGACAAATTATAATCCTGCTATGTGTAAAAAGATTATAACAGCCCATTGTTTGTGTTTTTATTTCTTAATATCTTGAAAAAAGAATGATTTGTTAGAATCTTTCATGAAAGTGATCTAATAAAGTTCTACCTATACCTTGTTGGAAGTAATATGAAGTAGCGAACAAAAAAGCCAATCACCCAGACAACAGTCAAACGCCAGCTGTAAAAAGAACAGCAAATAAAATGATTAATTTCTTGTGATTCAAATAGCAGACAAGCAACATAAACATAACAAAGCAGGCTATGTTGGCAAACCATTGCTAAATAAGCTTGAGATGCAATTAACAGTCACATCCCCCTCCCCCCCCCCCCCCCATAAAAAGGAAATAAAGAAATTAAAATTTTTCAGAGAAAAGATGTAATCACTGCAAAAACTTGCACAAAAATCTACTGATTATAAATCAATTGAAAATTCTTCACTGGCTAGAAACTGAAAGATGATTTTAGCAAGAATTAAAAACTACCTTAATTGAAAATTGAGTGTCATTCATAAGGGTGTGAAGATGACCTCTCAAGTTGTCTAGCACTATGGTTACTTTGAGTCTGGTTCGAGAAAATTTTGAAACAAAAAGGGGTGATTTTTGGTTCTAAACAAAAAGTTTAGAATCAATTGCTACAATGATCAGATCCAAGATAACCTTTTAGAGTAAATTCAAATGTTGGTATTGACTTTTTCTCATTAAAGATTTCAACTGTAATCTAGATAGGATTAGTTCCAATGGACCAACATAAGCCTCAAAATTAAAAAACAATTAAACATAAATTGACATAGGAATAAACAATTGTCCCTGCAGAAAAGGGTATAAAGAAAGATTTTTTCAAATTCCTTAGGGCTTAAACTGGTGCAAGCCTTCTGACTCTAAAAACATTTTTAATTGCCAAGTTCTTAGTGAGAAAAAATATGATGGCACATTTAACATTTACCTTATAAAATGGTAATTCAAGTTGGTTCTTGTCATCAAATTCCATGACTGTAATTCTGCCAAAAATTAAAAGTAATGAAAATTATCTATAAAAGGAATGGGACTGGTATATGTATAGAAAATCAATCAAAATAAGAATCACATTGCAAGATATTCCCACCAAATGCTCATGAATGTTATTGAAACACTTCATATAACTTTCTTCTCAAAGAATCAAAAACTGGGACATCCTGTCTGAATTTTTATTCAATTTAGAATTCTCTGATTGCTCAAATCAGATTGAGTATATACATTTGCAGTTGTGGCAACTTGTTTCTAATTCTCTTTAAAAAGTGCAACCCTCTTTAAAGTGTTAATGAGCATGGTGTAACTGAGTGTAATTGATACTTGAAAATGTACCTGTATATCTGTTGTATGTTTTAACTCCTTTCATATTTACATCTCAATCTCCTCTATTGCTTCTATATCAGCATTGTTACTTCACCAATTAATTTAAAAAACTTACCTTCAGAATCAAATCTTTTAGTGACTTCATCTTCCATTATTACCTGTTAACAAAAATAAACTACATTAAGTACCAAAACTTCCGGTGGGATTTATTTCCAGTTAAGCAGGGCAACTGAAAATTAATCCAACCAAATTTTTTTGAAACCAAAATTTTTCTTACTAAATTTTTCAAATGCTAGAAAAATCTTGTTTTCCATTGATGGACTTTCAAAATAACAAAAACAATTTTTGTTTGATAATGTTTTAGTATTACTGTTCATCCAGGACAAATCAAGTTTCAGTTTCTGTCATCAACAAATAAGATATCCAGCTTATTGTCACTTTCCTCTCTTTCCCTCTCTACATTCAGAAAATTTGAGTTCTCTTTGGATTGAACTGATGCTTCTATTGGCTCTTCGTAATTTTTCTTAATTATTTTTTTCTAACAGTCAAGTGCTTCCAATTTGGATGCCTCAATTTATTAACAATCAATTAGAATTTCTAATCCCCTTGTTGCGATTGGCAAACTGTGAAAGCTTTTAATTAATTTTTCTCCATGGGTTAGAAAATCAAATAAACAAGTATGTCCTCTAAATAAGAGTTTGTGACATTCTTGCCTACACTTTAGTTTCATTCATTGGGCTGGCATCAAAATATTCAATTTTTTTCACTTTAATAATTGTGTATCTGGACAGATAATTCTATGTTGAAGATAGAAATAACTTGCAGAATGTTTTTCTATTTACTCACCAAAATATTTTCTTTCCACCGTAAATTTTAAAGTTTTCACCAAAATTTATACCAAAATTTCAAAAATATGACAGAAATTTTTTCCACCGAAAATTAATCCACCGAAATTAATCCACCAAAATTTTGGCACTGAACTTTTTGGTACGTAAAGTATTGTTATCATTTGTTACTGCTTATACATTTGAAAGACCAAGATAAAAATATTTCAATCTAATAGACAATGATTTAAAAAATATTAGAACAATAATGAAAAAATTAGATTTAATTAGGATTCTAATGAAATCAAATAAGAAAAGTTTATCTCAAATTGACTTTTGTGTTCAAAGAAATGAGCTTGAAATTCAGTAGCCTCTCTGCACAAGAAAGTGTGTAAACTGTGATGGCCAAAGTTGGTTTATAGCAGTAACTACTTTGCAGTACCTTAAAAACATTTAAGCAATAAAGAAAAATAATCTATGAAAGAGATGGAAAAACATGAAAGGCCACCTTTGTTCAATAAAATGTTTTCATCTGATAAAAGAACGTATTAATCAAATATGAAGTGCTTACTTCCATTCCACATCGCACAAAGTCACATGAATCAGACAGGTCAAATTTTTTTTGCACCTCTTCAAATGACTTGTCAATTGGCAAAGGAGATTTTGGTCCTCTGTCTCCTTCATCTTGACTTCTATCAATTAAACCTTAAAGAAAGCAAAATTTGGTATTTGAGACACAATATCATTAAAGATATCAAATCCAGCGTAAATCTAGAAAGAATCTTAAGTCATAACCTTAAATATGGGCATCTTTAAAATATATATAATCATTCATAAGAAACTATAGTTATTGATTCTTTTTGAAAACATTATTACAAATTATTACAAATTTTCAAAAAGCTTGGCCGATTAAGACACACACTAAGGTAACAAAATCATAGAATGATCTGTTGAGAAGAACACAATCCACCTGTGCTTTATTTCTCCCCACCATTTGTTGATTTCCCACATTGCAAGACTCATCAATAGCATATATGATGCAGCCCATCAATCTGCTAAAATGTTACAAAATGTTATGCAAAGCATCTCCATGCAAGTGTTTTTCCTAACTGAGACTAAAGACATTGTATTTCTCTTTTTTGAAAGTATATATGTTTCATAAAGGTGTTTGTAAAAAATAACAATGTTTTATTGGCCCATTTGAACTGAGTCCAAGTCACTTGACCTTGCTCTTCTTTTTCTTATTTGACAATGCTTGATTTGCTTAAGGTTTGTAGCAAAGGTTTCCTGTTTTAACAAAAAAATATAACAAAAAAAATATTGTTATCACCAGCCTGAACTGTTTTTTTGTCTGAAAGGGTGATTGGTCATCAAACTGTCTGGATGCTTTTGTGAGGGGAGTGTATGTGTATGTTTTAATTCTTTTTGCTAAGAATAAAGTGCAGTAGTACACCTCTACTAGTACTAGTAGTACACCTTATAATATTCAAAATTTTAGTTTACACTTACCTCTGTCTGCTTCTTGTTCTGTCTGATTTGCTTGTATTTTCTTTCTTCCAAACTGCAATATCAAAACAAAATTATAGCTTGTTACTGATACCAAAAAATAATGTTTATGATACTTGACTTGAAATTACACCATGTCTGATGGAAACTTAGAAAGTTGATGGCATTTATAAGCCTTTGGCCAAAAAGAAGATTTAATTTTGCATAATTCTACTTGCTACATTTAGAAAATTCAGCATATAATTTAACAGGTGAGCTTAATTACAATTTACAAGATTATCAATGTAATTTTATAAAGAAGAAGCTTAGGAGAAAAATTTCCTCCATAGAGCGTCAAGCTAAGTGCTTTTTTCTCACCTTACCGTCAGATATTCAATATTTTTACTATGAATAGATATATAATAACCTTGAGTGTCGTTTCAAAGGTTCTCCCAGCTGATTTTCCATCAAAATGTCCCTCGAAATATCTTCAATATTTTGGCAACGGGGCACATAGCTAGGGGGCTTAAGCCATTCATCTAAATGTCAAAATGAAGCCATTTTCTACTCCATATTGTTCGTACGATTTTTTTCGAAAGTTGGTATTGGAATCAATCAGCATTTTCTTAACACTGAGATAAGGTCTGATTAGGTGGCCTTATCTCTTGATTTGAACTTCTAATGTCACAGCTGGCTGTCATTAATCAATTGTTGTTCCAAAAGGACAAATATTCCAAACCATTGCATTGTGTAAAAAACAATTAATATTGACTGAGTGAGATTCAAAAAGGTAAAATTCACTCAAAGGGTCACTTGATTTTTCCAAACTTCACAAAAAGTCTGCTTTTTCAGAAATAAAATACTTAAACGTAACTCATCAGCATGAATTAATCGCAATACTACAGAAATTTGTCTGCGAAGATGATGCAATACTCACATCGAAAACCTTTAGTAGCCATGCAATGTACCGTTCCCGCAGCCTCATAGAAACGTTGAGTGTTGCTGGAGCGATTATAAATATTGTAATAAATGCAAAATATGCTAGAAAATATAATATACTAATCTTTAAGGACACAAGTGCCCAATCTATTTCTGTACCCGACATTTTTCAGTCACTAGGTACAGTCATTGACAAGATGCGGACCAGGTACTCAGGTACTTCATGATCTTTGGCTCCAAAGTTATCCTGCGGTATCCCGCACTCCTGCGTCATGCTGCGGTTCATGTTGACTGGCACCACGATACTGTCCTTCGTCCATTCACGTGTGAACTTCGATGTATGGACCCATATGGACCCATAAGAACGTCCCATGTTCCTGTATACTTTCTTTTTCGAAAATCCAGTCCAAATAACAAAATCTTTGCTTCTCATTTTCGGTCAAGAAACACTTCGTAATATCCCATTCAGTAATCGTTCAGTCCCTTTCACGCATAATCTAGCGCATCCATTTATAATACCTTGCCCTTTTGGACTCTGCAGTCATAACCGATGAAAAAGTAACAAAAGAAAAAAAGTTGACTTACAGATATTAAAGAAAGAATTGTCTTTGGGAGCCGATTACGGGAAATGGGAAATCTGTGTAATCTTCATCTACACAACATTTCTTAAAGACTTAGGCATGTTCTTAGTTTGTTCAAAAATCAAAAGGATGTAAGTTAAAACAATCACAACATGAAACTATCTACATTTAACTGCAGAATAAAATTTGATTGTGTAATGTAGTTATTGCTTTTTGATTACATAAGAAAAAGATTTGGCCTTAAAGATACATAAAGGATTTATCCATTCACGATAATTATAGATTTGTGGCTTTGATAAATCATTCATGTCACAGTGTTCTTAACAGTTTTTTTGGCAGGTCATGTATAAAACAAGAAACATATCTCTGGAATCTCCAACTAACATTTCCATCAATTGCGTATGATAACCTGGAGCAGGGTTAATTTTAACGTTCAGTGATAACCAATTTGTGCAGTGATAAATCGTTATTGCGCAGTGTTAAACTCAAATTTTGTGCAGTGATAAAACTGCAATAAAGAGATTTGGCATCGAAACAGCAAATTAAAGCAACTGCCAGTAGACACATAAACCCAATAAAAGAGCATTACAATATTATAAATGAATACATAACAGTAGCAGTCATCATAATCTATGACATCTCTTTGGAAATTTTTCAGTATCTAAAACCTTTCAAGTTTTTTCATAATCCAATTAGTTTGATGGGTGTGGTCATGAAAATTTTCTAAAGGTGACTCCCAAATTTTCAAAAATTGTGAATATGTGCAGTGATAAAAATTCCTTAAAATAAACTCTGGCCAGGAGTACTGGAGAATTAATAGGGACTAAATCCACAAGCATTTAAAAAAGATCTTAAAGACTGGTCTTAAAACGCAAAGAATTTTCCATTAAATCAAAACATGGTGATAGAAGAAGAAAATCCTTGGGAGTCTCTGTAAAGGAACTGGCTAAGAGAATAGGTTTTTAAGCTTAACAACATAACTCGTGTATTGGGTTTTTCCTTGCATCCCCCACCTTAATCTGTTCGTTTGTCTTGTGAGGGATAAAATCACCAGTTTGATAACTACATCACCTTTTAATCTAAAAAACTTTTAAAAACTCTTAGACAGAATATTGGAATTCAGGGTCGTGTCCCAGACCAGACCAGATCAATTTTACTGAATCAGTTTCAACCAAAAAAAAATCAACAAATATACTTTGATTCATGTTGATAATAACATGAAATCGCACATAAAACAATAAATTTCTAATAATATCAGACCAAACTTTACAATAGCAAATTTTGAGACATGTTGAGTTCATTCATGGGTAAATCGTTCTCCCTAGTGCAGTTTCTTCACTAATGGAACTTCAAGGGTGGGACTGCAATGGGCGTTTGTATTGACATCTGTTTTCGTGGAGGTGTTTGTATGTAGAAGATATAAGTAACATAAGTAGGGAGACAAAAACACTCTTTAATCCTTCCCTTAGTTTCGCACATTCCCACAATCCCTACAAATCCATTACCAGGACCGTAGAGCACATTACAGATTGAGGATATTAGGAAGCCTTGATAGGGCCTAAAAATGTTAAAACTTAGAGCAAGTAGATTTTATGTGTGGTTTTAAGAATCTTTTTGGAAGAACTGGGAGGGGGGCCGAATCCCCATCCCCGCCTCCATAGTGTCTGTTATTGCTGCTATCTGGCGAAATTTGTTGTATCTGAAGCCATGTTTATAAATTGCCTTTGTAGATAATTGTACGTTGCAAATCCTTACTAGCTGGGTAACTTTCCAGGTTTAAGGTTTCCCTAACAAAAACTCTCCCTTGACTGGGGGAAGGCATCAATGCTTTACTGAATGTGAAGAAATGAGATGATTTTACGAAGCTAGCGAATCAAGCCCTTAAGATTTTTTTCAAGATATGATAAGTGAACGAAAAGTAAAAAAGACTAGAGTTATCTTATTATTCCTTAAATTTGCACATACCAAACTTGGGTGAGCCAAAAATGTTTCTGTATTTATCATCTCGAAGATTCTTTATATGCTGTGCATACTTCATTTTATTTGAAATAAAAACTGTCAAACACATCGCAAAAACTGTAATAACAAATGTTCATTTAAAAGCTAAAATTTGTAAAAAGAGCTAAAACTACTAACACCTGGAAGGGCAGCTAAATCATGTCTACAGATAATACTAATTTGTTTATTTATTATTCGTTAAGCTCTGTAGAATTATGGAATTCTTTTATGCAACATATATGTTTAAGTAACGTTGATAAAGCTGAAGAGAATATCGTGGATAAAGAATTATAAAATGAAATGAAAAACAGTTGCTAATGCAAAAATCTACTTTGGGATCTAAAAATTTTTTTTATGGAGTTCTTTCTACTATATAAGCCGTTTGCGCTAAACCAGCGGCTTTTATTCATGTAACTCCAATAGTAGGTAACTCACTTTGCGATATATTGCCGTAAATATTAGACTACTCTTGCAAGTGATTTCTATCTATGTCGGGTGAATGAATTTGATTTAAAACAGAGTTGATAAGAAGCAAAGCAAAGTAGTTAAAATCACTGCAGAAACAGATGAGGAAATTTGCTTTCCTTTGGAGAACGTCTTGCGAATTTTATATGGGCATTTGACATTCTTCATATTCATCTCAAGTTTTAAACTATGCGGTTTTGTGAGCTGCAGCTTTAGATTCATGATATGTAGAACCTGAAATATAAAGAACACGTGCTCAGTCCCATGCGTAAGTTCAGATAGAGGTCAAGGATTATGATTTTGTTTAAAGGCAGACAGAAAGGGCGAGCACAAGTTCCAGTCGAATTAGGAAGTTTCAACTATATGCGATGATTTTAAGCGAAATTCAATTCACAAGAAATAAGGTGACCATAGGCAAGTTGTGATTATTCAGTCTGCTTTGACATAACCCGGAACTACCAAGGCGTTCTTAGCTAGACACAAGTCTTTTGCGATAGGAGGGCGTAGGATGTCATACTTTTCAGAAACCAGGGTGAGTAGGTAAAGCCATGAAGAATGGTGGGAAAAAGGATCGATTTCAGCAAATGGATGAAATCGTCGACAAATCTAGCAAATGAAGCATCAGTGACAATTCAATTCTAAAGCAAGATCTACTTAAAACCATGTACTCTCCCGCAACCCTACCCCAACCCTACCCCAACTCTACCCCAACCCTACCCCAACCCTACCCCAACCCTACCCCAACCCTAACACGACCCAGGCATTCCGCTTATTAGCAAATAATCACTTCATCTCCCCCCCCCTAATCTGAGGATCTTTAATAAGGCTGTATTATCTGAATTCACGATTTAAATAGTTGAACAACCTCAAGAATTTCATGGTCCACATACCTGACTCGTCGAATTGAAAGTTGCCTTTCCGTTTTCAACTTTTTCATTGACCAGCAGCTTTTCGATGCCTTTGCCACAAATACCCATGACTTTAATAGACGACAGATGCAAGTTGTCTGCAACGCTATAACCATTTTTCACAACTTCCCATTTTATATGGTGCTGAAATACAACGAAGCCAAGTGAAAATACAATTTTCAAAGATATCATAGGTGATGACGTCACAAAAAAAATATTTTTAGGACTTTTGAATTTGGATCGCATAAACAGAAAGAGCATCATGAAATGCCTCTAATTGTGCGAAATCAGCTGAATGTGCTACTAATCGGCTGAGACATTGTCACCTGAGCACAGGCAAGGCAATATAACAGTAATCCTTTTTTTGTTCATTTTAAGATATTTTGCCTATTTAGAAGTGTTCTATGGTGTGATTTAAGGCTATCTAGACAAAATGCGAAGATTTTAACGATAGATATCTAATGACGTCACACTTAAGAAATCTATAACGTATTTCTAGAAAATCTTTAAAAATTTTCACCAGGTTTGCTTTGCATCGTTTTCACGATCTTTCTTCTTAACATTTAAAGATATTTTTTGCCTTGAAATCAAGCGTGTGACTGTGCTATTAGCAAAATTGCATTAAACTAGCTGTCTCTAGTTAATTATGAACGTACGAATGCATTAAACTTCTTGTTGTAAATTTGTTTTGAAGTGAAGTGAAATGAAAGTAAGAAACATAGTTCCATACCTGGCTGAAGCTCACCAAAACTTTGAGGTATTTACCAGCCGCAATAGTATCTAAAAAAGAGAATTCATTCTTCAGTGGAATGAAATAAATATTTAATTGCGTCATAGATAAAATTGCAACCTTAAGGGGAACTGGCTATTGTAAATACTGCTCAAAAAGGCTTGCTTTTAAAGCATCTACAGAGAGCATTGAAAATCAACATTGCATTGAAAGTAACAATACAGCAAGCAATGATAGTTTAAATAGACATAAAAATTTAATCAGTTTGTTATCAAAGTATAAATTCAATTTAAATATAATCGTAGCTCAACTAGCCTGCGTGCAGACTCTACTGTTTTCAGATCGGCTCCTCTGTTTCCTTTTTCTGTCTTTCCGTTGAGTTGAATTAAAGATTTATTGTTTGGCTCCGATATATTAATAATTCAACTCAACGGAAAGATAGAAAAAGAAGAATAACGGAAAAAGGAAACAGAGGAGCCGAGTTGAAAACAGTAGAGTCTGCACGCAGGCTAAGCTCAACTCAACAGAATAATTCATTTGCCTTCACCATTGAGATAGACAATCGATGATCGAATCAAGCGAATCACTCAATCACTGATCGATTTGAGCTAATAAAAACAATGCTCTATGGCATTGTGCCTAAAGGGTGGGTAATCAATGCAATCACCAAACATGATCTCACCTTTTGATTCGCCATCATCCCAGAATAAAGAGCCATTAGCATCGCCATCACCGTTTAATGCAATCAACAGTCCAAAAGGATTCTTACGACTAAAAATTAATGAATCACATCTTCAATAACATTAAACATTTCCTTCTCTACTGGAAATAGTCTGCTATATCGACGTCAGGATTGATGAGCAAAGCTGTGGTTTTTGCTACCTTTGGTCAGCTGATACTTCAACAACTGAGACAGTAATTACAGTACTGAAATTAAGACGACAACTGATTCATTACAAATCATAATACATGAGAAGCTCCTGGTACGATTAAAATAGTAGAATACTTTGATGGATATCAAGTAAACTATATTTTTATCAATCACGCACGACACATCGATCATTCATAGAAGTGTCAAAAAGTTTCATAGACGTGTTAAGTTCATATGGTCTGATAGCTTATTCATTTAAGAATATTCACCGGAACTATACGGAGGAAACTTTCCATAAGAACATGCTCTGAGTTAGAAACTAAAATATTTACTTAAGAAGAAATCATATTTATAAAACTGCAAGAATCATTTATCCTTTCTTGCTGCTATTTATAGTGTGTGTCTAACGAATTGCTCTGTGAATAAGAGAATAGTCTGTAACTATGAATTGTGAACAGCTTTTTACGCTATTTTTCGAAGGAGTCTCGAAGGAGCCGTGGTTACTTCTTCATTGGTCAAAACTTCAAAATGAAATCTTTCATAAAATAACAATGAAAACAGGGCAGGACCTGAACTAGGTAACTAAAATTCTTCCGTTTTCACCTACTCTCCTGGTGGATAGGCATTGGTCTACCTAGTTTTCTGGACTCGGCTGACATTTCTGTTATTACCACGTTAGACTCAAAATGACTGCTACCTGAAACTCGTGTAGAAAAAAGGAATCGAAAACCTGGTTTACCTGAACATCGTATTGTTGGCAGGTTCTTGCGTTGGGATCGTGAATCCCCCACGAACAAACAACGGGATAAAGTTTTCAGGGGCATCCATATCAAACTGACGAGCACCACGAATATGAAGCTCTTCACCCTAAACAAGGATTTCGAAACAGAGATTATACAGTCTCTAGATGTTGATATATGACCCATGGCATCTGGGTTTCGTTCCACCCTCCATGATCCCTGGTACTATGGGTACCAGAGCCTGGAAATAGTCAAGAAGAGAAAGAAAATCCCCTCTTCTCCCGTAACCTTTAATTTAAGTAAAGGTAATTTAAGTAACCTCATACTTACGTTGTAATAGCTGAACCAACGAGACTTTGGGAAATAGGCTTTTACTGAGGTGGCACCCTAATAAAAGGGACATGGAAAATTATACTTACAATCATTGACATTCATAGACGTAGGAAGCATTTAAAATAAGAAGGGACGACACGTGTTTAAAAAAGGGGTCTGCCCCTTATCTCCATGAGCTGCATATAGTTATTGTACATTCGTATCTGAAAAATGGGGGTATGCCCCTTGTGTCGTCCTGAATCCTACGTCTATTTTTTCATTTATCGGTCTTATACTCTTTTATCCACTAACCCAACTGGTTATTGGTTACAATGTTAGTGATCCAAAGTAAAATACACAATTACGAGTTCAAAATAGAGAAAAGTTAACCACTTTCTGGATTAATCATAAATGAGCGAATAAGAACTATGTTAAAAACATACGACAGAGCGCAAAAACTTAACCGTATTTTGGGAATATGGCCTACACGAAGTAGGAGATAAAATGCTTATAAAACGAGATCAACAAATAGCATACCTGATCCAAGACTGGGACTATCAAGAGTGCTGATCCCCACAAGAACTGTTTGTCGATAGCCCACGTTTCAATTTCATTTGTGAACCTGAAAATATTTAATCAAGAAGATCAATCAAAATGAAAAAAGTTGTAGCCTCAGTTCAAAACAAAATAACACGCGTGACCTCGATTACATGACGAGAGATGCAACTCCTAGCGTCTCCACCAGAGTAATTTGCACAGCGTTACGTTGTAAACAACTCTCAACTGCGTTTATTCTGAAATCTCTAGTAAAAATGGATGGTTTGAAATATTGGGGTTGCAAATTCCCCAGAAACGGATAAAGGAAGGTAAAATATACAATTTCGTTGGAATAAGAGGGAGGGGTTTGAAAACATTGTAGTGTAAAAGATAATCGGAAAGCAATAGATATCAAGTAGCCTTTTACGTGAAGCAAGAGTGTCAAGAGTGCCATAATGATCTTTTTAATTCAATGTAGCTTTGAATTTTCAATTTCTTGACAATTTTGGACGTCTACATGGGGCAGAACAAAAGACTGTTCACCATAATATTTTTAAAAGTTTGTTGTATTTGTAGCTGGATGCACATGGATTCAAGGTTCCTGTTACTCGACGACATGCTGGCTTGAAAAAGTTTGGACAACTCCTTTATCTAAACCTGTAACATTTTTTTCTATAAGAACTAATCAGTTGAGGTTTCAACTAACTGTTTACATTTTTGCCAAACCTGAAGGCTGGGCCGCTCTCAATTTGTTCTTAAATCATTATGGTGAAAGCTAGGGATAATTCACCAAGAGATAATAATTTGTTGCCGAACAACTTTGGATGTGTATAGCACGGGTAATACTTCTCAATAGCATTAGGAACGGATACCAGCTGAAACGAAAGATATATCCTTTAAAAGTGTGTTCTGATGGATCAAGATCCTTTATATAACTAGTGGTACTTAAATGTTATGCAGCAACATTCATGAATATTATTGAAGGAACAGTGCGACTACGTAAAATTGGTAAAAAAGGTAGCAGACAACTTACTCGTGCATAAGGGGCCTAACCACGGTGGCCCCAGTTGTGTGTGCATCGTAAAATAGAGTGTATAGGTACGGCAAAAGCGTGTAGCGAATGCGCAAAATATATCGGGTTTCTCCAGCAAACTCAGCACCAAAGTGTGGAGGATCTTGAGGCTAAAAAAACAAAAAACATCATCGAAAAATAAAGTTTTTTGGTAAAAAACAATTAGAAAAACCGCCCAGATTTTAGGTGTTTTAGGTGTATTTGCCAGCAAGATTTTAAGAATATAAATATAATTTAAGAATATAGTAAGCCAAGACACCTTTTCAAATAAATAAAGACGAAAGGAGCAGCATTTAGTGTGGCAACTGCTGTATACATTCTTTTCTATGATACACATCTTTTTGTTGTCTAAAATCACATCCTTTTTGGCCCATGATTAAGGGAAACTTTATCGTGCTTTTCCATGGTACAAAAACTGCCCCTAAGAAAGTCTGAGGCATACAGAGAATATGCTGCTACGGTGAAAGAAGCTGCACTACTGGCATCGCCGTAACAGATAAGGCTTTAACACTGGCACAAATGTGCAAAAATACCTTGTAGAATAATTTCCTTCACAGTCGTACCATCTTGGTCCTGTATCTGATTTTTATGGACTTATAAAACACTACAAAAATACCTTTCGTATAGATTGCAGACAAACATTATTGTATCCAAACCTTTAAACTTTTCAAAACACTACATGTCTCTGTAGAAGCGAATAAAAAAATACCAGAGAGTTGAAGATGCACATAATAAAAAATTCAACAAACCTTTGCCCAGAAAGAATTGTGATTCCTAGCAAACGGATAGAAGGCACCCAGCTGTGTCCATCTGCGACAAAGAGCTTCAGTGGTATCATCTCTGAAGCCACAAATGTCTGCACCTATCTGAAAGATAAAAGCATGTGTTGTCTTATGCGTGGTGACCAACATTTGCAATTCAAATAAGAAAAGGAGGTAAAAGGGAGCCTGGTTGCACAACAAGTTAAAGACGTGCCTAACCTCTCTTGATACAATGAGCAATTATCTTGCATAAATAAGGTGAATCATTCTTCGTGCCTCCTTGCTTGCTTTTTTGCTAACTCAAGCATGTCTTCATCGTGGCACGTTTTTCCCATTTGCCAAGTAGGTTGAGCATATTTCAAAGTATTACTTAATGCTAGGTTTATTCAAATTCCAGATAACTGAAGCTGATCAGCTGGGTCTCTTAATGATAAGGATTGTTGTCTTATTCATGAATGAACTACAGAAGGATCAAAATATCATATCCTTCATCCTGAAACATGTCTTGACAGTCAACTCACATAGGGTATTCCAAACAGGCCGAACTCCAGCATTCCGATTATTGACTTGTGCATCTGACCCCACGCGCTTAGATTGTCACCAAGCCAATGGCCAGCGTATTTTCCGGCAGACGGATAGGATGACCTAGTAAGGACAAATGGTCTCGTGCCTTGCGTTGTGTTCAGGGCTCTGTTGAAGCAGAAAATCAGTATAATACAAGAGGCTCTTTCAATTTACACTATATAACCTCTCTAGTAATCAAGTTGGATGGTACAAGCCAGTAATGATAATGTAATTTACCATAGGTATAGATCCAAGCGTCTGTGCTCGAGTCACTGAAATGGCCAGACTTTTACTAAGAAAGAGAGGATTGCCAGCTCTCTGCAATTCCAGCTGTAGGAATCACGAGGTGTGGTCAAAACGGGAGGTAGGACAAAGACACTACTCGATAGGCATAGCTTCGCAATGTCTTGAAACCTACCCTCGGAAGCTAGGCAGAAGTAAATACAAAGATTTTAATCCAAGATTGAAATAGCTGTACCTTACAGCTCTATCTTTTTCCTACAAAAATGTTCTGAAGAAACCTACTCAAAATATATCCAAGATACATTCTTTCTTAATTTTCTTGCTGGTTGGACATGAAATAGGGACAAAAGCACGATACTGCAAGACATCTTATTAAGGAACAACAGAAATACATTATGAAACGATCTATCTATATACATGTCGTGTCGTCGGCAATTTCGCATCCAAAAAAATTACTTACAAAGCCTAGGTCCGGCTGGTCAATGCAATGCCTTGATGATAGCAACAAAGTAATGAATCACTGGATTGAATTTAAATCAATCAAAATAAAGAATAAATTGTAAGGCAGAGCTGTTTGTCTAATTCTGCAGTTCCCGGTAGTTTTAACGCTATTGCGTTTGAAAATTCACCACTGGCTACGTTTGAAAATGATCAAAATATGAACATATCTACTGACTCGAATGTCGCCTTTGCTTGCATTAGGCCGTAGAGGCTGTGTGAATTGTATTGTTTTTTACCAAGGTAGCTCTTTGCACTCATACAAGTGCTTTTTTCTGCAAGGGTTTTGGGTTTAGACTCTGCTACCAAAGCTGAAATAGAAACATTGATGTGAAAAGCAACAGGCAATAATATGAATTTAACGGAAATGAATTAACTAGGACTGATAACAGATTTCTTGATTGAGGAACGAACTACGGCAGAGACTAAATTGACATTAGAATGAATAATACGTACAGTCCATAGTGCAAGAAAAATAATGAGTTTTATCTAATAGGGAAGATTATTTACGATAATTTCATCAAATTAGAGATGGAAATACACAAGTGCTTTCTTACTTGGCCAATATGGCGGATGCTCCATTGTGTTGTTGGGACAACCTTGAACACGACCGGTGATAAAATTTGCAGGTTCGTTCATGTCCTAAAAAAGAGAATACCAAAATCAAAGAAGAAAACTATCGGTAATTGATAGGGTAAGGTTTAGAAGAAGGGCTTTTTCTTGTATTAGCTACTTCATGCATCCCATCGTGCTTTTCTAGAGGCAGATTCAATGCTGATAAAGCCTGTTGGCAGTTTTATAAGCAAAGCCAAATTATCATGGTAAATATCATGCTATGTTAACATTGCCTACTGAAAACTTACCATGAATATCACTCTTTGTCAACTTGCATAAACAGAGAACCCCGAGATAGAGAAGGGCCAAGCAAGGACAATTTTAATCACATAGAACTAGTATACTGCAAAGTTTGCTCCGACTGAAGACCTCCACCACTGGTGAAAGATAAAAAACTTCCCCAGTTAAATCCTCTAAAAGCTCCCTGCTTGCGTGTTTCGTGCAGTATTGAGAACAAGCATACCATTCCATTAGCCAGTCTTTATTACTAATAATCACGTGTATAAAATGAAAAGGTGGACCACAAAAATCACGTTGTTAGGCAAAACTCACCACCCAAAGACCGTCAAATCTGATAACAGATCGATGTTCGTCCACTAATTTACTCCAATATTTTGTTGCGTTGGCATGAGTCCAATCTGGAAAGGCGGCGTAGGCTCTGAAGAACTTGAAGGAAGGAATAAAAAACATTAATAAGGCTTAACAGGGTGACCAATAAGATAAAAAATGATGGATAAAAGCCAAAGAAAAGATTTGGTCGACATTTCAAAATGGGGGGGGGGGGGAGTACAAGGTTCTATATTAAGTTTTATGAGATCGGATCATTACTCAGCCAAATAGTCCAGTAGATAAAACTATCATCAAAAAGCTATGTGGGAACGTCAGTTTGTTTTGGGAAACCTCAGATTAGTTTTTGGGAACCACTACCCTGGGTACCATAGCGGGGAACAGCGTCTACCTGAGAATAATTCAAAGTGATTCCACGCAATGTTTCATATACAAATAATCGAGTCTCCTGAAAATTCAGAATAATCCTAGAAAACCAAAAAGGCTCTACCTTTGTCTGATTCTCCCAGTTGTAATCAATTCCAATAGTAACATTAGGGTAGTATGGCCAAACCTGAAAAAAGCAAAGGAATATGCTCCAAAGGAATTTTGAAATGTGCTTTCTTCGATAGGCCAGCGGAGTCTTGAGCACGGTCCACCTGCCTTGAATGGCTCTTGATATGAAGCCTTTCAAATTTGTATATTTCTATATGAGAAATCTTCTAAAACAGTTTACTTAAGCGTGACATAGAGCACTAAGCATGGACAGACCTTAACGGTTTCGGAAACTGAGTTGAGTATAGGGAACAAATATCATATACGCATTCAGGTAAAATAGCCCCATATGAAAAAGGCAACTTTTGACCGTATCTAAAATTATGCCTTGACAATTATGCCGAGGGCCCATTTTGTGGGTTTGTTTACTTGTAAATGCATGCTGATTATTTAGTTGATGACGCTGCAGAATGGGGCAGAAATCTGCAGCTAATCAACTGATTTTCTTATTCCACTAAATTTTAAAAGAAACTGTTCAGAAAGAAGAATTGCCAATCAATGGCATTGTTTCAAGACAGCAGCATGCAGCATGAATCCGCCTTACGCAGCAAAACCATGGAAGGAAAAAGGCATTCTTCATTGGCATTCTGGACGTGTACGTAAAATCAAATCTCTGCCTGTAACGACTCCTTGATCAATCTGATTCGAAATCTCACCTTCCCAAAAAGTGTTGTCCCGTCCTCATTCTTCATGAATACGTCATCTTGAACACCATAGTCATATGCATTGTACGGCTTTGTCTCATTGGCACTTATAGCTGGGTCCTGAAATATAGAGACTTCATCCAGAGTCTTTCATGATTACAAGCTTGAAAGACGATTTTGTGTTGGAAACTTTTCTTTAGGATAAATTTCAAATGAGCCATTTATAGGGCATCAAGAAATATTTTCCAGAAAAAATCTTGCAACAGAGACACAGAAAAAAGAGCTTATTGCTTAACGCTCGATTCTGCCTTCTTGCGATAAGTATGACGTCTGAGGATTAAAATTCAAAAGAATGTCTGTATTTCGATCAAACTTTGACAAACAGCACTTTGATGACCGATAGATCTTTGCAAAAGGCCTTAGAGAATGCATGTCTATCTGCTACCTGGCCTGAGTATAAACTTCATCCTTTTTTTGTCAAAATATAAAAAGGATTTTACAAGCACTTCAAAGTGCCATGAACATGTCGTAAAATATCGCAACTATAACAATTTACAAAAGAAACCACATAGCCATTTAAAATAGGAAAATCCGAATACTCTGTTGCTGAATACTTTCAGTAAAAGGGATGCTCATTTTTCTTCAGGGCGACATTTCTTGCATCGAATTGTATTCGAAGACATACTTACCAAAATGATTATGTACCTGAGACCATCATTCTTGATTGCACGGACAAAATCAGGCAAGCCTGCGTATTTTTTCTTGTTAAATGTAAAATCAACGTGCCTATCCATGTGATCAATATCACCATATTGAACGTCCTAAAAAAGACGACTTTGCATGAATTTTCTTTCAGTGTTTCTCAAGAGAATCTATCATACAGGCATAACAGAATTTACTTGATAGAGTAAAACTTTTTTGGTATCGAAGGCAAAAAAGACAATGAAGGTTAATGATTGAGTGACATCGGTGCAAACACATACGTGATAAGTGGACTTCAAGTTACCTGTGGGATGTCATATTCTCTCATCTTTTGCGTTATGTTCTTAACACGCTCCAAACTGTTGTATCCCCATCGGCATAGCTGAAATCCAAGACTCCAATATGGCGGCATAAAAGGCCTACCAACAGCCTAAAACATTCAAAATAGCTTTAAGAAGCTTTAAAAGTATAACATCTTTGTTAAAGTGCAAGTAAACCTTAAATTGCCTTTAATAGCCTTAAATTGCAAGTAAATATTAGACAATTCAGGAAACTTTATTTAGCCAGTAGCAAATTCTTCTCTAATTGACTGTTTGTTAAACTTTGAAAACCCTTTCCTCCCAATCTTCACAAAAAAGTTACCCTTAACCACTTACTGTGTGGTACAGATGTTTTTGTTTCTCAAAAGTACGCAATAAATTCTAGTCTACATTCTCCAATATTCATGATTATCTCTGGTTTTATCAACCAGTGCCAGAATGTACGTTATTTTTACGCGATTCTTTTACAATAGAAACAAATACAGTCAGTTTTGTACGCAAGAGGAAGAAAAAGCTTATGCCCCTTTCTCAACTGGCAATGTCATTCATCAATACACAAAAGAAAGACTTCTTTTTTTGTCTCTTTTGGGTTCTTCAACTATTTGGGCGGATAGCGATCGCTGATTGGTCAAAAAAGGAGCCAATCAAACGCATTAATCAAACGCTGTCGATCCCCATCTGTTAATGTATTTTTGCTCAGACCTGCATTTATGCTGTTATCTAATGTTTGATACTGTGATTAGTGTAAGACCAAACGCACTAGAGTGTGCTTTTTTCCGACTAAGAACGATACACAGTTATCTCCTTTTGGTGAAATATGCTTTCTCCAATGTCGCTTTTGCTTTTTTCTGACTGTAGTTCTAGTTATTAACTCCGATAGTATCTTAAACTCACCAAGGTATACTGCTTCACCACATCTTCGGGCGTTGGACCAAAAAACATGTAGAAATCCAAAACTCCACCAATTGTACGATAGGTAAGCGCTGGCAAGGGCTGTAACGTAACATCTACAGAAAAAAAACATACCATGTTCTTTATTTTCTGAGAAAGAAAGTAAATTAGAGTAAAATAGGGTGTAATAGGGTAAAGTAGGGTAAATTAGAGTAAAATGGGGGTAAAAAGGGTAGAATAGGCTAAAATGGGAGTCAATTAGGGTAAAAAGGGTATGATAGGATAAAATGAGGTTAAATAGGTTTTGTTTCGGCAAAAGAGATTGGAAAATGGCAACAAAGGATTACAGCGAAATGTAAAATCTAGACAAAATTTATTGACATGAGCCACTTTTTTTACAAATATAGGAGGTAGTCAAATTCGTGATTGGGGAGGGGATTTTACAGAATTATTCCCTCTTAAAAGATCGAAAATAATATGAATTTGCCAAAAAGATTAAAAATTTAGCAAAGGGTATAGTAGTTGTTAGACTCTGGAAACTATTGTCAGTAAATTCTTCTAAAATTCGAAAAACACCCATATTTGGTAGACGTATAACCTAATATTTTATATATACGACGCTGATGCAATGTTGCAAAGGCCGGTTGTTTCTGCAACATCGCGCCGACTGATGATACCAGTGGTGGCGCCAGGGGAGGGCTAGGGGGCTACAGCCCCTCCGTCGGAAGCATCCAGCTCCCCATCGAAATAAATTTTGGGTTATTGTCGGAGCAAATTTGACAAAATAACTTACGAAAACTGCTTATTTTAGTCATTTTAGCCCCCTGTCGGAAGCTCCAGCCCCTCTGTCGGAAGATTTCTGACGCCGCCTCTGGATGATGCCAACATAACGCCGATAATATTTTATAATATTTTAGACAAGGAACAAAGACCATCATTCAAGGACTATCACAGTCTTGCATGGATTAAGTGTTACATTGATGAAGAAATGAACCAACCCATTGCATTGCTGTTGAGTAGAAGAATACCATGAGCATTGCCATCTTCTTCCATCACCATGTGAAACGGGTGGTGGCCATACAAATTCGCATTGGGCTACCAGGAGTAATCGTGAATGACAAGGGAATGTATAAACAACAACTCTGTGAAAGATCTTTTACAAAGAAATATCAAAAAGAAAGGGGGACACATTCTGAGAACAGGAATACACAACGAAAGATAATATAATGAAATTCAATTGTATTTTGAAAAGATAAGGATGTAGGAGCTTGAATCCTATGTCTACGTAGCTCTGCTCTTTAGTAAACAGGGTAACTACTCGGCAAAGTCAGTGCCTCAGAAGTTCTATACGTTCATCGTCACAAACTACCGTCTTCAAGCAATGGTTTACTTTTCCAAGGTAACATAACTAAGGCCCCGTTCACACGGGAACGCAATCGTTCCGTTCCGTTCTTTTCCGTTCCGAAAAGCGGAACGCTCAGGGGTTGTGTTCACACGGGAACGCTTCAAACGACATCGTTCCGTTCCAAAAAGTGGAACGATAAAATAAGTGATACGAAAAGTGGAACGGTACGCAATCGTTCCGTTCCGTTCCCGTGTGAACGCGCAGAACTGGTCCAGAAAATGGAACGATAAGAGTTTTGCCTTTGGCGCATGCGTCTGTGTTGTTGTTGAGGGAAGGAAAAGGTGACAATAATAAACTCAGCGAAGAAAATGGAGGATTTCAGAAACACCATTGGGCTTAATCTCGCCGTCAGTCCATTTGAAAGATTCAACACCATTCTGCAAACATTGAAATTCCTTCCTTTTAAGGTTGGCTTCAATTTTCCCACGAGCTTGCTTATTTTGGGGCGCTTTTGTATTCTCCATTTTTTCAAATTGTTTAAAAAATTCAGAGATGGCTCAGAGATAAATCGAAATGATGAAATCTATCTCCATTATGGACATGCGCATTAAAAAATTATTCGCTTATTTTGGCGCGCAAATTGCAGAACAGAACGATTGCGTTCCCGTCTGAACATAAACAAAAATCGATACGCAATCGTTCCGTTACCGTGTGAACAGTATACCTTTTCGTTCCAGAAACTGGAACAAAAATGGAACGGAACGATTGCGTTCCCGTGTGAACGGGGCCTAAGAAGTCTCCGTGCATTTTTTAGTTTATCAACGCTTATTCAAAATTTGCTGTCAAGAAAAATTTTCTGTGTTTTCCCTTAAAAACCCAATAATATTGTGAAGCATGTGCTAAGAGCAATTGAGTTGTATATTTTATAAAAGGAAGGAAAAGACAACTAGATCTCCATGTACAGCGGTACAAGTGAATGCAAACGGTAGAAGGTTAAAAAATATAAATTATAATAGCAGGTAAGCATTCCGACAAATTTTAATACTTTAGAGCATTGACTATGTTGAGACATGGAAAAAAAAGTTTCAATCAAACTTAAATGTTAAACGCAAACATTCAAATTTGCCGAAAGTTCTTGGAACGCCTGATCAAATTCAGTCAGTTATCGATCGTTTTTCAATTCACGCCGACAGAAATAGGTGAGTTGCCCCTCCCCCCAAATGTTATTGAAACACACCTCAGCCATCCTAGTTTCAAAAATACAGGTTACGTTCGAATAGTGGGTTTCTATAAAGCATAGTTCAACATTGACTGAAAGAGAAAGGGAAACAGCAAATATGAGTTAAAAAATGCTGTTAGTGTTCCAAGACATTAGGCAGATATTTTACCTTGTAGTCCTTGATTTCAAGTTTTGAATGCAAAAATATTTCATATTATTTACAAATATCTAAGAATTTTGATAAGGTCATTATTGACGCTTTTTTTATTTTTTCTTGCATACCTTTGGGTACTGGTCCCTTGAGAACATTCCGTATGTTTTCCAATTGACGTCATGAAGAAAGCTCTCGTGCTCATGTTCACCAAAACCGTAAATGTACTTGCTTGGTAGTTTTGTAGACATTTGTAGAAACTGATCAGCAAAAATGAGTGGACCAGCAGATGAATCAAACCTTGTGGAAAAAAGGAGATACATATTCTAGAGCAAGGGATATGTAAGCAATACTGCGAAGCTCCCGAGTGCTGGAAATTCCGACAAGGGGCGAGGGAGGCAAAATTTATTGCCATACAGTTGAATCTAGATTCAACGAAATCTATCTCATTTCGAGAAAAGGGTATCCTTTCCCAAGGGAGGGTAACATCCTATGTCAAAAGGGCTTTTGTCAGACCCTAGCCTGAATGGCGTAGAAAGGAATATTCATAGGAGGGGTGAGGAATTTAAATCTAATATGTTTGCACATAACATAACGACATCAGAACTGAAATAAAAAATTCTTCTCATAAATTCATTAATCTTATGTTATATTAAGCTTGAAATTCAATTCCTCACAAACTGTAACAGTTGGATAAAAAATAGACAACCAGGTTATGTTTCCGACAAGATCAGAAGTTTTCTGACAAAATAGCAGTTTAGCTTTACAGGGGGTTTAGCTTAGCTAAAAATAGCAGTTTAGCCCCCGCTGACCCCTCCTCTATCTACGCCACTGCCTAGCCTACCACAACCGAGGACAGATTTTTATCAAAAAAGTTTGCCTTTAAATAACTTTAGGCAGTCCCCTTAGTCAGAAAGAATATAAAGCAAACCAAGTATTGGAATTTATTTACGGTATGGCACAAATATGTGAAATAGTCTAAAAATGGCATAACCGTCGTCACACAGTACAAATGGCAAAATAAAACAGAATGTTTTAGAGAGTGATTTTACTTCTTCTACATTTTGCAAAGGGTACTAACTTAAAAGCCTCTTACACAAGCAGACATCTACTCGAAGATTGAAATGTCTCCAATTTTCATGAAAATGTTTTCCTGAAATTAGACTACTCAGTTTTCTTGGAGATCACCAGTCTCGAAGTTTGAGAGCGTAAGTAGGCCTCTGACCGCGTAATTTGCCGTAACGGACAGGCACATCGAACACAAATCTGTCGCACCTTATAGTTATTGCTATTATAAGGGATGGCCTTAAAAATGTCTAGCGACGATCCATACATTTAACTAGTACCAAACAAGACGATAAAAGTATACTTGCAACGGCCTGTTTGTCTTTGTTCTATTGACGATTAACCCAAAAGGTGTCCGGTTCATGTCTACTGTGTAAATTTCATTGTCCTTGTTTATAGGCTCTGTTTCCATTCCTTCGAACAAAGTAACCGGTACTTCATAACGTGCTGGCAACGTTACAATCTTGAAGAGAAAAACGAAACCTTGAATCCGAGTAAGTTTTTTATATAAAATTTTTGCCTTATGAAATGGGCGTTATCTAAATCAACTTTAAATTAAAACATACAAATTAGAAAGTAAAAAGGTTTTTTAATGCGAATTATATTGGTGAGCAAAGAGGGGAAGTCAAAAACAGTCGGCCTTAGCCGTATTCTAACTGCGTGCGCGAAATTTCAATTTCAGATCTTCCTTTTAATCAATTTTTCATTTTGCTACATATAATGAACATATTTTGATACATATTTTCACCTCTATGCAGTTTGATTAGAGAAGAAAATTGTCTGTTTTTCAGACTTTGAAAGGGCTCATGAGGTAAACAAATAAGGGCTTCAAAATGTGGAGATGGGTGGATAAGAGAGGGAAGCTAAAAGAGCTTTTGTAGTGCCCAACCCTTTCGTGGCTGTTATTATTATCATCATTATTATAATTTTTCACTTTTAATAACCCCAAAGGCTCGATACAAAAGGGTTTGCATAGGCTTCAAAACCAGTGTTTGCTGAAATTAGTCTGACAAAATCAGAGTTTGTCTGACACACTACATAATATGGTCTGTAGAACAATATTTTTTATTCGCAGTTGGCATTACCTTGATACGCAAATGACTCGTGAATGAATGGATAACGACGAAGACCTTCTCGGAGTGATCAGTGTAGATCTGGGGTGTCTGGATGCGTTGAAGTCGGATGACGTACTTGCCAAACGATGTACGCATGATCCTTGAAGTCGCATTGTACCCATAGCTGGTTGGGAAGAAACACTTGGGGACACCAGTCTAAAAATAGAACAAAGTTGCATTATTCTCATGAATACTAAACCTGAACCTCATTTTTCATCAAAAGGAAAAGTGAACTTAAAAAATATAAGACTTCAAATATGTTTTCTGGTACCGGATGTGATAACTGTTCATACACTGTACAGGAAAGAAACAAAGAAAGCAAGAAATATCTGGTGCTAACCAGCCCAAGTCCCCGTCGCAAGCAATCTCACTCAGTTAACTAAATAAGGGCATCATGGGATTTATATGTATGTTTGATGTAATTTCATACGCACCACTACATAATTCCTCCAAAAGTAGTAAAATGTTTCAAATTGGATGAAATATGATGGAAGATGCAAGCTTATTTTGCATATTTCAATTTTTTTCATAGTGCTCGTTCAGATTTATGCGCCTCAAACTTAAAAAATATTGAAAGAAACTACTTTGATGACGTCACACTTTTATCGAGATGCCCGTAATTTTTTTGCCATAAAACTTTTTAGTAAATTTTTGTATATAAGGAGGGGTTGAATAAAATCAGAAATCCAAATACATTATTTCCTTAAGAACCAGTAGACTGAAGTCCAGGCTGGCTGTTTTTAATTTTTTAAAAAATTCGAGGCTGAATTGCTTGTTATTCGTTCTAAATTTATTCGGGGCAAAAGTGCAATCGCTAGCTTTTGTTCAGGAGTGTGTTAAGATGGCCTCATTTGCCAAATATGTGAATGAGGCAATCTTTATTTGCCGATAAGTTCACCGAAAAAGCACCCTTAGATGGCAAAATATCCTCGCTTTCGAGATGCAATTTTAGGGGTTTCACATCATTATTCAAAAAAACATTATACAGTAGCTCAGCCCCAGCTTGTTCTTGTTCATAACTTTTGCCCAATTTTGAGACCCATGTTCCCTTAAAATTGTTCTTAAAAAAGAGTGTACATTGGCTGAACCAAATATATATTAGATCTTTCATATTTGGGGCAATTTCAAGAGGCAGCAAAGGCCAAGAACAAGTCCACAAATACGCCAATGTTTTCCTGAACTGTGTTACATGTAAAGGAAGATATTGGAAGGCGGAGAGAAGCAGCTAAACTACAATTCAATTCAATTCAATTCAATGGTGTGAGCAAAACAGAAGGGGCTGCACGAAGGCTGAGTTTTCAGGGTCGAAAGTAGCCTGGGCAAAGCCTGAGCTAGTTTGCATGGTGTAGACGGGGCTTAAGACCTGTCTTTTTGTTAAACACTTGCAGCGAAAATCGGAGAAATTACTTTTCTACATTATTATTAAGTTTATTTAAAAGCTCTGCCTGCACAAGCTTTTTGTAGAAAATTTATTTAACAGTAGAAAGCACCGAAAAGGTATTGCCAAGTTTTCTTTAAAAAAACAATCTCTGCCGATCTAAGGAACATGACTTTAAGAATTTTTTCTTGGGTGTAGCAATCAGCCTCTCCCCTGTTCTTCTCTCCCCTCTCCTTTAAGTATGGTGGTTTTTTATTTTTTCTTGAATAATTAGGGTGTAGTTTCAAGAAATTTAGGCACAAGACAATATTTGCTGCATGAAAACAACGAGTGGGTATTGTTTAATTTTTGTCTTTTTCTAACATTAGCACAGGTTATACACCATCATGACATATACATCCTCAATAACAACGCTCATTTTTTCATTGAATATTTTACCTCAGCTTGTTCTTAATTTGTTCGAAATTTTGGCCAATTTTGAGGCTTGAATTTTCATAAATTGCTCTTATAAAAAAGCCCAAAGGACTTCCCCGTGCCGACCAACCATCGAGTGGTTGCCACCAAAATACAACATGACTCTTTTAAACAATTTCGAAGAATATCGAAGAGACTTTGTTCTGAAAATTTCTTGCAGTCCAAATTTTTCAGCCAGCACCCTATTCAAGGGAAATATTATTTAATCTTTCCATATTGAAGCTGACATACAAACAATGAAATAGGCCAACTTACTGTGTTGCTGAGCGAGTCTTTCCAAACACATCCACGGCCTCTGCAAGTAGCTTCGTTGGGTTCAATGCCTGGCGTACAGTCGAACCTCTCGTTGTCATCAATTGCATTCGCAAACCAAAAAGCAAGAAAAACACTGAAGAGCAAGACCAAAATACTGTCCATGTTGTCAATAACAATCGATTCGAAAGAAATTAACGGATCTTGACCTGCTTTCTCTCGACAATATGTAAACACGATCCTGTGTCAACCGATGCGCGCTGTGTCAACTGACTCACAAGCAACTGTTTGTTTGATCGTCTGGTCAAAGTGCGGAAGTTTTAAAGACGAAAAGCTTCACGACATGCCATGCCTCAAAAAGGGCATTTTTGGCCAGAGAACATTTATCGTAAGAAACTCGTTGAAAAAGAGCAACGTTTTTATGTTCCCATTTCCAAAAGGGGCTGTGCCGTTAAACAGATTGGGTTTAGGTCCAAAAACACATTCAACTCAAAAAATCCCGGGGTGGGGTGTCAACTCTCGTTCAGTGTTGTACCGAAGCTCATCCGAGAGTTCTTAAAAGACCTCCTTTTCTTTGACTTATATACAGGGCCTCAAACGAAGGGGGGCCGGGGGTCCACACCCATCTCCCCACTTTTTTGCAAAACAATAGAGCTTTTTAAAATTATTTTGTTATAATTGTTAAAATCTCCCTTGCTCCCCCCCCCCCACCTGTGTCGGAGCCCATGATATGTGAAATTTTCACATCATCTCCCCTGAAACAAAATACTAAATAATAATGAACTTTGTACAAGGAAAACAAAGTGAACAGGAGCTTCTGCTCTGCTACACCATGATTCTTTAATAATTGAGCATACTGTTTTCTTGCGACTGCGAGGTACAACAAATTTGAATTTTGTTTAACCACGATTGAAGCATTGCTGATATAAATGTCGTGGTTTGGGTTAATTTTTATCAGGCACTTTTCTTTGTCACGATCGAAACTTGATCTTGTTCATTTTGTGCAGAGATGACATTTCAATAAACGCAGGCCTGCAAATAGTATCAATTTTCAAGTGCCTTAGGCCTGGTTCAAACGTCGCGCTTCTCATGCGCCGAACCAAACTCGAGAATTAAGTACATGAGGGGCGCGACGTCGCTCCAAACAGAGTTAGATTCGGCACATGAGAAGCGCGACGTTTGAACCAGGCCTTAGGTACGCCAGTTAAAACTGAGATGGATGGCACTGTTGTGTTGCAAGTGATACAAAGCAAAGCAAGCTGATATCTTGATCAGTGGTTCTTCTGCCGAGTGTTTCAGCGAACAATCTCTAGACACCATGTGATCAAAGCTTTGTCAAGGAAAAATCAGCGACGCCGGAGCTCGGGGGCGCATGGTGCCCCCTTGCATTAAAGAAATGCAAAGCAATTCTCCTCATTTTGCTATTATTTTGCCCTCTTTTTGACGCTTTACCCCTCGTCCTACACAGTAGCAGCACCACGAAGAGACTGGGGGGAGGGGGGCAGGTCCCCTAAGTTCTCAGCAGGATCAGTTTTGTAATTCGTCTAAATTCGATGAGAAGATGGGGAGGGGTCATATTTTGACAACGTACTTCTTTGTGAGGTAATTCTGTGATTTTCAACTGCCTTTGCGTAACCAAAAATTAGTCATATGCGTTCTCTTTGGATAAAATTGGCGTTCCCTGTTGATAAAAGGGTGTTTTCTGGTGGTAAGAAGAGCGTGGCTCAAAACTTTTTGCTTTGTCCCCCCAGATCTTAGTGGCTGGCGCCGCCATTGGTTCTACAGAGCTTTCGGTGTTCCTGGGAACACTCACAAGAGACTTTCGACCAAAGTGGAAAAGGGACAGTTGGTCACAAAGTACCCATTGAAAAGTTTAGTGAAATTGTGACCTAAACACTCTTTTTCCCTTTACGCATACGACACCCAACCTATCCATCCTTTTTAAAACAATCATAAACAAGAAACCTAAATCTTCATTTCGGAGCAGTTAGCCTACAACTGGGTACCACAAGCAAACAAGGTATGGTTATGATGCACGTACGACCATAAGATGTGCACATGCTAATCAAAAAGTTGCTTTCTACACCTAAGAATGAGACACTGTTCGGGATGGATGCCTGTACAGTGGCCGTCCTATAGTATATTTTCAGTCTTTGCAAAATTTTCCTTGAGTGTTGAACGACTTCAATTGCCATTACTGAAGAGGAAGGAGGCAGATTTACATACAGCCCTGAGATTGCAGGAATTCAGAGCCTCTGGCAGGAATACTTCGAAAAAATTTCTTCATCTGATCTACCTAGTTAATAACAAAAATCTTTACTTGGCTAAATAATCAATAAATCGTCTCTAGAAAAATAATAGCACGGTTGTTCAATGAACACAAAATTTCAATTACCTAGAAAAGTTGGTGACATTTATTTACAGTAAGTTATCCACATTGTTATTATTTATTTGCAGTTATTATTACATTTCTGGAGAGACCTCTTAGAAATTTATTTTGCTTCAACAACTGGACAGAAGGTGTTAAGATATTCCACCAAGTTATCCCTTTCCCAGTTCAATATGGTCGTCTCTGCTACTTAAATACATATGCCCTAACGTCTAAAGGGGGAGGGGATAAAATTTTGACCTGTGGATTCTACCAGGTAGATCGCTAGGCAATTGTCCTGGATTGATCTGTAATCACGTGAATTTGCTTTGGTAACAGCCTTAGTTTGAGGGGGAAGGGGGAGGAGGGGTTGGTGGGGGTGAAGCACTGCATGGAGGTAGCAGTCTGTCTCTGGGCAGGAACATCGGACTAAGTTCTCGGCAATAAGACGTCAAGGAAAATACATTGATTACAAAAAGGTTTTGATGATAATTGTTCACAGATTTTAAAGATTTTAGAAAACACTTCTGCTCCATTTACAGAAGGGTGTCAAACTACAAATGGCCTTATATAATCGATGGCCTTATATAATCGAATTTGATTTCAATAGCTCAACCAATAAAAGGACAAAAAAACAATCGATATTCTATTACAAAGCTGTATAGTAAAGGTTAAATACAAGATATTTTTTGTAATACCAGCGCACAGCTAACTTTTTTGCAATATCTACAAAACGATAGAACTATGAGTACCTAAAATATTCACTTTCTGTTTAGGCTTTAATAAAAAAAGTTATCTGCTGCTATAACTGTTAGTGTTAGCTCATGCTTGATTCAAGATGTCTACATATGTGTTATCGACAGAACAAATACTTGCAAAGGCAGAGGGGTCGAAAAGATGAAAAGGATGGATCAAACAGGAGAGATCAGAGACCCCATGTGGAACACCACTATCACTTGAGTGAGGACTGTAGTCGCCATCGATTCTACTGACAATCTACCAATCACAGAGAAAGCTGCCAATCAAATTGATAAGGTATGGCACAGATCATACAAGGGGAGTTCATAAAGACGGTCTTTGTGCAAGACATTATCAAGGGTCTGAAGAGATCAGAAATGTCGAGAGAAATCACTTTTATTTCATCAAAGGATTCGAGAGTAGAAGACCAAACATGCACAGCATAACCAAAAAATCACGGGTAGATAGCCCTTTATGAAGTCTTTACCAATGAACAGAAAAATCTTGACTTGTCTGTTGAGCTGCATGCACCAAGGGGACCAGAGCGACAAGGTCTTACCACAGTAAGATACAGCTAAAAGCTCCTATAGCAAGTTGAAAAGGGAGACCCGAAGGTTACTTTGAGAAGAGTCCTTAATAATCCTTCGGAAAGAAAATATCATATACTTGATGGACAACATCAAATGACACTTTACCCTCAAATATTACGAAAAACAAACACTAACTTTTTAACTGACCAAAGTATTCTAAATAATTGAAATATATCTATAAAAATTCACAACCAATTGCTACGAAACTAAGACTGAAATCTACATTAATAATGAAAACATCGTTTTCCAAATGAATATATTTTGATTAGGTATATTACTTACAGAACTAATAAATTATTCCGCCTCATCAACGACTGTTATCATCATGTTCCTTCCTGGCCACACGTACTGTTTTGGCAATCGTACCTACAAGGAATTCAATAGTTCGGCACTTTAAAACAAAGTTAGCATAGTTTAGATACAGAGAGGTTAGATACAACGATACAGAGCTACAGAGATATAGATACAGAGAGTTAAGATACAACGTTTGCCTAGTGTTTGATCCGATTTAGCATATATCAAGGAAATGGTTTGAAAAATTATGAAAAATCTGACAAGAATTTAAACAAACAGAAAAGTCAGTGAAAATTTTTAAAAGAAGTGCCCTACGAACGTGAATGCTAATCTTCAAAGCATACAACCATTGTTGCAAATAGCAGAGAAAAATGTCTTAATTTTTTTGTAAACTTTTTATAAACAAAACTTCTGCCAATTTTTTGAATGAACTGGAACTTCAAAATAAAAAATTAAAAAAAGCTTAAATGATGGCAGACTTGAATATTTAAGAAATTTATGAATCAGGCAAAGTAAAATTATTAAGGAAAACGAGTATGCAATCTAGAAAACATTGGAAAATTGAAATTTACGAAAATTCAAGAAAAATTAAAACATCCTTAAACAGCTTTCTTGTCTAGAGAATAAGAAATATTTGGCAATTTCAGAATAGTATTGAAAACACAAATCACACAGAAAATAATACATATATATATATTTCTTGAATATCAATTATAAAAAAACATTATTTTCGAGGTGAAAACGAATTTAGGATATTGATCAGATAAAGGATTTGTACTAACCTCCTCGGGCCTGGTGAGGTCATCTAAATCTCTAATTAGGAGATCCATAAAGTCGTCTGGTATCAATACCTGTAGAGACAATCGAAATTAACTTCTAAGCTTAGGGATATTGGCTTGAAATTCGTCTCTACAATCGTGACTTTCCTGGAGACTCCCAGCATAGGAGAAACGAAGAGAGAGGTCTTAGCAGACAAGACAAAGTCAATTCAGGATTAAGAGATATAAGGCAAAGATCTGGCGCTTGAACTCACTAGGTTCCATAAGTCACAACAGGCTTTGCAGCGCGTAGATGATTGAGAAAACATTGTGAATCAAAAATAGGCCTATTGTGTAGTCCAACCAATGGGAAATTTAAATGGCCAGCAAATACGTCTGAACAAAGTGCCTTTAAGGATTACGTAAACCGTTTTTACTACAAATTCTCAATGGAAATTTGGTTCTTATAAAAATATTTCACCAAACGGTGAATTTTATATGATTATTGTATAAGCTCGAACCTGCAGCCACGTTCCACAAGCAGCATACGGGCACTGTTCATCAACGCTTGTTCCTGTTACATCACTAGACACAAGAGTGATTGCAGAGTCTGTTATAATGCTTTTGAACGTGAAATGACGACCATGGGCAAGCCGACCTCTGAAAAAAGAGCCGCCATCTTGAAATATAGCCTTACGTCATAAAACAAACATAATGTTATGTTATGGTATAAGATGAAGTATTATCGTTCGTGTACTTTACATGAAGTGAGATACAAGTGGTGATGATGAACTTGGTTTTCAGAGCAAGATAAGCTTTCTTTTTTGTCTCCAACTCTTCCTGGATATATTTTTATATGAAATAGTATTTCTGTGAAAATAGTACCAAAGAAGACAACTTCATTTTTTTTGGTTGTCATTTCATTTTCTTAATTGACAGAATAATCTTCGAATAAAAGGCAACAATGAGCAATTTATAGGTGATGATAATAACAACTAATGTTTAATCTAAAGTGTCATGTAAAAATGAGCTAAATGAACAAGTGGCATTCGGTTTATGCATATTGGATAAGGAGATACATGGAAAACTGTATTAAAACCGACACGAAGGAATTCTAGATTATATGTGACCCGCCCTTCAAGATAAGAATGTATGTATGAATGTATGAAAAGATGTTGCAGAGGTAATTGGCAGGCTTGTTTCAAGCTGATGCTTAAACGTCTTTTCTATCACTGATTTACCTTGCATAAAGATCGATAGTCTCACCTTAAAACAAGAGGGAGCAACGAAGCAGCCTCAAGGTTAAATCGCAGTTGCACAGCCTCAAGTTGTTTTGCCCTGACAAGTTCACTCACTGTGCTGTAATTGGATAGTCTGCTGTCAGGCCCGTCTCCCAGTTCGGAGTCTTCTCTCCTGATAATAGAACCAGCAAGAGATTTTCATAAAAATTTGACACAAACACCAAATTTACAACCACCAACAAAATAGCCTACCTATTAGTCCATTAGCGTTTATAGAAGCATCTAAAAAACATTATTTATTCTAAAAGTTAAATTACCCTTAAGAAACTGAGCTGTAAATGCAATTTAAGAACAGCTATAGTATAGTGCGTCTGAATTTTTTCCCTAAAAAAACAAAACTTCGCGATAATTCTGAATAATTTCCCTTGATAGTAGCTTATTTAAAAATAATCCTATTCACAAAACCCAATTTTGGTGAGTCCCATCAGAGAGTTTGTATCGCTTTAAAACTAAGCTACTGAAACTATACCCAAAAGATGGATCCGTTATCCTTGTTGATTTTGTTGTGCTTGTGGGTCTTGATTCCGGTTCAGTAAAGGTCCCATTTTCAATTCTGCTTCCTGCTTTGTATATTGACTCCTGACTGCAACTAGCCCACCAACACTTTGCACTGACTCCACTCAAATTCGAGCCCTCTCTAGATATTCCCTCTTCAACCCTTTGCTAAAAGATGAAAAAACTGATATTTGTTTTGTGCACTAACTGACTGCTCAAAAATCTGAAATTTAGGGCTTATGCGTGGGTTAATCAGTCTTAAGAAAAAGTTGCATGCCAGGCAAGATTGAGGAAAGAAACAGTCAGCAAATATGTTGTTATTTGCCTAAAGACCTGCCATGATAGAAGACCTAAACAGCTTTAACAATATCATGCTTGCCTAATAGCCTCCTTTCTCCAATGTTCTAGGTTTCGGCAAAGAAAACAAGCGATTTGATAAACTAGGTAATCAAAAATCATTGAACGAATTTCATATATACATGAAGACACAAGAGAGATGTAAAGCCAGGTTTTCAAAAATATCTTGATTGTTGAAACCTTCTAGGACAGCCGCTCACATGAAATTCAAAGTTGCCAAACAATTGTACTCCAGTAGTTTTGTGCTCTTTACACCATACAAATGTTTTAATGAATTTATTTAAGCCATGAACAACATCTCATATCTAATGATAGTTGATGTTTAAATTAGCTTGCCAAAGCCACTGGCTTAATTCATTTTCATATCATCTGTGTAGCTTTAAAATTCATTAGCAAACAATTGGAATATTTTTGAGCAGGTAAAAATAAACTATATGAAAACCAGACAAAAGCCTGTTAACGCTACTAATTCATTTATTTTAAATTATTTGACTAAAATTATCTAAGACAAAAATAAAATTTGCACCACAATCTTGACTGGCTGGGATAATCTACTTCTGAAAAATGCATAAATTGAAATACCTGCAGGGAGGAATTTGTCTCAAATATGCTTTTAGTCCTCTCCATGTCTGTGACTAGCCACGCACCTCCAGTACTGAATGTAAAAGAATGATCAAAAATACAAAATTAATGAATAGCCAATAAAGTCTAACAACATCAACAAAGTAGATATTTTCACATTTATCTAAAAGCAGTCATGATACATTTAAAAATACACTGGGGACCAAAAAGCATATAAAATTGAAATAGAAAATAAAAAAGTTCTTACTCTGGCATTGACCTCATAAGTTCAAGTACTGCTGGTCCATTCCAATGCTGGGCTGCCTGCAGTTCCTGATTGCAAACACCAATGATCTACGAAAGAAATTAGCAAATGCAACAGGTACAAACATTGTGTCAATTAGAGCAAAATGGACAGACACAAAACATGAAGTAGTTTGTATAAAAGGTGTATTAGCATAAAGATTCGCACTGTATTATTTCAGTCTTTACAGTTATGAAAATGGCTAGATCTGAAGGATCAAGCGGTCTTGACAGGCAAAATAACTGCTCCTCAAAATGCAAGTGACCAAAGTTATTCACTGAATAAATATATATGACAAATATAGCTGAGATCGATTTTGCAGTGGGTAAGAAGAAACATACAAATATATCTGAGACCTAGACAAGGAAATGAGACTTGAGAAGCACCAATTCTAGTTTACTAATGTCTAGAAATTAACTTCAAAATCTGAGCAATATGAAAGAAACATCAAATATTGTTCGATGACTGGGCAATCACACAGTTAAGTGAATACAAAGATTTTCAAGGTTGTATAGCAAGATTGTGTGAGACAAAATCAAACCTGGACAAAATCAACATATCCAAAGGGGGTGTTTATTTGAGGGATGTGGGGATCATCTGCCATCAACATCTGCTGGATGAACTGGTTGCTCCCATCTAAAGCATTATGCCATGAAACATGATCACCACTGCATAAGTTATTTTCTTGAAGAAAGGTTTCAAAACATCAGCATCTTCTTTTTTGAAATTATGAAAAGTTTCAATAATAGGTTGTTCCGAACTAAACACTTCTAGTTATATTTCAAATCATAACACAAATTGGAGTGATATATTCATAGCCAACTAAAGAAGGAGAACCAGGATCCCTTATGCTGTAAAATGGTTTACATAGGACCAAATAAATTGTATCTCTAATGAGGACAAGCTGACAGTAGCCACACTAGCACTTTTAAGTTTCTCACGCAAATTTAATTTCCATTTACCTACATAAAATTATCCATGTTTCCAAAGAAAATCATTTCTGCTGCAGTTTTGTCAAATCAATCCAGAGAAATAAACAGGTTCCAGACTAGTAATAAGATGTAGAGAAAGTGTGTTGACAGCAAGGGTAGAATTTATACAATTGAATACACCAAATTTTTACCAAGGATATCTATGTTTAGTTATAGATGTCTGACAAAACAACCAAAAACTCTTTACTTTCAACACAAAATGAACTCTTCTCCCAGGAAAATCTTCTTTGCCAGGTTTAATCAATTCCTTATATTCAAATTGTGAAAAGCTGGTGCATTTCATGCAATAATTTTGGGCTGGCTGTTGACTTACCAGAATGAAAAACATATCTAGCTAAGTTTTGCATCAGTTCTGCAGGCCAAGTTGGAGGAGATGAATCACTGGGGCTTCTTTTCAGCCTAAATGTAAGTTCAAATCCAAAACCGCTTGGCCCATCATCCCCAGTGACACTATGGAAGAAGGGGTTGTAGCTCATCTGGATGAAAGTACGAATAAGGAAAAAAACGAACTGGTGTTATTGAACGGCTCATTTGCAAACTAACACATGGACAAATTTACATAAGATAAAAAACAGATAAAACAGCCATTTTGACATTAGATTTTCTTATAACTAGTCTTTGTCTGGTACTCTATCTTTGCAAGAACAATTACAAATTAAAAGACATACTCATGGACTCTGCCATCACCATGAAGGTCTGACAAACCACAACTGACATAATGCCAATGAGGGGGAACTCCTTCATTTGGATTCCCAGGATTGGCAAACATTGTAATGTAATCCAATGGATCAGGTCCATTAAGCCTAGAATAAAAAATTTGGTAGAAATTAAAACCCGAGCCATTAGTTTTAACATTTGCTCAGTTTTATACTTTATTTTGACAAAAGGATATAAAGTAAATAAAATTTCAATCTAAACATAAACATAACTATCATCATTACCATAACTACCATTATAAACAAAATTGTGAACCAGATTGGATAGCATGGCTAATTTTGACAAGATCTAGGGTGTACCAGCAGCCCTGCATCTCAGGTACAATTGTGCAGAAACACCTAAAAATGCCAAGTGCACCAGCATTAGCAATTTTTCCAGATTTTAATCAAAATGTGTCTCGATTATAAATAAATGCAAATATGGTAAAATTGGCAAGGCAGAACCTTAAAAAACCCCTCCTTATTGGAAAACAAAACAGCCACTTTTTATACGCTTCAGATTTTCAGATTTTCAGAAATTCAGATTTTCAATCAATATAAATGATTAATAAGATAAAACATCTCGAGAGTCTCAATGACTGGGTGTCAAATGGATTAAACAAAGTCTCTGAGAACAGCAGATAGGAGGGAGGGTTGGGTTGGAGGCTCATGACTGCCAATGCCAGCAACAGGCCTGGCACTTAAGAAGAGGGAGAAGATTAAAGATACTAGTTTCAATTTTCAGCACTTCTGGCTTCCAACAAAATTTCTATGCTTTAGATTTTTTTGGTGTCATAAGTTACAGCCTGTGTGTTGGTGAAAGCAAAATGTTTCAAAAATCAATCCCTGGCTGCCCATGTGCAATCTATACAGGTTTACCCCAGTTGACAGGTATCTGTGTTCATATGATAAATTTGCATTCCAGCTAACACAGATATTTGCAGTTTCAAGTGAGATCTTGGTTAGACAGCCTAGGCTCAGGGTTGGAAGAAGTGCCTGTAGCTGCAGTGCATCTTTGCAATAAGCATCCAGGAAGTTCAGGAAAAGAATGTCAATCGCCAAAACTACTTCTTTAGAATTTAGAGGAAGGTTTTCATCTGAAAAAATAAATTCTGCAAAACTTAGGGGAAAGGTCCTCCCCCCAAATTTCTTCCACGAAGCATAGTTTTTTGAGGTTTTGAAATTCTTCTTTTAAGGTAGATAAGAAGACAGGTAGTGCTGCTGAGTAAGAAACTGAGCAAAATTAAACTAGAAAATGCCTTAGCTTTCTGAACAGCACAAAAGTAAAGACTTAGAAAAACTGTAAAAATTTGATAAACTGACAATTGTAGGCTGAAGTAGCTTATCAGCTTGATATTATGCTATTAAACTTGTGAAACTATAGAAAGAAGAACTTTAGTTTTAAGTTGGTTTTCATGAAGGGGAAATGTTTTCCATCATTGCCTAGGCTGCTTCTCATATAAACGCAAGATTTATTTCTACAAAAATCATGAAACAGACATTCAACTTAGAAGTTGCCTAGCCAGGCCACCTCATCTGGCAAGGCTAGCTCACTTCCATATCAAACTTTTTTGCAAACAAATTTGTTCAGATATACATTTCAAAGTAGCATTAGCTTGTTCTTAACTTGCTCTTATGTATTTACAAACTGTTAAGGTTTGTGTTCTTATAAAATAGGTGTATTTGGTATTCACCCCAGTGTTTGTATAGGTGTCTAATGTGTCACAGGATCTAGAAAATTTATGGCACCAAAAAAGTTTTCAAAACTGTCAAGCCGTCTGTAGCTCCATGGCAATTTAATTAACATATTTGAAAAAACAATACAATATCCTAGGTGCCAGACGTCCTTAGGAAAACTTCGTTTTAACTCGTTTACTCGCTGACGTTAGTGTGTTTTATGGATAATTTATCTGAACGACTGACTGCGGAAAATTAACTTGACCTAAGCTCCGTAAAACGAAAAACTCACAAGCAAATCGAAACGATGACATTGGATTAGTTTATAACTAACAAAGTATCCAGTTGTTGAAAAATTAGGCAATTCAGAATAAGATTGATTACGCATTGATTATCATTCTTGTATATGAATATACTACCATGATCACACGTCGTAGGCGAGCAGGATGTTGTCAGTTGATCTTATCAATGAACATCGACCCATTGAAAATGAAAACAAACGACCAATACATACCAGTACTTTCGCAAGGCAGTTACTTGTAAAGGATTTGGCTGATCTGGATATATTCTCCTAAGTATGCTGTAAATTCCTTGAAGACCAGGTGGGATAGGTGCTGTCTGAGATGGAGGCATCATTCCACGAGCACCGTTCATTCTTAAAACTTTCGAATTTTAATTTCCCCAGCTGCCTCCTCGGGGCAGAGTTCCGATACCCTGATTTGAAACGCAAATGACGTGATATTGCTACTTTCTGCTACCACTAAATTTCGATACGCGGATGCAGTAGATGCTTGATTCCATCAGAAAGTCTTGTCTTCTCACATTACGAAAGATCTGTGCATCTCTGCCTGGGCTTTTATGCTTCACTTGACTGCTCTGCACTGCTCTCTTCCTCTCCTGATCGTCTTGTCTTCGGCACGATCTCGTGTTCCTTCGCAGGTCCCTAATCATGGCCTCGCTCCGATGTACGATTCTTGAATCAATCATGGCGGACCAACAACATGCAGCTGCGAGTGATAAAGAACCGAGAAAAGAACCAGACAGCGTTGCCGAAGAAGTAGTTAACAATTTAAAATCGCAAGGATTGTTTGACCAGTTCCGTAAGGAATGTCTTGAAGAGTTGGAGAGTCTGGTATGTAGTATTTTAATATTGGCAGACTTAAGATCTAGCATCCGTTCCCCATCATCCACCCAGTATGAATTCCATGGCAGCTGCACTCCTGAGAAATATTAGTAGAATAACGGGTGCACTCTTGCACACCCGAAAGATGGGCATGGTTTGGGCCTGTTTTAGGATGTGGCTAAAGAAAAGTTTTTTCAAATAAAGCAAGATGACTTTCTAAATTTGTTCGCAACTGAGATGGTCATTCTAAATTGAGTGATCCACTTGAGATCATGGCCACCAAAAAGTTTCAGTGAGCCTGGGCTCACTGGAACTGAAAATAAGGCGCCTTGCGAGCGGAGCAAGCAGATAATTTTTGCCACCCTGTTCTTTAGATTAGAGTAAAATACACATCATTCTTTGCAGTCATTTTCTTGCAATTGTTTCATTGTCACATTTTACTATTATTTCAATTCTATTAATGGGTTTCTATCATTTAACTATAAATCTTTCCTAGACATTGAGGCCTTAAGTCATTATGCCCCCCCCCCTGTCCCCCTCTTGGTGGTAGCCCTGCTTTAGGTCATCCTCATGATACTCTTAGAACGCTCAAGTTTTTGGCCTTATTATTTAAATTATCTCTTTACTTGCCAAACCTTTAGGAATTTAGATAACAGCCACTGACGGTAATGAAATTCCCTGAGATGTAAAATTAATGTAAACAGGAAAAGCACTGGACAAAATATGCACACACTCAAGAATCATTGAGAAATTTGATGCACACTCAAATGTGCACACCACACACTCAGATGTAATAGGTTGGCACTGCAGAGATCTCGTCGAAAACTGCCATGAAATCCAGACCAGACTGTTCCGGGTTGAAATCATTGATTCTGCTTATCTTCATCTTCACTTCACTGCTTTACTTCAGATTTTAAATCTTCATCTTGAAATTAGTTTATACTGAGAACTTCATGTTGTTTTGTCTGTTTAGTCGTAAGTTTTAAATTTTTAAATTCTGTACCACCAATAGATTGTTTGATCTATTTTTGGCAAATACCAAGATAAAGAATTGCCTGGAACAGAGAATAAGTGTTGCTACAGGGAAATTGTTGATAAGGAAAAGCCATAAAAAAGTTTCTTGAAGTTTCCATCTGTCAACAGTTCCAACAATTTTATGGAATTTCTTGCTCATGAGTTTTTTAAGTGTTACAATGGCTTGGCTTGATAAAGGCTGATAACCATTTCAACTAATTATATAACTTGAAGTAACTGACTGGCTGTTGTTATTTATAGGATATGGCTTCTTTTAAAACATGTGTAGGATCAAAAGGGAATTGTCCCATAATTATTTGGTAGTTGGAATGCATTTAATTTTGTGAAATTTAGACCTATTCTGTATTTATATTTTAAGGTACATTGTTTTGTGTACCCAGTTCCATAATTTATGTATTGAAACTATAAGCCCTTATTGTGTCACATGGAATGATCAGATCTGGTTGCTTGGCTAAATTGTTAAAGACCTTCAAATAACTGCAGTTAAGAGCCTAAAGGCTGTTATAGACTGGCAGTTTCCAGTTTAACTGGAAATTAATTTTGTTTACGTTTTTTATGTCTTGGTTTATAGGAAGCACAAAGGCTGGTAACTCTAAGCATACAAAATGTTCTTCGTTTTTTCTTTGTAGGAAGCTTATAGGTTGTTGAAGCAAAGAGTTGAAAATCATGTTGCATCATTTCTCTCTAAATATAAATGGTCAGAAAAAATGTCCAAGAACAGTTTAAGGGACAATCTGAGGATGAATATTAACAGGCAAGTAAATATTTTACTTGAAAATATCTAAATCAAGCAATAATTTTAATCATTTACATCAGAAAATAGGAGATAAAATATTAATAGGGGTTTTACACTTGATAATAAGAAATATTGAATAATTCTTTTCAATAATGATGGAGCACTTTTAGTGAATGTTCTATGCATTCAAGAACTTTATTTTTGTCAAGTGTTCTTCAGAATTTGTTTGAAACAACTTGCTGAGACTAAGTTGTTTGAAACAAAAGATTGATGGAGCTTGGCAAGCAAAATGGGATATATATAAATATACACTTGATTGACCAATGAAAATCCTTATGCATCTTTAATTGTCTTTAAAATTGGTTACAAGTGTTGTATTATATACTTCATATCAAGATGTCAGATAACATTGACTGGTTATGTGATTATGTTTTTTACTTATTTGCAGATCAGAAGTATTGCTGAATGGTGTTGACCGACTAGTTGATCAGATCCTAGCTTCAAAAATTGATAGTTTTGCAGATCGAATAGTTCCAGAAATCGATAAATATTTAGGGATAGAGCGAGCAGAAGAACCGGCCCCAGGAACAGATACAGACAAAGATACAGTCTATGTGTCCCAAAAAGTCTTTTCTTCTGATACAACGAGTTCATCCTTACCTGCCACACAAACGGTAACAACAAGAAGCAATGTCTCATCTTCTTCCAGCACAGCACAAGGTCTAATGGTAGAAAATCCAAATACCCAACAAGCTACTTGTCATGTTAAGACAAATGACAAGGGACTTACACTTCCTATTAAGAAGCTTTCGTCTGGTGCTTCTCAAGAGCAAACCAAGGGAAAGGCTGAAGAAGCCAGGGCATCTTGTAGTACCTATCAAAGTCTTAAAGCTGATAGCAGTGCAAGCTGCAAGACTTCACCTTTATGCAAAGACGTTAAAAAAGAAGGACTAGACTATCAATTGTCAAAATCGCAACCTGAGAAATGCAAGGCATTGGAAATCAAAGGGGCGAGTAGTGAAGGCTGTAGACCTTTCGTCAGAAGCAACCAAGATTTATTAAGCGATTCAAAAATCTCTAATAAAGCCCCTCAAATTGGACCTAAGGCTTCGAAGTCATGTGATATAGCTGAGAATTGTGTCACTGAAACTAGCAAAAAGAATTGCGAGCTACCTCTGAAGAAAGAGCCAGGCCTTTCTCCATGTCAAAAATCAACTGAAAAGAATGCAGCCTCTTCAGTTCTGGAAACAGCCTCAAGACAAGGCAAGCTTGATTCCCAGACGGTGGCCCAAAAAACGTATAATAAATCTATGCACGGAACGACCTCAAATAACTCTAGCACGAAAGAAGTTACAAGCAAAGAAGCTGACAACTGCAATATGACGAGAAGTGTCCCGGATGATATAGCAATAAAGAATGCGAGTGAAGAGAAAGAAACTGGGGCCAGTTCCCATACCAACCCTTCAGATGGCTCTACCGTTGATGCGCTTTCAAACATCCAAAAGGATACAAAGAAGAGAGCACTTCACTGTGAAGGAGGAAGTCTTAAAGATTGTGAAGGTGGGGGCTGTGAAGTAACCGAAGCCAATGTTAGTGATTGCTCGGATACGAATGCAGTAGATGATGCAAGCAATGTTAAGGAATGCCGTTCAGAAAAGGTGGTAACTAAAGATTATGGTATGAATTGTGGGAAACTGGAGGAGACGAGTGGTGACATAAACAAACCGATAGCTAAAATGGAGGTTGCCGAATCGGCAGTAGGTAAAGATGGTGGCTGTGCTGTGCCAGGGTTAGCCCAAGAAGAAGAAGATGCATGTAAAGGTAAAGTTGAAGAACTAGCTGGTAAGAGGCCTGGGAATGAATCACATGACAAAGATATCTCAGATTCTGTCGAAAAGGAAGAAGAAGGTGATGAAAATACAAGAGGAAATATCATTGTATCCGAGCAGACTAAAGATAGTAATGTTTATGCTTACTCTGAAGAGGGTTTCGAGAAACCAAAGCTTAGTACCTCATCAGTTGGTAGTGACCTTGAAGAGAGTAGCGATGCTGACACAAAAAGTTCAGACCATGTTTCATCTGCCTCGGGAAGAGCAGGGAAAGAGTCGGTTGATGACGTTAGCACTGATTCGAGCAAGGATCTGCATTCTCGTTTTGGACAGAGGAAAGTGAAAAGAAGAAAACGACTGATTTCGGAAAGTGAGGATGATCGTACAACCAAATCAGCTCGAATAACAGACGAAATTAAAGGGGATCTGACCGTCAGTACGCATGTTGAAGGCAATATGGAACAGCAAGATGAACATATTGCTGCTAACGATGCCAAGCCAAAACGCGGGCGAGGGCGACCACGAAAGGCAGAGGGCGCGAAACGTGACTCGCAGCCTTCGTCTGACAGCGACATGCCCCCTGAAGGCAGCATAGGCCCTGCAGATGTAAATCGACAAAACAGCAAGCCCCAGGAATACATCACGGAATCTGGCAGTTTGAAAAGACAAAGATCAGTCGGAAGTGAAAGCAACGCATCAGAAACTGGCACAGAGGAAAAAGATATCGATATGCGACGAACGAAGAGGCAAATAAAGCCAAAGAGGTGTTATTCTCCATCTGATGGGAAATGAAAGAACGACTCTAGTTTGGCCCATCCTGTTGTTTATTTGGATGTATGTATTCTATTTTTTTCCACAGAGTCATAAGATAAGTCAATGAGCCTGTGTTTAAAGTTTTCAAAGCCGAAAATCACAGGGCCTATTAAGCTTAAAATCACGCGTTTAAACATAACTATTAGAAACGATATCTGATACTGGTACTCCGGAAATGACAGGATAAAGTCCAGGACATTCTCTCCGTTTGTGAGGCAAGCCTCGGTCACTCTTTGCACCCTGTAATACTTGAAATGTGTTTTGCTCTTCTGGAAAAGCCTATCTTGTGAAACAGATAATTCAACGGAATATTCATCATATCCAGAAGGATTTCACTGAAGAAACTAAGGATGGTCTTGATAGTGAAGTACTTTTTGCAAATACAGGCATATTCCGTTAAAACTCCTTTTGTCATAACGCCAGCTGCATCGTTCGCCGCTAATTTCATTTGGTTCTGTTTGAAACCTTGGTAAATTGCCAACTTTCCACCGTCCGCCTCTTTCCATTTATTCGATGGTAAAATCTCCTCCTTTACAGTCTTTGGCTTTCATGGCTCTCCATTGGTTTCTGTCCTGATGCAACATGATAGATGAATTAGAAACACCCAAACAGTTTCTAAGAATTAACAAAGAAACACCCAAACAATTAGATGCCTTAGAAAACATTTGCTTGATGTGGACCGTAGGAGAGAATAGTTGTTTGACGTGAATTTTTATCCTAACAAGCTTTTCGTTTATAAACGTGGGCATAAGCCAGTTGAACTGTCATAAACCTCCTTGAAATTGTAGAATTTTTAACAATGTGAGTAGAGTTTTAGTCATATCTTTTACCGAATCTGAACATGTTTATCCTAAGCTCCAGAATAAGTAGAAAATGCAAGGTACTTGACCACCCCTATTTACCTGAAAACCTGACATGAACATGCGATAGGGGTATCATTGTGTGCCATTTTATAGTTATTAGAAAATAGTTAACACGTAAGCAATTAACATTGCAGCATTTCCTCTTCTTTTTTTGATTTGATTGTAAAATAGTTTCTTGAGTAAATGTGCTGTACATATCCACATATGAAAGAAAGTAGTCTGGCATTCTGAGGATCAAAAGTATCTGATTAAAGAAAAACGAAATTTCTCCGCAGCGATTTTTATTTTACTCCATTTGCCTGATTACAATATAAAATGTAACCTTTAAATAGCAATTCAATTAATATAATTGCAAGACTTTATTTCAAAAATCAATAACATAAGATTTTGAAATTTCCATAAAGCAAGTACGTGTAAACCTCTAATCTGGACTACACAATGAACTTTTAAGCAGTGTCTTAAACCTTTACTTTCCACGATGCCGCTAAATGCAAGTAGCCATGCTAGAATGAAATGGAGGTGATTTGGGGCTTGGTGAATTTTGCTTAAAAATCTGGCGCATTCATTACGACGGCCATATGCTCTGCCTGCCTCCTATTGAAGAAGAGACAGCCCATTGTTGAGTTGTTTGTGTTCAAAAGACAGATGTTTCGTTGTTTCAAAATAGTCAGAAACATCATACGCAGCCATTTCAAAGAAAATAAACCCAAGAGTAGTTGAAGACGACTTTCGGACATATGGAACGCAAATTGACGCAAATGATCGATAGGGATTATTTTATATGTCCACGTCGATTTGCGATGAAAGTTGTAGATGTTTGCATTTTACATGCAACACAACCTAGTAGACAGGCAAAAACGTGGAAATGTAGATTCGACTGGAAGGCATGGAAAACGAGTTTGTAGTCTCGAAACAACTGTGTGAAATAACCCAAAGTAAACAGATGTCAGTGATTGATTTAAACAAGGGGGTTTTGCAGTTACCACAATGGTTTGCGTTTATCAAACTAAATTAAAAAACATAAAGTATGTTAGCACACCGCCCCAACCCACAGTTAAATCTAAGCACTAAGGAACATATACACTATCACGAACAAACCTAATTGCTATGGAACTGGTAGCAATTCAAAACAATCTGAGAAAATAGGCCAACTGAAAACCACGACGGGACCTCAGGCAGCTCAGGCACAACGTCCGAAGGGTCTATCGATTTTGGGCGAGATGAAAAGTTTGATTTGTATAAGAAGTTCTAGGTCCCGGCAACATGCTGTCCCTATTGGTGAAATGGGTGACATTGACACTAGAAACAATTTATCTAGCATCACTAATTAAAAACATTATGTTTGTTACTTAATTGTATGTTCATTTCATTTTGTAAACCGGCAGCCTATCGGTATATAAACAGTGCTGAATTCATATATGTAATGTTCTTAACATAAAAAAATTTGATTTGTGTGATTGAAAACAGACAAATCTCAGAGTAGTGAAATAATTTATTTTATCCTACATTGGCAGTTAAACATAAAGGCAGGACAATTCTTAAGATAATTGTATGGGCTCGTTTCTTTTCCAGGCCCGACGGCAATTGTCCTCTCATCCCCTCTCAGTTAGACTGCAAGACACTGGTGGATTTTCACTTGGCCTAGTCTAGAATGGCCTAAACACTATGTTCCTATAAAAAACATTTAATATTACAGCTATCAATCTTCCTTCTACGCCATAATCAACTACCAGTGCAAATAAAAACTGTGCTAAATTCAAAATACCAATTCTAAAGAAAGCTCGACAAACTATTGCTAGAAATGTCTTTATATTTACATTTTTAGATACAGTTCAGCGAGGCTCCTCCAGTCTGTGCATAAGCTTTACTCGGCAAAAACTTCGTCCTGTAGTTCATTGTTGTTGATATCAGCTGGAGAAGAGCTTTTTGACTCGGAATCTTTCCACAGGCTTCCAGTAGATTTACTTGAGCAATCGAAATGATGTTTGTGCCTGTCTCTTGAAGATGGACTTGAGAAACCACGTCCGCACTTTTCGCATGAATACGGCTTTGCACCCGTGTGTATGTTCATATGGAACTTCAGCTCATACGATTGTGCAAACGCTTTGTCGCATATACTGCAAACACATGGCTTCACTTTGGTGTGCGTTCGCCGCACATGGCTATCGTGTGCTGCATGTGAGGCGAATGCTTTGCCGCAGTGCTTACATTTAAACGGTCGCTCACCGCTATGCTGTCTCAAGTGCGTTCTCAGAATTGACGACGCAGTGAAAGCTTTAACGCAGTGCGGACATTTGTATGGCCTTTCACCGCTGTGAACACGCTGATGTTTGCTTAAACTGCTCGATTGCGAAAATCGCTTACCGCACACGTTGCATAAATGCGGGCGGTGCTTCTGATGCACGTGGAGAATGTGTATGCGTAAACGGTCACGTTTTTCAAAAGACCGCTGGCATAAATGGCAAGGAAACTTACGGTCTCCTTGATCCACACATCGTGTATATTTCAGATGTTTGTCCCTGTAATATTTGTAGGAGAAAACCTTGCCACAGTGCTCACATGGGTAAGTACCGGGATCTTCTATTGTTCCTGCAAAGAAAAGCAGAATTTGTGAATCCTTTTTAGCAGCATTTGGATCGCATAAAAACATTAGCAATTACTTAAACGTTCTGTTAGAAACTGGTCATTACAACGACAGATACCGAAGAGCAACTTTAATCAGAGCATCGTGTCCATTTTCCCTTGTATTGGGCTGATGCTTTACCTGCAGCCTTAATCTGTACCTCGCAATGCCCAGTTTGGATAATGGCGCGGTGTGTCGATAATCAGTCCTTGAGTATCAAACATATTAAAGGCCCCTTTTCCCCGATCAAACGATGAAACTACAGTTTCTCCTTTTTTCAATCACAATTCTATAGACAGGACATATAGCCTGACAATCTGACATTCAAGCTAATGTTTACTTTCTCAACGGATTCTGGTAGTAGGGAGTTCAGGCTTTCATAATCTGCCAGGTGACTTTTTTGAAAATGCCTGGAAGTCACGTGACTGATGACGTCATTTAACGGTAAAAAGTCAGACAAAATCATCGTTAGCTCCTCACTGAAGGGTTATTGTTTAACGCAACTTACATATTTTGACTCGTCTCATTGCAAGCTTTCAAATGATATATATTTAAGCAAGATTTGCCGACATAAGTATTTTCATTATGACGTCATAACAAATTTTGCATGACGTCATCAAATACTTTATTGTCATAAAATGATACGTTAGCATAATTTTGTTTTAATATGACGCTGGCTGTCAGCAAAAGCTTCTCTTCCATATGTTTTTCAATCAAAATACTTAGTATTTAGTTCATTTAAATTGAATTTGTGCCCACCAAAGTTCGAAACAGGTAGTAGTCACTATCTGACGAGTGAGTCACTTCTTACTCCGAAGTCGCAAAGTCTTGCTCCCACTCTGAACCGGACAATTATTTCTCTGCATCTGCATTTGACTGTTGCTAAGTCGGAAAATATCTTCGCACTATTATAGGCTGTCCAAGATGTCTTCGCACTATAGTTCTTTAGCGCTGGGTATGAAAGTGTATGATTTTCTTCATGGGTAAATTCATCTCCTGCGTCCCCTTCATATTCTTGTGATGTAAAGGAAGCTCTCGGAGATGAAGAAGCTGCTTTCCTGTGAACCATTTAGACTTTAAACGGTCGAGTATGTCGTCTAAATTTCAACATCAGGCTTTTGGGACATGTCTTGTAGTAGTTGCACCTAAAAAGTGTAGCCAAAATAACCTTGTTAAGTTGATACAATTTAATTCTTTCCTGATTGAGTGATTATGGATCTGCTGGAACTGCTGCAGATGATTTTTTTCAGATTTGATAAATATCTTTGTCCCTAAATAGCTTTTATATGTTGTTCCACTATATTCTGCTGTTTCGCGAATGTCTTTGCTTTTGCGATAACTCCTTCGGAGAGACTTTTAATGATGACTTGTTTCTGGTTCCTCGTTAGCTTTTTTCACAGTAATCTTATCAATGTTGTGCTTATATGCAGTTGTCTCAGCCCACAATTCCATTAATCTGTGATAAAATACAGCAAATTTTGGAACCAAAAGTTTCAGCGATGCCTCAAATCTTGACGATTTGTTTGTTATTTATGCACATAAACCACTAATTTGGGGGTTTGCACTTCTGTGTTGCATGAACAAGCAGCACACATAAATCAGTATCTTTTCCAACAGCAACTACTTTTGCATCTTTCGAGTTACCATGCAAAATATTCTGGTTTCCGCCTTTTTGTGGTTACATCTTGGAGGGACTTCTACTTGCTTTTTGAAGTCTCCGATGCTTCTCCTCCTTAAGCTACGATAAATTGAATTGTCAGGGGCCTGTGACCCTCAGCGCTTCGAAAGAATTCGGGACAAGTCTCATAAGATTCTCTTTTTTCATCAATGTAAAAATACTCTTCTTACTTTGGAGTATCTTTTGCTCTCCACTTTTTATATGCACTTGCCTTGATGACTCTCTTTTGTCGTTTGCTTGCTCGTGTGCTGTTTCTAAATTTTTAGCGTTGACTTTGTTTCCATTTTCATTGCTTTAGCCTCATAAGGAGGATTAGCACATCCATGAATGTTCTTGAACCAAACACTGAATGTTTCCTTGGGTTTGATGCTACGAACTCAGGCCGTCTCATCAAATCTCCATCTGGCGTTTTCTGGTGGCGTTTTTACAAAATGTTCTCACGGACTGATGACACTAGCGCTAACATGGAAGAAATATTTCGAAGAAATTAGCTATTTTGCTCGAATTGTAGGTTGTTGCTAGAAACGAAAGTATAGTCAGAAACTTAAGCTGCATTCTGGGGCACAAAGATCCAAGAAAAGAGCGAAAGCAGTCTCAATAATGAACGAAGACCACCAAGCTTTCGTGATTGGCAAGGCTGCCTCTATCGAAAAGGCATTTTCATATCCCATCAAAACCATAACTCTAGTCTTGCAACTCCTGAAGGTGTACTGTGACAAGGAGATAAAGCTGTTCTTCTTAATTTCATGTGTAAGGAGCCAAATCCATATATAAATCCACCATCAGGAAAATGCCAGATGGAGTATTTTATTTATGAGATGGCCTCATTTCACAGCAGAAGATAGCCTTATTGAAAAAAGTCATGCACCTTCAGCACATCGGCAGGACATCTTGGATAGCCTATATTGCCAAGACATTCTTCCGATTTAGTGTAACATTCAAATGCGGATGCAGAGAAATCATTGTCCGGTTCAAAGTGGGAGCAAGACTTTGCAACTTCGGAGGAAGAAGTGACTCACTCGTCAGATAGTAACGACTTCTTTATTTAAACTTTGGCTATTGCGGTTGGCACAAATTCAATTTAAATGAACTAAATACGAAGTATTTTGATTGAAAAACATATGGAAGAGAAGCTTTTGCTGACAGCCAGCGTCATATTAAAACAAAATTATGCTAACGTATCATTTTATGACAATAAAATATTTGATGACGTCATGCAAAATTTGTTATGACGTCATAATGAACATACTTATGTCGGCAAATCTTGCTTAAATATATATCATTTGAAAGCTTGCAATGAGACGAGTCAAAATATGTAAGTTGCGTTAAAAAATAACCCTTCAGTGAGGAGCTAACGGTGATTTTGTCTGACTTTTTACCGTTAAATGACGTCATCAGTCACGTGACATCCAGGCATTTTCAAAAAAGTCACCTGGCAGATTATGAAAGCCTGAACTCCCTACTACCAGAATCCGTTGAGAAAGCAAACATTAGCTTGAATGTCAGATTGTCAGGCTATATGTCCTGTCTACTACCTTTTTCTGAAATGTTCGTTAATCATATTATTGGAATTTCCAAGCCTAACACTTTCAATAGCTTTCTACCAGATCCAGTACGTTGGGACCATTTCTTATTTAACAACGCAAGAGTTAAAATATGAAGATGGTCATATTGATATTTTTGTGTGCCATTTTTGAAAGTATTTTTGGTGTAAATTGTACAGACTTAGCCATGATTTTAAAACTCTGATTCAAAAGAGAATTTATTCACCCTCTGTGTCCTCGGAAATGCTCTGTACTTTCTTTGGCACGACCTCTTTATGGGATAACGGGATGTCCATGTAACGCTCGTAGTCGTTCCCATACCATACCAACAACTCCTCTCCTGGACCGATGTCCCTCATGCTTTCGTAGAAGACCTCGCCCTCAATCTGAATGATAATGAGGTTCTGCTCTTTCTTGTACCTTGCGCAGTTGATAGCCTTCATCCAGTTTGTAGAATCTAACGTGCCGTCGACATATGCCATGACGCCACCGTTTGAGAAAACCTGAAGCATATAATTTGGGTTCAAATCGTTTCTACATTCATAATTATTTGAGATACTAGTTTGAAGTATTTCTATAACAAGGCAAAGAAATTGAAATACTAGCTTTTTTGGTAGACTGATAATGCAATTCGGCGATGGCATCACTCAACTCTTCTGTATTAAGAACACATTTCTTCTTAAAAGTTTATATGGATTTTTCAAAAAAGCTTGTTTATAAAACCATTATAGCCAGTCAGTCAAGGTTGAGAAGAATTCTGGGTTTGGCTTCCAAATTAAGAAAATAAAAGTAAGTTTACCAGGTGCAAATACAGTACTTTAGAGTTTTAGCCAAAGCAGGAACAAGAGCTTTCTTAAAAACTCTCATTATACGTTAAATAAGGCATTCTGGTCATCTCAAAATTTTCCAATGTTTCAATTTTTAAAGAAAAGTTATGTATGCCTTGGCAAGTAATTAGAGTAGGAGAGCAACAATGGGTGTTTTAACTAAAGATTGCCCATCTGAAATAACAACGTTACAGACTTGCAAGCATTTTACAGCAAAACCTTACCTCCCAAATGCATGAGTTATCCCTGCTTTTATCGATTTCTTCCAGACTTAACAACCGCCCTGTATAAGGACCGAGTCGTGTTCCTTGCGGGATTGCATTGGTTGAAAAGACGCCAACATGAAACAAATTGCCTATTTGCAGGTGTCTTATGGCGAGAGATGAAGGCAATTCCATCGTTTTGCTTGGTGAGGGCGGAAAGAATGCTTGTGACTTGACAGAGCTTTGTTGAGACCCGTTGGATTGTAGCCATGGTGACAAAGGAGGCACTGGACTTATAGGGGTCAGCAAACCATGAATACCTTGTGGAAGAAGATTTGTAACATAATTTAACAACTAGTGCATTAAAGTCGTGCATCTAACAGGTCATACCTGACTCGCATCGAATCAATTACAATGTCTCAAAATTTATCAGTAATAATTAGATAAGTACTTAGCATGAATTGAATTTGTCATCACGCTCTTCCCAAATATGAAGTGCGACATAATGCTCGTCCTTCTCAGTCGTACTACGCAACTAAGAGGGGACTTTGAAATTAAAATGTAGCGCTCATGATAAGCCGAATAAAATCAATTCAAGCCGATATATTTCTCGTCCGGCAGTTACATTTCTAGCCCATCTCTAATACCGTAATTCGAAGAAGCACTAATAAAAGGTAGCTGACACGATAGTGTCGGACTCATGTCGAACTGAAACCTAATAAAATTGACACAAGCTAAACAAGATGAAGAATTTGGGCCTAAGGGTTATCTTTTAAGGATCTTCTATTTTGTTGTGTTGACTTTAATCAAAGAAACTCAAAGTGTAAATCAGGTAGTTGCCTAATGCCTATTTTTATTCTTCAGTAGAACTGTAGTTCTTTAGACATGATTTAATATTTAGACATGATTATCCGCAGAACTACAAACTTTACTTTTTGCGAGGATGGTTCAGTCGTTAGAGGCGCTGACTACAGACCCAAGGGTCCGTGGTTCGAGTCCCTAGCATGACCAAACTTCCACCCAGAGGGAGGAGAGTCGCCAACTCTCTGTAATTCCAGGTGTAGGAATCACGAGGTGTGCTCACATCGAGAGGAAGGACCAGGACACTGCTCGATAAAGCCTGGTTCCCACTTGGTCAGTTGGGTCGTTTGGGTCGTTGGAAAATACCCAAACGATTGAAAAGACTCAGTGGAAACATACCTGCCAACAACCCAAAAGACCCGAAAGACTCAAACGACAGTTGTCGCAGAGATAGAAAAAATTATATCTCCGCGACCCAAAATACCCACGCATGAATGATTTTTGCAAATGGAAACCGACAAACGACTCAAACGACCCACGCTTTAATAACTTTTTTTTCAAAAATAGGAGATTTTCTTATAACCGCGTGTTTGACTAGAACAAGAATAAGATAGCTGAATATTTCATAGCAAGCTTTACAGACCTGTCAACCTAAAATTTTCAAAACCTGGAGATTTCAGATTTTTTGTTGAGAAAAACAGGGAGGTTTGGCCAAAAACAGAGAAAACCCCTGGAATTTGTTGAATTTATAGACAACACACCTGTTAAAAGAAGTCATTTTGGAGTTGGACAAACAGTTAATGACAACAACATGGGTAACGTCTTCCTAATGGTTTTTAGCGTTTTCGTTAATTTGAAAACACTGACAAAAAACTTTGTCGCGAAGAAAGTCATTTCAATCATTGTTGTTATATAAAAAACCTCTGCTAAAAAACAAAGAAAAACAGGGAGAAAATTATAAAAAACCGGGAGACCGAGAGAAAGCAAGCAAAATCTGGAGTCTCCCGGCAAAACCGGGAGAGTTGACAGGTCTGGCTTTATGGAAGAAGTTCAAAAATACGACTGCCATTATAAAACTTACTGGAAAGAGTTTAAAAGTAAATAAAAAAATGTCAAATCATGACAAGCTATTGCACTGAAATTTAGTGATCTAACATCGTTGTCTGTACAAAGTCACCAGAGGTAGAAATAGTTGACTTTGCAACATCAGTTGTTGCCGCCAAAATTAAATGAGCGATGCATGGTGCAAGCAATGAACAGCATCAACAACAAACGACTCAAACGATCGAGTGGGAACCAGGCTTAAGCATAGGCTTCTTAGTGTCCTAAAAACTGCCTTCGGATGCTAGGTGGAAACAAATACAATTAAATACAAATACTTTTGCTTGAAGAACCTGCTGGTCGAGGATGGATTTACATGATCACTCGATAATAATATGGAGTGAAAGCTAAAACAAAAAACCATACCCTGTGGATACTGATAGGGAATGAACTTAATTCCAGATATTGAGTGCAGTGGCATATCCAAGTCTGTGTGTGCACGCAGATACCCGTACAAAACTGCGTCAACATCAGCTTGGGTGAAACAGTGCAATATCCTTTGCTGCGCCGCCGCATCAGCTATCTCCCCTTCCATCTGATAAATGCTTTCTAACCTGAGAAGAACATAGCGCATATCATTTGTTTGAAACTTATACGGGTCATCTAAAAATAGCAAGCCAAGGTCATTATTCTAAATGTTTGCATTGAAGGCAACAAAAAAGCTTATCACTGAATTTTGCTAGTGACACTCTTAAACTTGCACGCAGTAAAAGACAGAGGATGTCCATCCCACGCTTGTAGCCACTTAAGTATCTTTATGCTCACACTTACTTGAACTGATTTGATAGCTATGTAAATGTAGAAAGTATACTCAATGCATAATTAATAATATATTCAAAATTTGCTCGTGCAGAGAAAAAATCACCTTCTGCTCCCCTTATAAAATGTTTGGAAAAATATAAGAGCACGGGAGATGTTGATGTGTTTCTCAACAGAAGAAGTTGTATTCTAATTGTTAAATCAAACAATTGACATCTTTTGGCAGATACCATACACAAAATATAGAACCAAGGAGCCCAGGGGTTCAACAAAATTATTTTATATTGCTCCTCTACTGCTTTACCCTCTGAAAATTCTGAAAATTGGTAACTGGCACGATGCTTCCTTAGTGAAAGTGATTAGTGTCAGCCGGATCCCACCAAGGGAAAAGGGATCGGCGGCACACAACAACCTCTCCTATTATGACCAGCATACTTCTATGTGGTACAGGGACCGCATAAGTGTTGGGGAGGGGCAATAGGGGCTTCAGCCTTCCAATGATTTCCAAAGTGTTCCTAAAACCGTACAAAAATAAACTTGCTCTTGGTGCTTAGTATGCTTAGCCCCCCCCAAACACATTACCCCCCCCCCTCAATAAGTAACATGCTCCGTGGTCTTTTTGTGGCACACTTCTGAAACAGACGCAAAGTCAGCTGTAAAGACACCATTGTCTTACCTTAGTATTTCAGGTATGTTGGGATATCGATTTTTTTATCACCTTGAGTGTATGCGGTTCTGATCCTGATTCGGGGACGGATTTTAGCGGGAAGGATTTGGGGGGGGGGGGTATTCGAGAATGATTGGAGTTTGTGCTACGCTCTTCAGGTGACTGGATCTAATGGAAACGCCCACTTTTACAATTCAGTTTTAACGTTAAGATGAAGAAGATAAGGAGATAAATACCTAAATACTTTTTATTAAACGAAGCAAAATATACCGAAGAACGCAAAAATAGTTGTGTGAGTGTCGCACCCCCGTTCCCTAGTGAATCAATCCCTGACCTGATGTTGATATAAATAGATCAAACATATCATTGATATATAAAGTCCATTTAACACTGGCCCTCCACCAACAATTAACGTATAATCAAGGAAAAAGTCTCGTACTTTTCAGAAGATTTAATCAAGCTTTAATAATGGAAATAACAAAACTTTTCTGATAGAGAATGAAGCAGAGAAACTAAACTTCTAAAGGCCTGTTGAATTACTTAGTAGAGTAGAGTAGATGGCACACAGAGTTAGATACAAATTCGATCGATTGGCTTTCAGATGAATATTTTTTCCTACCCATAAGCAATGGCGAGGGTCGTCTTTAATTTTAGTCTGTAGAGCAGGCAGACCCAGATGCAACTCCGAAAATAAGATGTTGTAAGATAGGCCGTGTTTACATAAATAAGATTTAGAAATGACTGTTTATTTGATATCAATTTTATCGAAAAAGAGGGAATGTGTTTTTTCAGTAAATATCATAAATAGGGCTTTTTTATTTCTTTTATGGGCAATATTTTGTTCAACTGCAATGTACCCTTGGTGCCATGCTTTGACCTTTCAGAACAAGGGTATTGAAGGTCAACTCTATTGACCTATTGACCTCTCCCAAACAGCCCTCTGGCAAACGCGAGTGTAGTATTTTGGACAGCTAGAGCTTGCACCTAAAGATGTTCCAGTTCAATGCTAAAACCAGAGGTATACTGGCTCTATCATTTGAAAGACTAAAGATGGTTTTCTATGTGTTTGGCTGGAGAAAATTGTTTAGAAAGAATGTATATAAGGCTTGGTAGTTGATAATGCAGTAAGTAATTTTCGAACTTTTCGTGGGTTGGCCTACACTCTTTTTTTTTATAACAACAATTTTATAAGAACACGAGCCTCAAAATTGGTCAAACGTTAAGAACAAATTAAAAACAAGCCGAGGCTGAGATTCCAAAATGCAATTCTGAAGAACGTTTTTCTTAAAATCGAGGATTTTTAGGCATTTGTGGGTGCTTTTTGGGTGAATTATTGTTGGTTGTATAGCTGTTTTCAACTTTAAAGCTGCAAGTGCAAGTTATCCGACAACGATTGAGAATGCAAGAAAAACATACGTTACTGTTTAAAGCCGACGTTTTATCGGCTGTATTTTTAAGCGCAGCTGGCGCGCGATCGATTTGATGCGAATTGAGCAGAACAGCGCGAAAATTTAGGTCAACCTCGTGAAACACGCAGAGATGATGCTCTCACGTGGTGGGTATTCATCTGGGAGTGTCGAATCAGTTTGTCGAAACAAACGGAAAAAGAGTCAATCTCCACAACTCGATGTCATTACAGGCGCCGACAGCACAGCATTTTCGTCATTGTTATGACTGGTTGCACTGAATCGGGTTGATCAAGTGCCTTGCTGCGAATAGAGATCACAAAGAGATCGAAAGTTGAAATTAACTTTGCTTTGCGTGTGTAAACGCTCGAGATCATTTTCTTCAAAATCCTCAAACACAATTTTAGCAAATTTTCTCTATTATCCATGATTGTCTGCCAAACACAACTTATTCGATGACAAAATTTTGCTAGGTAACGTTATGATGGAACTAAACTGAGAGTGTTTGGCAGTAAATTCAATGTAATGCAAATTCAAGTAAAACGCAGCTTAAATGCTATATGCAAATTAACAATAAAGTTGTTCAAGCCTTTTTTGGTTTCCAAAAGGATAGATTCTGGTTTGTTGGTAATCGCTTCGCTTTCCTTTTACAGAAGTGTGACTCTCAGTGCAAAATCAGAGGCCTCATTCGTTTGTTAATCATTGCAAGTTAAAGACCATGGGGAGTTTTCTAGCAAGAGCAACTCCCGCACCCTCTACTTTGTTATTACACTCCACCAGTGCACTCTGATGGTCGTATCCTTCTC